TCGACTCGACTCATCGGTGCAGCAGCAGCATGTGTGTGATCCATCTTCATCTCCATACTACATACATATCATCAACTCCTAAGTGTTGTTGTGTCAATGTACCATGTTGCTATGCTCACGCTCTCTTCTATCTGTTGTAACTATCTATCGAAATTGTAAATTACTCTCCACACCAAACTATTGGAAATGCTTTAATAGTAGTAGCCTTTATCAGCAGAGAAACTTCCGAGCATAATTCTATCATAAGAATATCTTTAACTAAGAGATACAATTAAAAATATTACTTTAAAGTCAAAAAGGTGTCATTATATTTTGTGGCCTTTCTTTTCGGCTGCAATTTAAGTTTATTTAAAATCCACAACGTTTTTTAACCCACAATTTTTAAAAACGATTCCCCGTTTGTTATAATTTAAAAAGCTTTTTGAATACTTAAGGCACTATAACCGCTTAATATAAAATAATTGTTGTGCTCAGCAATTCAAAAGATATATCTCTGGTATCTTCAATATCAATGTATCCCGATATGTAACTGCTAGGGACAGGCCCAATCCTACGAATATATATGTATCTGCTTAGTGGTATGCATCCCGAGAACTACATAGCTAACCGCTCCTCCACTGATATTGGCCCTCTCTAGTCTACTCTTCTGCAACCTATTTTTCTCATGCTCCTCATACTGGTAACATTTTCAGGTTCAAACAATTGTAGACCACCATTATGACGCCACCAAAACGGCGTCTAAAGTTCGCTTCGCCGATCCAACTATAGAAGAAATACAACACCACGTATGTACTGCTTTTTAAGATATTTAGTTACCATATTGTCTCTAATATCTCGTAAATGTACATAAGCATACCTATAATAATACTACAGTATAGTTAAGTAAGCCCCATAAGAAGCCATGTAGATGAAAATTGAGAATATTCCTTGGTTGATATTCGTTTTTGGTTGGCTTTTTACCACTTTTGATTTTTACATAAAGTGTTTAGTTTTTTAAATCAACGGCACTTTGTCATTTCTAATTTGGGAACTCTTTCATCCGGGATGTAATGGTGTTTTTGACTTTAACTCCTCTGCAGGATTCTCAGAACGACGAGAAACGTAACTCAATTGATTTGGATGGTCCCGAGAATGGGGACGTACCCGAGACTACATCTAGCAAGGATGAATCGACAGAAAAAGCCGACGACGGAGGAGACTACAAGTCCAGTGTGAAACCGTACGGCATAGCATCGAGTGTTCGATTCCCAGGACAAGTTTCTAATTAATTTACGCATTTATCTTTCACAGGGATGAGTTCAATGTTCGTCGCATGCACACAGCAATAAAACTAAACGAGGTTATTGTAGAAAAGTCACAGGATGCCCAGTTGGTCATAATGAATTTACCAGGACCACCTAGGGAAGTGAGAGCGGAGCGTGAAAGCAATTGTAAGATCCTCACCTAGAAATACTCACAAAGCAAACCTAAACCGATACTTCTCCCTCTTGTAGATATGGAATTTCTGGAGGTATTAACAGAGGGCCTCGAGAAAGTGTTAATGGTACGTGGCGGAGGCCGAGAAGTTATAACAATTTACTCTTAAAGAGAGCATTAATCGCTCAGTTTTATAAGAGTTCGCAACAACACTAGACAAGTTTAAGAATCAATCAAATTTTTAAAAAGAAGGTTATTAATTTGTTATATTCAATCATATGTCCAAATATTTTATTTTTACGTAAATAAAATATCAAAAAATTGTAACAATAATAAATCGTATGGATTTTATTGTAAAGGGTTCTTCCCCATTCCAGGTGCAGCCATAGCAATGCAGATATTATTCGTTGTCTGTGGTTACGCTTATAGTTACTAGTAGCTTAAAATTTCAAATGTATCTTTTACATGCTCTGGAGCGCCGAGATACACATCTGTAGAAACGCCGAGTGTGCCCTGTCCAACACTGGCTCGAGCGTTTCTCCCGACTTTTGTTATTCCAAGCGTAGCGGAGTTGTGCGTTTTATTACCTTTCGATGGCTGAGAAATTTGTGTGGGCAAAGTAGGCTCGTCCGACCGACTGAAATTTCTAAAAAATACTCAAAGAACATTGGAAATTCTCCGGAGATCTTCCTTCCACATCGTAAACCAGATTCATGAATTCTGAGGCTAAGGACCTGGACTTGAGAAGGGTTCGTATTTCCCGGGCCTGGTGTGTGAAAACCTTTCTGTTTATTTTGAACACGCAAGCAACTTTTTGGTATCCGTCAAACAAAAGAGCCGAAAGATATGCATTTGGGTTGATTTGTTGATGATTTTCCCCCCCATAATATTCTTTCTTTGCCGCCACAGGGCGATGTAGAAAGACCGCAGTTCGAGGCGGTCACCACCTTGTCGGACTCTCAGGCCATTCGCAGCGTTGACTTTCATCCAAATGGAAAGCTGTACGCGGTGGGCTCCAACTCCAAGACATTCCGCATCTGCCAGTATCCCCAACTGACCAAGCTGAGGTAATTAAGTGATTAACCTTAGGGCGTTTGTGCTTTCAGAGTGCTAATTCGGTTTCCATCGCAGACATGGCCAGCAGACGTCGACGGTGTATCCGCCATCCGTGCTCTGCAAGCGGACAAAACACCATCGCGGCTCCATCTACTGCACGTGTTGGTCGCGGGACGGGGAGCTCATTGCCACCGGATCGAACGACAAGACCATCAAGTACATGAGATTCAACAATGATACCAACCAGTTGGTGGGCCACGAGATCGAGCTCAACATGCACGACGGCACCGTGCGGGACATGTGCTTCCTGGACGATTCGTCCACCAAGTCTCGACTTCTGGCCAGTGGCGGCGCCGGCGATTGCAAGATCTATATAACAGACTGCGGAACCGGCACGCCCTTCCAGGCCTACACCGGCCATTCCGGTCACATTCTGTCCCTTTACAGCTGGAATAATGCAATGTTCGTTTCGGGATCGCAGGTAAGTCCCTAACACCTTAATTCCGAGTTGAATATAATGGTGGATAATTAAATCTCCCGAAGGATCAAACGATACGGTTCTGGGATCTGCGAGTTAACGTCTCGGTCAACACCTTGGATCACGAGAGGAGGGAGGGCCTGGAGAACTCGGCAGTGACTGCAGTGTGTGTGGATCCGACGGGCAGACTTCTGGTTTCAGGACACGCAGACAGCTCTTGCGTTCTGTACGACATCCGAGGCAACCGACCCATACAGCGTTTTTATCCCCACAGCGCTGAAATAAGGTAAATTATACATTTTTCAAAAACAAGACCCATAATGTAACCTCCATCCCATTAAAGGTGCGTCCGCTTCTCCCCATCCGCCTATTATATGCTGACTTGCAGCTACGACAACTCGGTCAAGCTGACGGATCTGCAGGGTGATCTCGCCCATGAGCTGAATTCGGTGGTGGTGGCGGAGCACAAGGACAAGGCCATCACCATCCGATGGCATCCAACCGAATTCTCCTTCATCTCCACGTCGGCAGACAAGACGGCCACATTATGGGCCCTACCTCCTTCGTAATACTCTGAGGCATTGGATCTAATTAACGGCTTTAACTTCGTTGTCAATATTGTATTTTGTGCAGAATAGATCAACATGCGCACACTTGTTGTTGGTCAGACTGATCTTAATTTATTAAATAAAACTCAACTTAAACTTGGTTGATTCCTGGAATATTTTTAATGCTTCCGTTTGGAGCGGAAATCGTAGATACCAAAAGATATTCGGTTCATCTTGAAGTCTGCTTTGGATCAGAACTGAAATCCTTTCCTCTTAGTTGAGAATCCATATGGGTCTCTGCTTGAAGGACTCCTTGATAAAGCAAGGACTTGGGGGGAAATAAAAAGGCAACATTCTAATTTATATATTTGGTATATATTTATTTATTTAAATCCGTTCTTACTAAACCCACAGTTTCCACATGTAATGTTTTTTTTACTTTCTAAAGCAAATAATTGATTTATGTTGGATTTTTAATGTTGCAGTTGCAAGTAACAGGGCTGGCTTAGCGATTAATACACGAATGATAAAGGCAGAAAAATTGTTGTCCTCCTTCACATCATTCTTTTCCACACTCTCGTATCGGTCATAAGGTGGTGGTCCTAACCGTTACCACTTGTCGACGACGACGTCAGGAACTACAGTGAGTACACACGGGCAAACGATTATTACCATTCCTCTAGTCTCTGGGGGGGAACTAGCCAACGCGGAAGGCAAACCAAAACTCATGGATGATGGACAAATGCAGAGGGAGGATTGGACTTCTGCGCACAGGGGTTTCTTTTTGTTCGGGGGGGACCAGCGAAGCGGCATCGATCAGCGATCTGCGTATTCCGAAACTCTGGAATTTGGCAGACTCGGTGGGCTCACATACTTACAGCCTAGTAGGGAGTGGGGTGCTCGGGTGGATTTTCGGATTTCTTGTTTTTATTATTTCGTTTTACGTTTTTAGATATCTTACATGCTGAATTTCAAATCTGTGTTTTTTGTTTCTCTCGTTTACGCCGTTGAGAGTGCGTTAATGTAATAATAGACCATAATGTACAGCGATTGTTGTTCTTTTCGTTCAATTACATCGAATTCTGGGCGCACTCTCGGACATAATAATAATAACTGCACGTACTTTTCTAAAGCAGGAGGGATGGATTCAATTTGTGTTATGGTAACTAATCGGGGTGTCCAGAGTTAATGAAATCTGGGATTGACTGTATAAAAAATAAGAATATTTCATTGAGAGATGAGAGGTTGGTTGGCAGGTGGGGGGCAGGGGGTATCATATCAAGTCGTCGGTGCCAATCAGCCAGGATCGATCGACGAGTCTCGTGCACGTGCAAGCAAAACGGAATTTAAAAACATGTATTTAGATGTAGATACTATAGCTTGTGAAGCGGCCAACGTTAGCTTGTTCCGGGTGCCGCCTCTCCCCTCTCGCGGGGGCTTTGTCGTAGAGCACAGAGCACGGTTTTTAGTTCTGCATAATTTATTTTCTTTACAGTTAGGTGTGTTGGTAGTTCTTTTTGTTTAATCAATTCACAGCGTCTCTAATCGTATAACAGAGTATATTATGTATATAATGTTAATTTAATTAGGTATTCTCTAAACAAATGCTAAAAGGATGTGCTTAACTCCTTACAAACGAGGCTCTGACGTAGACTACAAAGTTTTCTGCCAATGAAACCCTCCTACTCGCCAGAGACCCTGCTCCTGCTCCTTGTTTTCCCACCCACTTGCTCGTATAATGGACATACAATCGCTGCCAGTGTCAAGAGTGAACCGTGTTACTTAATATCTTGTGCTCAAAATAATTCTTAAAGTTATGGAATGAAGTATAACCAATATTTGTATATTTCCCAAGGAGCCACGGGAGACAATTAACTCGACTGATAAACTAAGAAAAAATACTCTTTGTAACACTTTGTATTGTAAATTAGGACGCTTAGTTGGAATCTCTCAAAACAATCAGCACGTACAAATTAGATTCGATTTAAGTAAGATGGTCTAATGATTTTATTTTATAAGACAAAAACACACAAACATACTTCAATTAAAAGGTTTCTTTTTGTTCTTTTGCCGCAATTAGCCTACTCTTCAGTATATTTAAGTTACTAAACACAGAGACGAACTTTACGGATTGTATAATGAAATAAATTTTGGTTCCTATTCAAACAGCCAACTAGTAGAGCTGGGAAAAATCGATCTATTAATATTTCAAAACGTTCTATTCGGTTTCGAAAATAAATATAAAAAAATGTTTTATTTTCTAAAATATTAAGCACAAGTCGATTTTTTGCCAGCTCTACCATATATTTTCTCGCTTCCTTTCTTTTTGGCAACAACCCAGTGAAAATGATACACGACAAAGGGCTAACTAACGCTATTGAAATATATAGAAGGACGCGAAACTCCTCTCTTAAGTGTCTATATAGCATTGTATGTACAAAAAGCAATCCTGCTAAATTTAATTTAATATACAAACAGGGTGTACGTGTACGTGTGTGTTAGACAAATCGTTAGCTCATATAGAAAATATATATTGATATTTTCAACGCTGTTTGTTCAAAGCCAAAAGCCAAAGAAGGGAGTGAGTCAGTCAGGCCCATCCTTTGGGTATCACCAGTCGATCTCTGTGATACCGGGGGGGTTGGTTTTGAAAATCAGTAGTTATATTCTTTGGAACAAACTTTCAATGGGAGTTAGAGGCGTTACGTTAGATGTAGTATATAACTGTGGGTTCGGGGGTTGTTCTTTTGTTTGTTTCTGTTTATATTTAGTAACACTTTTATACTAGAAATTAGAATAATGAAGTTGGGCTTATGGATTATAATTATTTTTATAATTCTTAAAGCATCATAGCGTACAGCAGGCCAAAGAAGACAGCCCACATTAACACAATGCCATGCATCTTATATATAGGACTCTCACCATCTGCGATTTTTCTAGCAACAAACTTCAGTGTCTCATCTAATAAAACTACAGGAATTGAGAATTTCATCACAGTTATCCATTCCTCAGCAGACAACGGTGTCACTTGGAAGACGGTCTAAGAAAGGATGAGATTACAAGGATTAGCATTCCTCGTGAAGGCTTATATCGGTACGTTATCGGTACTTACGGAGAGGACATCGACGTAAAGAATAACAAAGTGAAGAGTAAAGGAGAGTGCCATTGATCCAATCAGCCACAAGTTGCACCATGGGGGCATGGTAATCAGCGACTGATTCTCAGACAAGCTAAGCGAAACAAAGAGTAATCGTTGGGTTCTTATCTGGCGCTATCTCAACAACAGCAAAAACTCACCTGTTCATCGCGTTCAACATCTCAATGGTTACCAGCACGGACAAGGCCATGGTCATGGCATGGGGATCGCTGAAGATCTTGCAGTCAACGCCCTTGAATTCGTCACCACCGCCCAAGCAGGACAGATGGTGAGTCAGCTGCCAGTAGGTTAGGTTGGGGCCCTCGGCGGAGAACACGAACCACCAGGCGGCGGCACCAACAGTGGCAGCGCCCACATAGAAGCCAATAGCCATGTAGCTTAGTTTAGAAATTGAAAGCGCAGTCAGAAATAATTCAATTATCTTCGTAGACAATGCGGACATACCGGAAGAACAACCATCCGGAAATGAGACCCTCATCGGCCTTCCTGGGTGGCTTCTCCATGATGTCCAAGTCAGGTGGGTTGAAGCCAAGAGCTGTGGCTGGGAGACCGTCAGTAACCTGCGCGTTAAAAAGGGAATATTAATTTTTAAATCGATAAATTATTCAAATAATAAAATTACCAAGTTAACCCAGAGCAGCTGAACGGGAATCAGAGCCTCGGGCAGACCAAGGGCGGCAGTAAGGAAGATGGAGACGACCTCACCAATGTTGGAGGAGATGAGGTAGCGAATGAACTGCTTCATGTTGTTGTAAATAGCGCGACCTTCTTCAACGGCGGACACGATGGAGGAGAAGTTGTCGTCGGCCAACACCATTTCGGCGGCAGACTTGGCGACAGCGGTACCAGAGCCCATGGCAATACCGATCTCGGCCTTCTTCAGGGCGGGGGCGTCGTTCACACCATCACCAGTCATGGCGGAGATCTCGTTCATGCCCTGCAGGAACTCAACAATCTTAGACTTGTGCTGGGGCTCCACGCGGGAGAAAAGGCGGGAACGGGCGACGGCAGCCTTCTGTTCGGCGGGGGACAGGTCATCGAATTCGCGGCCAGAGTAGGACTTGCCAGTGGTGTCCTCGTCCTCGGTGAACACACCAATACGACGGCAGATAGCCTCGGCAGTGGCCTTGTTGTCGCCAGTGATCACAATAACGCGAATACCGGCGGCACGGCAGCGAACAATGGAGTCGAAGACCTCCTTGCGGGGGGGATCCAGCATGCCAACGACACCGACAAAGGTCAGGTTAACCTCATACTGGTAGAACTTGGTGGAATCACCCAGATCCATCTCATCGGGACGCATCGGGCTATCGGCAACGGCGAGGGCCAGGCAACGCAGGGTGTCGCGTCCAGTACCGTACTGGCCGGTCAGGGCGAGGATCTTGCTCTTCAGGGCCGAGGTCAGAGGCACCTTGGTGGTTCCGACGCGGGCGTGTGTGCAGCGCTCGAGGACACCCTCAGGGGCGCCCTTGACGAACAGCTTGGGGCCAGTGCCCAGACGGGAGGCCTTCAGGGGGGTGCAGTACGAGGACATGGATTTACGATCGCGGGAGAACTCCAGGGTGAACTCCTTCTTCCACTTGGTCTCAATCTCACCGCGGCAGGCAATGGCAGCGGAGCGGCGGTCCAGGCCGGACTTGTTCACGCTGAAGCTGTTCAGCTTCTCGGCCAGCACAATCAGGGCGGTCTCAGTGGCCTCGCCGACCTTCTCGAAGGCCTGCTTGAACTCATTGTAATCGATGGCAGAGTCGTTGCACATGATGCAGACGGTGGACAGCTCCTGCAGGGCGTCGTAGTCAGCGGCCTTGACGCGCTGGCCACCCAGGAAGAGCTCGCCAATGGGCTCGTAGGTGGAGCCAGTCAGCTCGAATTCCAGGAAGCTGCTATCGTTGCCCTCGACCTTGTCGAAGATGAACATGCGGGAAACGGACATCTGGTTGGTGGTGAGTGTGCCGGTCTTATCTGAGCAGATGACGGAGGTGCAGCCAAGGGTCTCGACGGAGGGCAGGGAGCGCACGATGGCGTTCTTCTTGGCCATGCGGCGGGTGCCCAAAGCCAGACAGGTGGTGATGACAGCGGGCAGACCCTCGGGAATGGCAGCCACGGCCAGAGCGACGGCGATCTTGAAATAGTAGATGGCGCCCTTGATCCAGGAGCCACCGTGGGCGGGGTCGTTGAAGTGGCCAATGTTGATAGCCCACACGGCGACGCAAATGATGGAGATAACCTTGGACAGCTGCTCACCGAACTCGTCGAGCTTCTGCTGCAGGGGAGTCTTGATCTCCTCAGTCTCGGACATCTCGGTACGGATCTTACCGATGGCGGTGCTCAGGCCAGTGCCGATGACGATACCGCGGGCCTTGCCAGCGGCCACATTGGTGCCGGAGAACAGGATGTTCTTCTTGTCCTGGTTGACGGCGCGGGGATCGGGAATGGCATCGGTGTGCTTGATAACAGACACCGACTCACCGGTGAGGATGGACTGATCGATCCTAAGGGTGGTCGAGTAGATGTGGGTGATGCGGATATCGGCGGGGATCTTGTCGCCGACGGAGACCTCAACGAGGTCACCGGGCACGATCTCTTTCGCGCGCACCTTCTGGATGCCGGACTTGTCCTGACGCACCACCTTGCCCATCTCTGGCTCGTACTCCTTGAGCGCTTCGATGGCCGATTCGGCGTTCCTCTCCTGCCATACTCCCACCACCGCGTTGGCTATCAGAATAAGTAAAATAACTAAGGGCTCTACAAATGCAGTGAACGTTTCTTCGTGTTCCTCAAACAGCGCGAGAACCTGCAAACGAGATCGAGGAGCAGAGGGGAGGGAGTGGAAAGAGGGTTCTTTTTATTCGCGCCAAATCAAGGGGATGATTTCCACCAATGCGGGCATCATTGCGACTTGACTTACAAATGAGATGATGGCTGCCAAAAGCAGAATCTTCACCAGGAGATCGTCGAACTGCTCCAAGACCAGCTGCCAGATGCTCTTTCCTGTAGAAAACAACAATGTTAATTAGAATGCAGTCACGCAATGGATATGGGGCGGGGACGCAGAGGAGAGGGGCTGTGGACTTGGTCTGGGACTTGGATTGACTTCGCACCTTCCTCAGTCGGCAACTCTGTAACGATAAGCAAGCAAAACAAACACGTCAGTCGTCGATTCATAGGGGGGCTCACACCACCTCCGTCGTCGTCGACTCACCGTTGGGTCCATATTTCTTCTGGTTGGTCTTGATCTGGTCGAGAGTGAGGCCGCGCTCGCCGTCCGTTCCGAAAAAGTTGAGAGCCTGCTCGACGGTTTTCGAGTGACCGTCTTCCATTTTGATTCGTTATCCTCTTCGTTCAGTAGCCTGCATCCATCGATCGATCCGGAAGGGGGTTTGAAAGTAGACACAAAGCAAAAGCACACATTTTATTCCGTTGCTGTTTCTGTTTTTTGTTCGGTGATAATGCGCCGTGCTGACTGGAATAGCAAATGTACATAAGTGTGCACACGATGTACGTCTTATGTACCTAATTTACGCTTGTATGGCCGTTTTTGCAGTTAAAACTACCTCATTAGGCTGGCCATGTACATACATACATGTGCATGTGCACTGGCACGGGCACAGGTACGAGTACGGGCACGGGCACGGGCACGGGTACATACAAGCGTAATATGCAAATTTTGCAGGCACTTTTCTGGCCACTATTAAACGCGGCCAATTGACGTAGTTATCTCCGGACTGGACCCCCGTCTCGTTTTGCCCCCTTCCGTCCGGAGAACATGCTGGAACATTGGCATTACCCTGGGCGCCCGTCTCCGCTTCGCCTATGAGATTCACACACGTGTCACTTCGCACAACAGACGCAGTTTTTGCGAGGGGCTCACCGGAACGCAATTAAATTGTAGGGACTCTGCAATGCGTGTGCTGGTGCTGCGCAATCCACATATAAAAACAACGAACGCACTGCGTGTTAAGTACTTTTTCCCACTGATTTTCTATATATTATATCCCATGGCGCTGTTTTCTAAATATGTGTGCTGCTGATAACTATTGCACTAAGTCTCTCGGGCCGCTCATTACTGGCCGTCGCCGCCGTTCTACCTGACATGACACGACATTATTCGCAGGCAGAGCTGACTTAAAACGTCTATCGCCGCAGTTACGTTAATCGTACCTAACCTTCAGCGAACTAGTATTAAAATTAGCAATGGCTGTGGTTTTAAACTTAATTGCACCTTCAAATATTACGTGTATTTCAGAAACGAAGCGTTGGATTTGCACAACTCGAATGCGATAGCCGGCGCTATCGATAATTGCCGAGCAAAAGCCGATAGTTAACTGGTGAGTTTCCGGCTTCAAAAATCCGTTAGGTTTGGTGAGTAGCGAAATTGAATCGTTATCACAGTTTCCTCTCTCTTTCGCTTTTCATAATTCCATAAGGCGGGGAAAAGAGACAACAATATTGTCAAGCGAAGACCATTCTTGTGCTCAAATTAATGAGATCAAGAGCCCGCAATAAATAGATCTGGGTGCTGCCAGGTATTTTTTCTAGCAGCGACAATTTTAAATTTCGAATTTCAGACAGCAGAATCAGGCCATACGGGAAATATTGAAAGCCAGCCAACTTTCCCAGCACAGCAATATATGAATGTTACCTTCGGAAAAGGTGCATTTGACCCACGTAACTCGTGATAACGGGTTTACGGGGCTTTCCCGCCCCAGAAGCCGTTACTTTTGTTCCGAAGATTGTCAAAGAAATGTGCTGGCAAATGCTTATATTCGAACAGATAGACGTATTTCTACAAACATACTTATTGTATATAGGCGTTTAGTCTATATATCTATAATATACTCATGACATCTGCTTGTGTAGGTCTATACATACGTGTGCATTATGGAGCAAAGCAAAAAAAAATCGCCTCTGTCCGAGATGGTCTATAAATAGAGTCCTAGCACCCGAAAAATACAAGCTCAATTTTGAACGTTCGTACATATAAAGATATGTACTAGGGAAAACACATAAATAAGTATGAAAGTACATATACAGAGAGACGAACGTAGGGAGAAATACTCGGGGATATATGTACGTTTTAACGGCTCACGATATTTTGAGCATTCTAATGGATGTCGACATTTCTGTGAGACGCGAGGCCTCGCGGTACCCCGCGCTTCCGAGTCTTATAATTTCGAATGACAAATCAAATCCCACCGATGAATTGTATAATTCGTGGATGAGATGGAATAGGTAGCTACTGCTGCTGGTGTTTGAAATGACAAGATGACACTGGCCAAGAACTGGGAATTAGGGCCTTTGATGTTCGAAATGACAAGTTCACTCTGGCCCAGATCCGGGTCTAGGATATTTATAAACTTTTCATTGCTCCACAATATGATTTTTTGGGGCACTTACTAAGGTTAACCACTAAATAAAATAAGCAGGTTGAGGGTTTTTTCTTGTTTAGGTTCGAGGTGGTGTGCCTTTGAACGTGTTCTCCTGGCGAATACTCTTTGGGTACAACACTGACATGCTGCAGTCAACTTTTGCCATTCGAACATTTCCCAGCGGTATTGCATAATCAGATTTTCGATCACAGATACACCTCTGCGCGGCCATGTAGGACACACCACTGGTGGGAACTTTACATCTGTGTCGGATCGGATCTATATTTGTGGTACTCTGGTGCCTTCGTATTGGTGACATTCAAAATTTTTCAGCTCGACTCCGGAGGTCGAGGTTGTTGCTCACTGTATACGTTCCCCTTACGGACATTTTGGATTCGTCGTAGGATTGAGTATATATCTGAGTTGGCGGGGAATTCAACTGGGATTGCAGGCAGAAACCAAACTGGGAAGCACTTTGAAACACAGTTTTTCGAGTGTAGTAAGCATGTACATATGTAGAGATGTAGGTTTTCGTATAACTTTTTCAGCGCGCCGTTAAACATTTGTACAATTTTCGATTTTTGGTTTGATTTTTTTTTTTTTTGGGAATATTGTATCTGTATTTTTTTTTTTACTTGAATTTGGAGTAAATCACTGCGATATTCGCTTTGGAATTGTTGCGGAAAACAAATCAACAAAACTTACAATTATTATTCCTAGTAAAAATTCCGTTATTATATAATAAAAATTTATTTTAGTCGGAAGACCAAGAGCTAACACAAAGATCGCGCTATTATAACGATCAACGGCAACTGAACGCAAGGAGAACGCTGCTCGATGAGAGTGTCTATTTGAATTACAAAATTCATATATTTTGGCAAAATTCCCAAAACTACATACACTCTCTATTTTGGCCCCGGGAAAATACTTTTAGCACGCACAAACTTTGAGCACTTACCACCTATCCGAGATCCGATTGTTGGCGGCGGTTCTCGGTCTGCTTCTGCTTTTGCTCGTCGTGCTTTTTCGCCGAGATCCGCCGAAGAAGATATACTGTGCCGAGATATATACAAGTGTATATAGATAAATATACGTATCTTTGGGAGCGCACAGATACGAAAAAGTCTAGAGCAATGTGGGGAGATGATCACTTGGGCCCGTGCCCGTGCCTATGCCTGTGCCTGTGAGTGTAAACTTATTTCAAAAAATGCACGTGTGTTTGTCTAATATCTAGATATAGTTATTTTTAAAAACAAAACCAGGGGAAGATAGTAGATCAGGCCAAAGGGTTTGGTACTCAAGGGTGCATTTCTTTAATATATGGTATTTGCATTGGAGAAGGACCTCTTCATCGAAGCATCCTTACCTTGGATATTTGGTATAGAATTAGTTGATTTTCCATAGTTAACTTAAGGTAGTTCCTAATTCCCTTTTAGTTTTCCCTATACTTAAAATATCAATATTTCAATGTCCAAGAAAGGGTATCCACACTTCGGTCAGAGGCCTAAGACATTTCTTTCTTTGGCCTTTTCAGCTTTTTCCCCAATTTCAGCCAGAGACTGGCAGCCGTCGTCGTTTTAGGCGCATAAAAATAGTCTTGTAATGTCTCTCGAAAGTTGGCAAGAGCGCTCTCGCTCTCCGCACACGTTTTTCCGTATGATATCCGCTTTGTGCACAGCAACTATTACGACTTTTCATAGAGCAGCCATAAATATGCATTTGGCAACTATTTTACCAGAACTTTTATAAGCTACCTTAGCCACAGACAGACATCCATATATATATCATGAGAAATATTAATAAATGACAATGCAGTCCCCAATGTTTCGTTTATTTTAAGACTTGGAAATCGGGTTTGAATATGATAAAGTACCGCCGATAACCAAAGCTCCTGAAGTTTGAAAAACTCATTTCATCATCATGGTCATATCGTGGTGGTAAGGCAGTAAGTTTGCCAAGTTATATTTATCTTGTATTTAAAAGTAATCAAAAGGGCAAACCTTCTTACTAATTAGTAATGAAATCCTTATCAACAGTTTATCGTTCATTGGGAAGGAACAGGGCAATCTACCTGTAATTGGCTCGAATTGATTGTACAACCATTTGCTAATTATTCATTTATTCAGCATTGCGTAATGGGAAAAAGAGAAACCAGACAGAAGCGGTTCCTTCTCTACCCTTAACATCAGATCAATCACCTACCATTTTAAATATATTTACGTCACACGTAGCAATTTTAGGCCAAAAATAGACCCCAAACCAAAAAACCCATTATAAAAATTATCATTTACTTTGGTTTTTCTTTTAAAAGGATTTAATTTACTTGCAACTAAAGTAAGTATGTACACATCCGCAGTTTATGCTCATGACTTGGTCGAAAATAGGTAGGAATCCTTCTTTCCCGAGGTCAATTTGACAGCATTTTCACTGCCAACAATATTACTTAAGCTGAGAAGGTCATATTTTGTGTATAGAATTTTCACGGACATCGCTTCCCCGAAGCCATCCCGCGGATTCTGATTCGATTCAAGCATCAAATTGATCATTTCAGAGTAAAAGTGGGGAAAATTGGGCGGCTGGTATAGAATCAAATTCCGGATACCCTTAATTCGTGTGCGCCGGAAGAAGTGTGCTCTTTCCGAGTATAGTAGAACAGACGCTCCGCTGTGAAAGAATATATCTCTCGCCCGGGAAATTTTTTCTTTCTTTGTATACTCATTTATCTGCACGAAACTGACCATTTCGGTCTTGAAATGGTTTCGTATCCGTACGTAATCAAAGTAGCTGGGCACGTACAGCATGCAGTGAGAGAATCCTGGCTTGCTGAATTGGGGCATAATATGCTTGACGAAATACTGGAAGCGATCGTCGAATGTTGCCTCCACATTGGAGCAACTGATTCGCTGGAAAACTTGCTCGATCGGCGTGAGCACGTTGCGTATGTCGCCCTGCTCAACCAGATTGGCAATTCTTACCTTTCCCTGGTAGTTATTGCATTTACCATTGAGCACCGCCCGAAACTCTGGGAGCTCATGTGATGAGAACAAAAGCGTTTGGCGGTAGAAGCTAGACGCTCCACTCAGGCACCACGTCCGAACCCGCTGGCAATTGGTATCGGGCAGCTTCTGCGGCTGCAGGTGCAGGTGGTCCAGCGAATGGAGAAGATTCTCCCAGTTCTGGGCCAGAAAGAGCTCGGCCTGGTCAATTATTAGCAGCTCAATCGAATTCAAAAAGTCAAAGTCATTATCCTTGTCCGTTACGAGCATCCTCAGTCCCAAAGGAGACGCGATTAGCATATCGGAGGAGTTCATATCGGAGAAGAGAGACATTGTCTTCTTGGTAAAACGAATTCCCAGTTTAAAGTTGTCATCTGTGTTGCCACTGAAGGTCTGCTCGTAATCCACCGGCTTGGGGTTAGTTTTTGGGAAGTATATCGTGTTCCCAGAGTAATCTCCAAGAAAACGTTCATAGTTGGCAATCGAATTGTTTCTAGCCTTATCTGTAGGAGATTCTGTATTGAGATTCTGTTCTTCAGTGGGCTTACCTGGGTGACTTACCATCCTGGCTTCCAAACAGTAGATCCCCGATTGTGTTGACTATCCTTTGGGCTGATTCCCGAAATGGCACAATGAACACCACCTTCATCCGCTTCAGTCCTTGGTCTCGGAAACTCTCCGGTATGGAGATTTCGTTGGGCGACAATTTCATGGACTTGGCCAAAGCCGAAACCTTTTCGTTATTGCGCAATATAAGCGATCTGACCTTTAGCATGTGATTAAGTGCATGCAGGCAATATACGTATCGGATCTCCTCGGCATTGGCGTGGCTTCGCTGGGGATAGTACAGGTCCTGATAGTTGTTCGCAATGTAAAACAATTCAGACTGCAGGGCGGTGAGCGGGAGCGTGGCGTTTCCGCAAATAGACTGTTTTACCTCCAATCTTTGAAGGTCTGCGGAGGTGGCAATTTCTTTGGGTTCACAGCACTCCGGGTGGTCTTTGATATCGGACGAGGATAGTTGCGGAATCTCAAACCTCACGTTGCCCAACGCAGTCCAGTTACTCTTGATGGACTTGACATCTTTCTTGGCCATCAAATCGTTGATGTTCTCTGTGGACAGCTCAAAATCGAAGCGCTTGGAAAACGAATTACAAGTTTCTAGGTCTGCACTAAGCTTTTCTGAACCTGTATCCTTCTTAGGCTTTATTTTCTTTTTCGGTGCGGAGGCAACAGGCTCGTCTGTGCTTGAACTCAGCATGTGACCTGGAAATAGAGTTATCCATTAGTCTCTGTACCAATCTGGAAGTCAAATTGGGTACTTGTGGGTATGTGATTGAATCCCGTCACAAGTTGCTTGTAGAATCCAGCCTCGTCCACGTCTTCCTGAATCTCCGGCAGGAGCTCGGCTACGGGCTCATATTCCTTCTGCGGCGCTGATGCGGGTACCCTCTCCCTGCGATGCGTCTCCTCCATCTGCTTGCTCCGCTGTATGAAGCTATAGTTCTTGGAGAACCTTTCATTGCGCCGCGCTGGGACTGGTTTCTTGTACGGCTTGGCCCTGCTTTTCCCGTGTTTTTGCTTCATTGTGAATTGTTTGAATTCAGTTGAAATAAAAACATCCAACACGTGCGATGTGTGACCGTGGCAGAATATACTAAAAATGCTGCATGAAAAAATATACCAAAATGTACCGTTCTATTATTTAAATATTTTAAGCTGCGACGAGCAGAGAAAATTAAGTTTTCCAACGTCCAAGTATCAGAATTGTTCAAAACAAAAAACCCCCAAAGTGTGCCATATTTTCCATTCATTCCTATTAGTTTACACACTAAGGTATTTTTCAAAATCTTAGTTTTTCTATCGATATATTTTCTGAGCCGCACGGTATAAATCGCCGCTCCAATTCGGTCACATTTCCTGTTGGGATATGGACAGCGATCGCACGGCTAAAAAGCTAAAGATGTCGGTTTTACAAGAACTTAAGCAAGTCACCACAATTGTGGCTGACACCGGCGACTTTGAAGGTAAACCACCACCACCTGTATACATATTATAGCTAGGCTGAGTCCGATTTCCAAGTGAACGTAAGTCGCTTCAAAGCCGCGAGTGAATCTCAAAGTACAAGCGTGTGTATCTCCGTAAGTCCCCGTGGGCTTGAGGCCAAAAACACCATTTTTATCTTAGAAGTCCAAGCGTCTGTATCTTTTGTATGTACATATGTACAACGATTGAATCGGAAGATAAGTAAACACCATAAACAGAAATTGGAGATCCAGGAGGGGCAGTCCCTGTTATCTGTCCGTGTGAAGATCAAATAGAAGTGAAAAGTAAAAGCCCAGCACTGACTTTAGTTTGACCTTATGTGCATACGTGTGTTGGAAATGTGACCGCTAGGCGGCCTGTCTCAGTGATAAGGTTTCGATTTCGAAACCTGCTCAGACAACGAAAAGTTCAAAGATATTTTGGGACATGCGATCGAGAAATGAAAGTCGCTCTCGATCGTGCAACAGGTTTTGGGAGGCAATCTAGAATATAGTAATGTCATTGCGCTCATATTATTCTTAACAAATTTGCTAACTTTTTTTGGTTTTCGTTTTTTTTTTCTTAAGCTATCAACATTTACAAGCCTACCGATGCCACGACCAATCCTTCTCTTATTTTGTCCGCTTCCTCCATGGAGCGGTACCAGCCCCTGGTGCAGAAGGCAGTGGATTACGCCAAGAAAACCAAGGGGTAAGTGATACTTTTAATTATCAATTCAACTATTAAAGGAACCTTTAATTTGAGTTTCCTACAAGTTATAAATTATTATTGATTGCTTACATTTTCAAGTTAACTAAAAACCCTTGAAAGCATCTTTGGCACCCCTTATACACTGTAAAAACAGTTTATTCAATGGTTTCCCTCTCATTTTTCTAGATCCGTGACTGAGCAAGTTGCCGAGGCCATGGATTACCTGTGCGTGCTGTTCGGAACGGAAATTCTGAAGGTTGTACCTGGCCGAGTTTCCACTGAAATCGACGCTCGCCTCTCCTTCGACACCAAGAAGAGCGTGGCCAAGGCCCTGAAGCTGATCGATCTGTACAAAGCCCAGGGAATCGGCAAGGAGCGAATCCTGATCAAGCTGGCCTCCTCCTGGGAGGGCATCAAGGCGGCTGAGATTCTGGAGAACGAGCACGGAGTTCACTGCAACTTGACCCTTCTGTTCTCGTTCGCCCAAGCCGTGGCTTGTGCCGAGGCTGGAGTGACCCTGATCTCTCCCTTCGTGGGCAGGATCTTGGACTGGTATGTGGCCAATACAGAAACCAAGAAGTTTGAGCCCCTGAAGGACCCCGGCGTCATCTCTGTGACCAACATCTACAACTACTACAAGAAGTTCGGCTACAAGACCCTGGTTATGGGCGCCTCCTTCAGGAATGTGGGAGAGATCAAGGCCCTGGCCGGTTGCGATTTGCTGACCATTAGCCCGGCGCTGCTCAAGGAGCTGGGCAATGAGACCGAGTCGGTCATAACCTACCTGTCGGTGAGTAATGCGAAGCTGCAGGACATCGAGAAGATCACCGTAGACGAGAGCAAGTTCCGCTGGCTGCTGAACGAGGATGCCATGGCCACCGACAAGCTCTCGGAGGGCATTCGAAAATTTGCCGTGGATACTGTTAAGCTGGAAAATTTGATTAAAACCTATCTTAAGTAAAGTTTCCTCCAAGACTCCGATTTTTGCCGCTGGCTGGTGGAGGATGATTGTGTAGCAATTATTTACACATTTTGTACTTTAATAAAACTTACAATTAAAAAATATATTGTATGAGATTTACTTTGGGGAAAATCACAAACTTGAATTTAAATTTTCCAAGTTATTTAATTTAATTGTTTTAGCAACAATTAAAGTACATACTTAAAACGTAAAAAACGTTCAAGTCATATTATTACATTTTTAGGATTCTTGTGTTTCGCACTAAAAATACTTTTTATAAGATACGTATTTCCAAGATAGTTTTCCATTCTGCGCGCTATCCCGAAGTGTGAGTTTCGCTATCGATAGTACACGCGTCGAGATACTTTTATCGATAGCTACCCAAAAACATCGATAAGAGTATCTACCTTTGTTGCATCCCTAGGTTGATACATAAAATAAAAAATATATAAAAAGTGAGTTAGTACTGGTATTAAAAGTAATTTTAAGTAACAAATTCAGGCAGTGCGAGCCCGCATTGATCATGATTATTGGGATTATTGAAAAACGGTCGCTGTCGTGTCAAGTGCGATCAAATTAGCTTTTTCTGCACCTCCGAAAGTTGCTCCCCCAATCGTGCACCTATAGTTTTAGCCCGAAGTTGCTCCCATGAATAAAAATGTTCGGTAATTCACGGTAAACAATAACCATTGTCAAACATAGGGAATAATTCGCGCACAGCCCAGTATCCGTACATGCACGTAGTGTACGTAGTGCTGGGCCGAGCTAAGCCTGACAATTCGCGCAAAGATGTGATTCGCGAAGCAAGTCCCCGACTTCCTGTCCCTGACGTCGTCGTCCTGCCTGTCCTGTCCTTAAACCTGAAATCAGTGAAAAATCGTTCGCGCATGAATATTCCAAATACTATCAGAGATGTGGTATAATATAGTTGCCCAAAGTGTCAAAGAAATGGCAAATATTCGGAGGCGCGGAGCACATACATATTGATATATGTACATACATTTATTTATGTACATCCATCCATTCACACATGCGAACCCGAGAACTTGTATATATATCGGAATACATACGCACGTATATACGAGTAGATACACAACGATGAGTACACATATCTGTGCAATATATGTACATGCTTAGGATCCCGATGAATTTATATGTACATATATTTACATTAAAAATCTGCATATGTACGTATGTATGTACATATATGTATGTATGTATGTACATCCGTTCGCCCGTTAAGATATATCTTCGTCCAACTCTTTCGGACATCGGACAGACAGCCATAATTAATAGATTAAATACTTTTACGCGTGCATGAGTATATGTATACATTTTTGTGTATATAATAAATTCATATTTGAGTAAAAGTTTAATAAAATGATCGCCTGAAAATATTCGTACATTTTCGCAAAAAAAATAAAAATAAAAAACCTGGCTGGTATATACACAGCAGCCATCTGAATTTTAACTGCTACGAGACGAGCCTGCAGATGAAATTATGTTGGTATCTCAATGTATGTATATATTGTATGTACATGCGTACCTGCACCTTTGTATGCGCGAAAATTCCACCCGCCCTCTTCTTCACCTGTTACACTACGCTGATGAATTCCAATTCGCCTGACCCGAGAACGTCGGATGTACGGATGTACGCTTACGGAACGGGCTTGGGCACGGGCGTTGCGTGGAGTAATTTTTGATTTTGATTGCACTCGATAATGGAAGCTAGCTTGGTTTTCCAATTTCGATTCGAATTTGGGGGCTCAGCTAAGAGTGACGTGACTCATGGGGGGCATTCGTGGGCGGGCATAGTTCCAGAAATGTCGCCAAAGCCAAAGTCAGGGCCCATTATGTGTGTGTGTATGTATGTATGTGTGCTTGTGTATGCGTATGCGTGTGATCTAGGTCCGCGAATCCTTTTGGAATACACATTTCCCGTTGGTATTTACCATTTGATGTAAACATAACGATAATTAATCGCAAAAAGATGCAATCCAGGCTTAGTTTAAGTAGGAAAGCAACCCGTTTAACCATTTTTTATCTACCATTCCCCCATGCCCAGCCTGCAGCTCAGACCTGTGGAAGCGCTGAGTTGAACGGTGGTGTCACTGAGATCCGCTAGCGGTGAATTGTACATAAGGACATTGTGTATAAAACTCGGAAAAGTCTCAGCTATACTGGAGCAGAACGGAGAAAACACAAGGGGTGCCGAGTCACCCGACGCGAACCAGGAAAACCGTGCGACGTGTTGGTGGACCCCGTGGGCTGCGATGGGTTGCTTTGGGTCGCCCACCTCGAAGCAGTCGTCGTCGGATGTGAACTCCTCGGAGGACTCGAAGAGCCAGAAGCGCCGGAGCGATGCAATATCTAGACAGTTGCAGAAGGACAAACAGCTCTACAGGGCCACGCACAGGCTGCTCCTCCTCGGGGCCGGTGAGTCCGGCAAATCAACTATAGTCAAGCAGATGCGAATATTGCATGTCGATGGATTTTCTGAAACAGAGAAGAAACAGAAAATTGATGATATTAAAAAGAATATTCGAGACGCTATCTTGGTGAGTTTTCCCACGCGTAATAATCGAATTTGAACGAATTGAAACTATAACAATCTTCGTCCATCTGCAGACTATTACAGGAGCCATGAGCACACTTAATCCACCTGTAGCTTTAGAAAAGAAAGAAAATGAACCCAGAGTGGAGTACATTCAGGATTATGCATCTAGTAAGTTACCATCAGTTACTTGTTCTCCAAACACTAATTATGTATCTTTTCCCCAAAGGTCCGGACTTTAATTATCCTCCTGAATTTTATGAACATACAGAAGAACTATGGAAAGACAAGGGCGTTCTTCAAACCTATGAGAGGTCGAATGAGTATCAATTAATCGATTGTGCGAAATAGTAAGTCTTGGCCTCTTCATTAAATAGAAACTTTCAATGTTTTTCGTAGCCGAATGAAGTTTATTCTTAAATGTCTCTCAGAAATATGAAAGCAATCGTTTGCACCACACCTGATCTAATAGCTTAACTGTGTGTTCTTTCTTGGAAATGCACCAATTGCCGAAGATTAAGATTACTGATTGGATTGGAAGTATGCATCTCTGATAACTCCGAGTTGAATCGTGTGGCTAGATTTACATTTAATTTGTGTAGAAGTGGGAAAATTGAAGTCAAAACCCAATAATATTTGCTTGAGCTAATAATCTCTAGGCTAGTCAATGCCTTATTAAATATAAGTAATACTAGTCTCCCTTAAGCTACAGTAACTGTTTTAATCTACAGCTTGGCAAAACCATATTATAATCTTCATTTATACACCTTGTTTTTCACGTTTTAAAGCTTCCTGGACCGAGTTAGCACAATCAAGAATCCAAACTATACCCCTAATGAGCAGGATATTCTTCGGTGCCGTGTTTTGACTTCTGGAATATTTGAAACAAGATTTCAAGTGGACAAAGTAAACTTTCAGTGAGTATTTCTCAAAGCGTTCGCATTAATTCAAAGCTAACCGCCACCTTACCTCACCCCACCCCACCCAACTACGTACTACGTGTGCAGCATGTTTGATGTCGGAGGACAGCGAGACGAGCGTAGGAAATGGATTCAATGTTTCAATGATGTAACCGCTATTATATTCGTAACTGCGTGCTCAAGTTATAACATGGTTTTGCGTGAAGATCCCACCCAAAATCGACTTCGAGAATCTTTGGATTTGTTCAAGAGTATTTGGAACAACAGGTGACACGTGACTCTTGCATAACTATTGCAGCCTCTACCTGGAGAACTCTTTGTACTAACGCCGCCCTCGTTTCTTTTGTATATTCCTATAGATGGCTTCGCACGATTTCTATTATACTATTTTTAAATAAGCAAGATTTGTTAGCAGAGAAAATTAAGGCTGGAAAAAGTAAATTGTCGGAATATTTCTCCGAGTTTAACAAATACCAAACGCCAAGTAAGTAAAATAGAAGAACTGCAAAGTCTAGCATCCTAGCAACCATTAAAGAACTATATTTTGGAAGCGCATCCGATTTGAATGGAAAACTTCTCGGCCTGACTCAAAATTGCCTCTTCAAAATTAAAACGCATTCATATTAACTTAAGAAATTTAATGGATAATATATTTTTGTCTAATTTCAAATGTGCTGTCGACACAGGTGACGCAATAATGGAATCCAATGACGACCCAGAAGTAATACGAGCAAAATATTTCATACGAGACGAGTTTCTGGTAATTATACATGGGCTCTTTATATAGTCACTTGGTTTTACTCTATATATTTTCCGATTTGCAGCGTATATCTACCGCTAGCGGAGACGGTAAACACTATTGCTATCCACATTTCACATGCGCCGTTGACACAGAGAACATTAAGCGAGTGTTTAATGATTGCAGAGACATTATTCAAAGGATGCACCTTCGTCAATATGAATTGTTATAGGTTATCCTCCCCCATCGCCGTAATGCAAGTAAATAAAAAAATATTAATGACTTACTGTTTTAAATATAATTATCAAATGTAATTTGTATTTAAATAGTCCCTTGATTAAAACAAAACAAAAAATTCGCTGCATTTAGAATCTGGTATGACCTTTCACAAAAACTCAACATTAAAGAATAAATAAATAAACATGTTAATAACAGTACGAATCGTTTTATTCACACATTCGGTTGAGTAGGCGATGAGGATGAGATTTGTTTATCAACTATCTATGCTACATATATATATTTATATAATCCCTTGACATGAAGCAGTATTTTAGGCGTGACTCGATCGATTCGTATCCGTGAGCATTTTACAATCAGAAAGTCCGAGAGTGGAGTTATCGTCACTAGACTAGCTGGTTCAGTATACTGAAGCTGGCCGAGGCCTTGTCGATTTCGTCAAAGTTCCTCTTCAGCTTGCTGCCCCAGGCGGTGTTGTCCTTGCTGTAAATGGGGTCCATTCTCACCAGGTAGGGCACCAGGTCCCGGTGATGGCTGTTGCCCCCGATCCTCCGATCCGAGCAGGATTTAACGTTGTACTTGGCCTTGTAGTCCAACTGGCACTCGTAGCAAACGACGGTCTGTCCATTCGCAGCGGAAATCAATCTACAGACGAGATGTGAAGGGCTTTAAAAGTTAATGCCACAAAAAATGATTCCAGTAAGTAGGGAAGGATAGATGGATCTGTTATCTGTCCATTTACATATATGATGTATACAGTACATTTCCCGATAACATTCGGATAAGACCTGATAACATCGGTTTAATCTTGAATAGTTGATAACGTGCATTTGTTATTTGCCTTGTTTTTAGTTTTTATATAAATTCTGTTGCACTTACCTAACTATAAATGGTCCATCGTATTTCTTTGAGCCGGCTTATGAAGGGAAAGAGCATAAGAATTAATAATTAGGTTTAAGATTGATAGTTTTAGGCTATTTACAAATTCCTTTCTAGATGGCAGCTGGCTAGATTGAAGGCAATGTTACGTACAATAATAAAAATAAAACTCTTTTATAAATGCAATAATTTATTAACAAATAGTAGCTACATCATTTTCGTATATAGTATATAAAATAAAGTCCCATCCATGCTCCATTATTTACACGGTACTCGATATGGTCAGAGATTTACAAGGTACATGGGGATCTTAGTCGGTTAACAGTTGTCTATTTTCAGTCCTTTTAATCAAGTGTCCTCCGCCAATGCTGTCTAAGCCGCGCTTTGACACTTGTCGCGCAAAATGCTTGTTTTTTGACAGAAATATGTTCATATTTCGTAGGAAAAGTTTGTAAAACTCGTTAAAAAAAGGCGATGTCGGTGAAAGGTCATCGTTGTCTACAAATCCTGTTCGTAAACTTTCGCTGTTCCCGTTACCAAATTGTTTTAATGCTGAAATATCTGGTTGAAATAATAAGAAATTCATAAGTTAATGGTATTATTTACAAACAAAATGAATATAATTGAATTAAGATTTCATTTGTACATTTCCCCATTTCAAAGGCTTAGGTAAAATGTTGTTCAAGTTCCACAAATAAATAAGTAAGCACATAAATATTCTGGTTACCTTCACACAGGTATTTTCCATCCATTAATTCGTCATTGGTAATATCCTAGAAACACGTAAGATTTATTTAGACAATAGTTTTACGACTTTTAAAGCCTTTATATTCACTTTGAGTTACATTAAAACACACTTCAAATTCACAGTTCAGGGTACTCACCACGCTCGGCGCCGCCTGGATAAAGTTTAAAAACATCGATACCACCACAAGTACTATAAAAATATTCATATTTCCAGTTGTTGTCGATGCACTTGGAGGAAAACAATACTCGCCGGAGTTTTGAAGAAGACTGTGCCTTTTATTCGGCCGCGATTCGCTTTATATCCGATTTTAGTCCTCGGACTTGAACAGGGTGAGGGAAAATATATGATGCAGATAACCAGCGACAGCTGAAAGACCCACAGGAGCGCACCCATTATTAACAGCTTAGTTGTGCGGTTTCCTTTATGCTCTTAATGCGTCACTTGCCACCATATTTCCAACAATTTGTGGTAAATACTCGGACAAACAGACCCGGAGTGGTGTCAAGATTTTAGCAAACATACGTGCATTCAAACCATATGCTCAATTTTATTAGATTTAATTTTCATTTATATAGTTTATATAGTTGGAGTTTGCTTCCTTTGTGTCCTTTGCTGTCGTCATTTCCCGCTTAATTGAGTTAAATAACTGCATAAAACTTGAATTAAACTTGCTTTAAAAGTGGCGCTTTAAAAGTGAAATGTGTTAAAAATGTATTGAAATATTTTTTGAAACACATTTATAAATTGTTAAGGATATATTATTATGTTACTTGTTGCTAAATGTTGGGTTTAGGGTTTCATTTGGAGGCCTGTCTGTGCTAAATTATTTAAGGCAATAATACATTAACTTCAAAATTAACGTTTTAAAGTACAAACAAATACAATTGTACTTCGATTAATTTAAAAAACAAGAAAGAAAGCTAACTTTGGCCAGCCAAAGTTTGTATACCCTTGCAGGTAACAATTAAAATGATCATAACTAAGCCAAAAATGCATTAATTTCGATTCGGAAAGCAGTTTTGTGTTAGTTCTTATTAATTTAAAAAAACTACATACCAAATTAAAAATTTTAAGAAATCAAAATTTTTGGCCATTTTTGCTTATTTTAATGATGTAACCCCTTATAAAATTTTGCAAAAATGGCAAAAAAATCGATTTCTTCCGGACATATCTAGAAAGATTCCCCGGTTGATGCTGATCAAGAATATATATGGTTTATTGGGTCGGAAAGGTCTCCTTCACTGCGTTGCATACTTCTGACTGAAATTATAATACTCTGCAAGGGTATAAATATATCTTAAATCGTTAAAAGGAGCAGCTGCGGATGTATCTATTCAATTAATTCTATGTGATTGTTGTGGTTCTATTTAGGCTATTTCCATGTATATACTATTTAAAATATAAGTAAGAAAGAAAGAAAAATTAAATGAGAAAAATATAAGAAATCCGTTACTTATCAAACTGGTCAAATTTCGATCAAAAGTTTCCATCGATGTCCGATTCTAGACGTTCCGATAAACATTTACAATCGTACAACGGAAAGAAGAGACAGTAAAAACTTAAAAAAAACATTTAAAAACTATATGTATATACAAAATTTTAATAAAGTTCAGTAAAATTATAAAACATATTGGCAAAGCAATAGAAATAATTTGAATATTTGAATATTGCCGAAAACAGATGGAAATGAAACACAAATATAAATAACATGCTTGCTCTTTGCTCATTGTCATTATCTAAAGCAAAAGCCTTCCTATAAAATTAATCAAAATTAAATGTACATGAATAAACAAAATTGAAGCCGATGTCTACCATTTTTAATAAGTATTTGAATGTTCCAGATTCCATGGTTAAAGTACCCTTAATATAAATTAATCGACTTTCACGAGTGACACGAATCACCCTGTTTGAAATATAATGTTTTCTTCTTAAATTATAAAATCAGCACATATATTGCGAAATGTCACGATTTCTGCTATCCTCTCGGAGATTGATTCCGCAGGTAGGTCCCACTGCTCCGCGCCCGCACTCCCATTGCCCAACGCCCTCCTAATTGTAGATTCAGCAAGATTTCTTGCTCGCCGGCTCATGGATTTCGACCCTGCAGCCGCACAGGGGAAAAGCCTCGACACCGATAAACATGTGTGTTATGTTTGTGCCCCAGCAAGAGGTAAGTGGTTCCCATGCAGGTCCCCCAGTTGGGTTTGCTCCAATAGGTTGTATGATTGCAGGCCTGGGTGGTGGAGCGGATGGGCCGCTTTCATAGGATTCTGGAGCCCGGCCTGAACGTCTTGGTTCCCGTGGCAGACAAAATCAAGTACGTGCAAAGTCTGAAGGAGATTGCCATAGATGTGCCCAAGCAAAGTGCTATTACCTCCGACAACGTGACGCTTAGCATCGACGGAGTGCTCTACTTGCGCATCATCGATCCCTATAGAGGTAAGTGGGTGGAGAACAGCGAAGCATGCTACATGGTTATATCACCCGTCTAGCTTCCTACGGCGTGGAGGATCCGGAGTTCGCCATAACGCAGCTGGCCCAAACGACAATGCGATCGGAGCTGGGCAAGATGTCGCTGGACAAGGTGTTTCGCGAGCGAGAGTCGCTTAACGTCAGCATCGTCGACTCCATCAACAAGGCCAGCGAGGCGTGGGGCATCGCCTGCCTGCGCTACGAAATCCGTGACATTCGAGTGAGTACGATCCCCCTTGGCTCATGCACTCCAGTTCCTCAAGAATTGTTCCATTTCAGCTGCCCACGAGGGTCCACGAGGCGATGCAAATGCAGGTGGAGGCGGAGAGAAGAAAAAGAGCGGCGATTTTGGAGTCCGAAGGTGTTCGCGAGGCGGAAATTAACATTGCCGAGGGCAAGCGGAAGTCCAGGATCCTAGCATCGGGTTTGCAATATTATAATCCGCAAGTTGGGATTCTTACTGATACTCTTTTATCCTGACCAGAGGCCGAGCGGCAGGAGCACATTAACAAGGCCAGCGGAGAGGCGGCTGCCATTATTGCCGTGGCGGATGCCCGGGCCCGCAGCCTGCTGGCCATAGCCAAGTCCCTGTCTAACCTGGTGAGTACTTGAAGAGCAAGCTGGACAAATACTTCAGTTCCAGTTCAGGCTGCCCCCTGAAATCTTTCGTGAGCATCACACACACTACACAAACTACTCAAAATCGAGAATGTTTCAACCGGAGTACGAGCAGCGATTGCTGCATCAAATGACGGGTGGCAAGCAGCAGCTGGATTTGCGATGCATTCCCCAGCGGGCGGGCAGTCAGGCCGCCCGAAATTTCCACTTGCCAGATTCTGCAGAGCCCCAGGCAGAGAACGACAAGGAGGTGTGCCACAGTACTCCGTATGCCTGTCTGCTGCGCAATGAGTTTCTGGGCACGAAGATCGCCTCGCTCGATCAGTGCAAGGTCAGCGCAAAGATCCATGCAGAGACTGGCGACTTCAAGGTGACGGAAAATACGCGTCTTTACCGATTTGGAAACGAGATGCCAAGGAGTGAGGATGAGACTTCACTGCCTGCTCTGCGAAGGCCGTTCGCAACCGTAAGCCAATGCAGCCAAAGACTGCTCAGCAGCTCGGCTGAAAGTCCCACCCGAAGGCTCTCGCGGGTTCCGTACAAGATACTCGACGCCCCCGAGCTGCTGGATGATTTCTACTTGAATCTCATCGACTGGTCGTCGGAGAACATTCTGGCCGTGGGCCTGGGATACTCGGTTTACCTGTGGAATGCAGTCGATGGCCAAGTGACGCGGTTGTGCGACTTCACCCAGGAGGATAATCTGGTAACGGCGGTCAGCTGGCGCAACGGGGGCGGCGCCACCCATGAGGTGGCTATTGGCACGCAGAGTGGCTGTGTCAGAATCTATGACGCAAGGCGGCAGAAGCAAATCAACCGGCTTGGCGGGCATACGGCGCGAGTAAACGCCCTGGCGTGGCGAGGCAATAACCTGAGCAGTGGCTCCCTCGACTGCTCCATCCTACAGCGGGACGTACGCACGCCCCCGCTGCACATTACGCGGTGCCTTCGTGGGCATAGGCAGGGCGTCTGTGGCCTGCAATGGTCGCCGTCCCATAAGTACTTGGCCAGCGGGGGCAACGACAACCGGCTCTTGGTGTGGACAGACAATAGTCCCGAGCCCATCTATGCCTTCGAGGAGCACAAGGCGGTGGTGAAGGCCTTGGCCTGGTCGCCGCACAAATCTGGTCTGCTTGCCAGTGGCGGCGGTACCGCAGACGGCTTTCTGCGCTTCTGGAACGTGCTCACTGGCAAGATGGTGCAGTACATCGATACCGGTGCCCAGATCAGCAACCTGGCTTGGTCGCGTCATACCTCCGAGCTGGTGACCACGCACGGCTATTCGCAGCCGCAGGTTATTGTATGGCGCTATCCCTCGCTGAAGCAGGTGGTCCGCCTCTCTGGTCACACGCATCGCGTTATTTATCTGGCCGTCAGTCCCGACAACGAGTCCCTGGTGACGGGCGGAGGTGACGAGACGCTGCGCTTCTGGGCGGCGTTCACCAAGAGGCAGCCGGCGAAGGTGCCAAAATCAGTGCTCAGCTTGAATCAAATCATCAGATGAAACCGATTTTTCTCGATATTATTTCTATTTTATAAATGTTTTTCGCAAGGCAAAATGTAAATGCTTATTTCATGTTCATTGCAGGACGGGAAAAATGCAGCCTCGCTCACACTGGCCGAACAGTACATTGCAGCGTTCAAGAAGCTGGCCAAGACGAACAACACCATGATCTTGCCCTCCAATCCCGGCGATGTCAACAGTTTCGTGGCTCAGGCCCTGGCGGTTTACAATCACGTCTCCACCTCCAGCCAGGCCAGCATCAACGCTCCGGAGAACGTCAAGAGCATGAACGCCTGCCTCAACGCGAGCAATGCGACCGAGTACAACCAGTTGAACGAGGAGAAGAGCAGTGTGAAAATGAATATTGAATAAGGTTAAATAAAAGATTGTTGCTATTACATCATCCTCGTTACGTTTTTACCCACCACCAGGCGCGGCATTTAGACGTTAATAAAAGCAGTTTCTAGAAAACCAAACAACTCTTTATTCGCCGCTACTTCGGCAGGTACTTCAGCAGGCGAACCTCATGCGACAGCCACAGGGCGAAGCTAAGCAGGATCAACGATCCGGACTGATGGGCGGTGGCCAGGGGCACGGGCACATACGTGAGCAGGGTAGTCACGCCCAGAGTGGCTTGTGTCCAGGCCATCGCCACCACCGCATTGATGGCCCAGTTGGCCCGCTTGGGCAGCTGCAGCCGCATCCGTCTGGTGACCAGCCAGAGGGCTGTGGTCAGCGTCACCGTGCTGATGCCCAAGATGCGATGGTTGAACTGCACTGTCGTCGGATTCTCGGTTATATTCCTTTGCAGCGGCTGGAACTGCCACATGTCGTCGGGTATCCACTTGTCGCCCATCTTGGGGAAGGAGTTGTACACCAGACCAGCGTCCAGGCCGGCCACAAAGGCTCCCGAAATGGCGGTCAAGAGGACCATAGCCTTTGTGAGATGCGACAGACCTTTTATGTTAAATGCGCTCTTGGCCTGGATCACAAATGTGTTGGCTGGCATCAGCATGGACATGGCCTTGGACAGCGAAAGGGCGTACAGAACGAAGGCGGCGGCCAGGTGGGAGGCCAGCCTGTATTGGGACACGCGAGGGACGTCGTTCGGATCCTGGAACCTATCCTCCAGGCCAGACTTGACCATGTACCAGCCCATTAGGCCTTGGAGACCGATCAGTGTGCCCAGGAGAAGGACGCTTTTCTTGGTCTTTGCACAGAAGTAGCCTTTTTTCCAAAAGTAGGCGGCAGGCAGAAGGAAGAAGCCGCCGATTGCACGACCCCACATCCTGTGGATGTACTCCATCATGAATATAAACTTGAACTCGTCGACGGTCATGTTTACATTTTTCCTAATCAAAAGAGGGGATTCCGATAAGGACGTGCCGGCAGAATGGCAGTGCAGTGTACCTACAGCTTATACTCTGGATATTGCTGGTACTTTGTGAATTCCTGCACCCACTCCTCCTGCGTCCTGGGCATGCGTTCGCCCGTCAGCTTCCAAGTCACCATGGACAACCCGGACTCTGTTAGCCTGGTTACGCCACCTGGAACGGAGGATTACGTGTGAGCAAAACTTTAAGGATGTGGCACGGAGTGTACCTAGGCCGACGGCCACAAACACCATGCCGCTGACGCCGAGGAACCATTTGCCCACGATTTTGTCGCTCTTTGAGATACTTGTTGGTTTAATCGCAGGAATTTCCTGCAAGATATGCGGATTGTAAGATACTCATTCCCAATCATCTTGAGGCAGCATGTAATCACCACCTTTATCGCCGTTTGCGCAACAGTTTGGTGCAGTCGTGGCCCTGGCACCAGAAGCTTTATGAGACTAGTTCTTTTCTGGATCATACGCAGCATTGTGCTTAATATTTAAACGTAACTTATTTTTTAAACTAAATTTTAGTGCCGGTGGTTCAGCTGTTTTTCGTTCTACCCGGAAAACCCCTAACGCCTCGTGGAAGTAAGCTGGAATGTGTGCAATCTGGTCACACTTTGTCATCTCATCCACAAAAATTACCGGCTCCTGGAAACAATTTTGCAAATAAAATGGAAACTACTCTGAATACGCAGTTCGAGCAGCTGCAAAAGATCATCGAGAGTATACATGTGGCGAAGAGCAAGGTACCTCCGCTTTTGATCTCTGGTTGCAATTTATAATGAGCGATTTACAGGGACAAGCCACAGAGGAGGGAAGGAAGGCGGCCACTCTGATGTTTGTGGCTCTGAAGCACGCCAATCGCGAAGTCAAGCAAAAGATCAAGGATGGGCGGGACAAGCTGCACATGGAGAAGTCCAAGGTGGACCTTAGCAGGTTGCAGCTGCAGAATCTGCTGTACGAAGTGAGCCACTTGAAGAAGGAGATTGTGCGCTGCCAAAAGTTCAAGAGTCGCGACTCCCAGTTGGAGTTGCTCTCCGAGACTGAGTACGCCAGCCAGCTGCCGAGCATGCCGAGTGCCAAGGCCGATTTGTCCAGTCACAAGAAGCACGTGCACCGCCTGGAGTGCGAGCTGCGGCTAAGGAAGGATCTCGACAAGCAGTACAGCTCACTGCTGAGCTCAAAGCAGGAACTGTTGCAGGAAAATCTCAGCCAGACGCAGAGGTACACCTCGTTTTCGCCAGCTCTGCGCACCCTGCTGGGAGCCACAAAGCCCCTGCACGACGCCCTGCAGCTGTCCCTCGACTTGGAGTGGAAACTGAGTGCCGTGTTCAAGTATCTGCCAAAGCCGCTCTACGTTTCGTTTATAAACCTGCAATCGCTGCAAAGGACGAGGGATGACCTATCCTTCACCGCCGAGGTGGTTGGCTATGAAAGCGAGGCTCAGATGCAGGAGTTGCTCAACGAGAAGCGCCAAGCCGCCTTGCGGCGAGAAGGACCAACCAAAACTGAAGAGCCCATGGATTTGGATACTTTACTAACTCCCCATGCTCTGCACATTAAGCTGACGGTGCGTACGAAAGGGTTTCCGAGTTGGGAGTGACCTGCATAACTCTTTTTCGACTTTGTAGATTGGAAACTCTGGGTCAAACCAGCTTATCTTGCTCATACGCTACTTCGAGGGGATCAAGTGCGCCACAGTGTGGGCCCAAGTGAACTCTTCCAATAGCCAAGGGTGAGAAGACATTTGCTCAAGGAAAATATCCATATCCCAACCCCGACTTTCTTTCTAGCGAAACCAACTTTATTCACAATCTCCTGCGGCATTTATACGCCAATGATATGGGAAATGAAATACCCATTCCTGGCATTCAATACGAGGTATTTGCACTTGCTTTCGGGGAAAATATCAGAATTAACCATTTTATTGTCTTCTAGCTGGGTAGTTCCGGTCTGACCACCGAGGAGTGCCTGCGATATTTGGAGGACAAGGAGTTTGGAAAGCCCTTCTGCTGGCTGCAGGCCATGTGCCTTATTCCCACTGCCAACAGCTCCATGCTCGAGCGCAATTTGAATAAGAACACCCGCGAGATCATAGCTCGCATCGAAAGGCGCTGGAATTCCTGGCTGCGATTGAGCCAGCAGATTCGCGGCCTCACCTACAAGGATATTGATTTGTACACCTTAAGGGAAAACATCTACCCGGTGGGTTTATCGTGCAGCCTGGTCCAGTGGACGGCAATCACACACGAAGAATTTCATGCGCAGAACTCGGACGTGTTGAAGATTTCGTCAGACGACAGGGGCATTACATACAACTCCTATCGTGCGGTATTTGTCAGGAGCTCCGCTAAAATGGAGTGCTTCATCCGAATACCGAGCAACTATCCCCTGGAGATGCCTCTTTGGATCCTAACCGTGCACTGGAATGGCTGTCATACGTCCCAGAACAATTCGGCCATAAAGGTTGTTATCTTCAGATTTTTAAGTCAGTCACAGTCACGGATATTTAAGCTCCTTATTATTATCGTTGTTTAGATGATGGAATACTGGACGAACTCGTTGCAGCCCAAGCAGCTGGGGCCCAACGAGCGCCTACTCTATGCCCAGCTCTTCCGCACCATATACAGCTTTGACATATTCCTGGAAACCGAGGGCTCCATGCAAAGCTCGATTGAGTACAACAAGGAGAAGCCCTACATCAGTGCGTTTTCGAAGCGGAGCCGTGCCCGACCCTACAAGTACATTAAGAAGGGTTCGGTGTACGCATTTAAGCAGTGATTCAGATGCGCAGGCGGCTTACCAAACGGACTTCACAGTTTCTGTTTATTACGTTTAGTAATACAATAAATAAGTAACATTTGTAAAGCTAGCTTTGACTTCATTGGCAGTTCATCTTCTGGGAACTGGTCGCTGCCAAGGATCCAGGCGGAAGCGCCGTTGCAGAGGCATTTTCCACAGACTCTCGACTCTCGTCCGGCATCACCTTATCCACAACGTGCTTGGCAATCAGGCCATCGTCGCCGAGATAGCAAACGGAATAGCCGTCGTACCACGCCTCCTGGTCCTTGAGCACCTCCTTCAACTGCCAGATCTTGTACTTCCAGAACTGGAACATCACCTTCAGGCCGGAGATGCCCCTTACTCGCCACCGTATGCGCACCGTGTAGTCATCAGGATGTTTTGTGATCTTGAGCACCTCGAACTTAACGTAGGCGTACTTCAGGTGCCCCACCGTCCTCAGTATGGCAATCTGTTTGACGTAATGGTACAGTCCGACCGTGTGCTTGCCCGTAATATTGTTCTGGAAGATTAGGCCCGGGCTGTATATGGAGTAGTCCAGCGGCTCCACGAACAACTTGGGCAGAGTGCTCCTTAACACTTCGTATGCCCGGTCCAGGTCCTCAGGCTTCCTAGCGTTTTCTTTGGGGGAGTTGCTGGTGTCGCTGGTGTTGACCGCATTGGCGCTGTCTTGAAAGCTCCGGCTGTGCTTAATGCCTCCGTCCACTTGATGGCAATTTAACAGCCTGTTCTCGCATCCTGCCGCCTCAGGCACGTGCAGCCGCGTGGCGGAAGCCAAGGCTCGTTCCCTGATGCACCTGGTTGCCAGCCAGTGGCTCCTTCTTATTGATAACATTCCCAAATTTCGCATCATTTTGCAAGGCTCGCTGACAAGGAATTATGTATACTTCATTAACCAGACTTCTCGATTTCTCTCCACAACTCTACGTCGGCTACAACTGGGTCAGACCATTCGTAGTCGGTCGAATCAACGCAGGTCCTGTGTGTCCTGTTTTTTTTCTGTATTAGTCCAGAATCGCAATGTGGAATATGTTCTCGTGTTTAGGTAACAACATTTGGAGAAACGTTCGGCACAAAATCATATGGTCGTTCGATAGTGTGACCCTGGTTCAATTCTTGCAAAATAATATTATTTTTAACTAATTTTATATATTTTATATATTTTAAATTGTAAAATGTTTATCTTGTTCTATTTAATTGCCAATTTGTCTCCGGCTCACTCTAGACATTGGTCTTAAAGCCGGAGTTGAGGAAAAAAGGGAACTTGTCAGCCCTGAACACCAATCCCCAGAACTTTTGGCATTAGTCAACACTAGAAATCTATTAGTGGAATCGAAAAAGTTTGAATTTGATTTTAAAATAATGAAATAATAATAATAATAATTGGCTGCGTTACTGTAGAATTGGTGTGCTGCTCCGCAATCCGCTGGCTGGTCTGTGCTAAAATACTGTTACATTTGTAGGACGCCTTGTTAACTTGCAAAATTAACCGTTATTTTTGGCGGAAGTGACGTTTTGTGCTCCTTTAGTCCTTAAATATTGTTCCACCAGGTACCCAATTCCTTGTTCAGGCTCGTTTTTGTGAAATACATTTTAAGCAAATATAAGCGTCTGATCCTACAACTACATCGAGCCAGGATCCTTTCCTTAACGAACTTTCAAATAGCCTCCAGTTTTCGCTAGAAAAGAAAAAGCTTACTTCAACATATGGAGCTGTATGAAATGATTCAAATGTCTGAATATCGAACTTAAAATTTAAAGATCGCTAGCTTCACCAAATGAGGAACAACTTGTGCCCTTCCAGGCGAACTCCCAAGCGAACAAAAACAATCGAAAGGCTCAATTATTGCTCTTAAAGCAGTAATGAGGTAAGCCTTTTGATTCTCAAAAAATCATCTAAAGTTTGAAACACGAAGACAATACCGACGACAACGTCCCAAACTCTTAAAGGATTATTTTTGGCGAAATCAATCTCTAGGAAGGTGACCTAAAATATAGCCCCAGCTAAGCCCAAAGCGGAATATTGGTTCAAAGTTTCAACAAAGACTTATGCTATATGTTTCTTCATCACAATTAAGTCAACACCCTAGATGTACAACATTTCCCAATCTCAAAACCCTGGTGGGGGGTATAATCAAACGTTGTTTATCGAATCCTGGCGATAGGCTCCGAGGATTTCGAGTATCTTGTAAAAGGGAAACTGTTGCATTTTGCAGTACTAAATGGTTTTTATGCGCAGGAATTCTGCGCAGACCAGTCGGTTACAAGCTCCTCGAATCACACGCAAATCTGGGAGGGAGCACATACATATATTAGTCTATAAGTAAACACGTCGTTGTTTACAGACACCCTAGCTATATAATACTAATTTAAGCTAAAGAGCTTTTGTTCGCTGAAAAATCGACTTTTATTTGAGCTTAAACCTATAGACCCTCGCGTAGCATGACGCACTAATCGCTGACGGTATTAATGAGTGCCAAATACGTGATTTAGTTTCTGCTAGCCCCAGTATTGAGAAAAATCAATAGGGAGTAAATAAAATGTTACATGCCTGAAACAGGCTTGGCGGAACTGTAATATATGTAATATCTGTATACTCCTAGTGGCTTCTCCCAAAATGTACGGAATCACTCAATCAACTGTAAACGTAAGTCTCGCACCGGCTATGGCCAAGGAGGGGGTTCTGTAGTTTCGATTGAAATTTACTGGTTCCCCTCTGGTAGTTGCTGTTGCCTCGCCTACTTTTTCGATTTGCGGTTATTGATTGGCAATTAAACGCACACATTGCGAATGCCACTCATTCGTTCATTTCCAGAATCAACGCTTTCGAGTTCGTGATATGGATAACGAGCAAATCATGTCCACTTTTGGGAACATTGGGCACTTGCTGAACATCGCCGTCGAGCGATTTATAACGATTGGCGAGATAATTGCCGAGGAAAATATTGACATCAAGGGGGATATGTACGAGGCGGCCAAGGAAGCCAGAGACGCGGGTGAGTTAGAGCATCGATTTTATAATGGACTTTCGCATTTAAATTGTTGCCTCGCAGGAAAATCGATTGAACACCTTTGTGATATATCACCCCTGGGACTGGGGGGTGGCATGGAGCTGCGACACCACATTGAGCCCCTTAAGGACTACGGCGCCATTATCTTGGCGGCGCGGTCCCTTCTCTCCTCTGTTACGCGAATCCTACTGCTGGTCGACATTATCGTGGTGAAGAAGCTCTTAACTGCCAAGAAGCGTGCATCCGAGAGCCTGGAGAAGCTGGAGTCGGTGATGAACTTCACCGAGTTCGTGCGTGCGTTCTCCGTCTTCGGCACGGAGATGATCGAGTTAGCTTACCTCACTGGCCATCACCGCAACTCCTTTAAGGAGGAGCGGCGGCGCGCGCAGATGTTCTCGGCCCGCCAGATCCTGGAAAAGTCCATTGCCATCCTACTGACGTCCTCGAAGAACAGCTTGATCCATAGCGACTGTGTGATCGTCAAGGAGAACCGCGACACCGTGTTCTGCCAGATAAGACGGGCCATGGACCTCATCCACTTCGTGGTCAAGGACAGTATCTTCGATACGGCGAAGCACATGCCGTTCGACAAGCAGGCCAGCAACCCGAACTACGAGAACGAGAGCATATACACGACAATAAAGCGCATTGTAAACCTCATCAAAAGGTACAAGTACCAGATGAACTACTACGAGAGCAACAACGAGGGGAATAACAACTCCGACGCGTACTTTAATTTCCTGGACGACGATCTCTGGAAGTCAGAGAAGAACCTCGCCCCAGCGGTGGGCGGATCTGGGGGACGCATGGTGAACAATACCAACTTCAGAAAGCATGTGAGCGCCGAGAGCCTGGACCTGCGTGAGGAGCTGTCGGTGGCGTTCGAAAAGCTGTTCGAGAAGGCCCACGACTTCACCGACTCCCCGTACATCAGTCACAACCATCGAAAAAACATACTGTCCTACTGCGACAACTGCAAGCTGGAGTTCGATCTGTATCTCAACACGATTATGAAGGATCAGCATCAGCACGAGACCGCGGGCGTCCAGTTGAAGGGTCGCGAGCCCGAGCTGGGAATGCTGAGCAGCCTGGAGGAGCTGTGCAAGCAGCTGGTCATCTCCGTGTCGAGCCAAATCGAGGACTTTAACGAGTCGCTGAAGATCTGCTCCAAGCTGGTCAAGTCGTTCCACGTCCTGGCAACGAACTACGACATCGACAATCTAAACCAACGCTCCACGAAGTTCCACGACTGCTGTGACCACATCTTTGACATCTGCAAGCTGTTGCAGCACATTGCGCCCACGGAAAAGCTGCAGGTCCAGGCCAAGTGCCTGGCCATCAATTTGCGAATCTACGGGCCGCAGGTCTTCATTGCTGCCAAGATCCTGTGGAAGTACTCGAACAGCAGTGCGGCCAACGAGAACTTCGAGTCCTTTTCGGACATGTGGAAGTGGCTGACGAACGAGATATCTATGATTGCGAAGAAGATTCTAGTATCAATTAATACAACTAAGGGCGACAGAGAGCCCGAAACTGAGGTAAGTTATTAATCCAGTTCCACTTACTCCTAACTAGACAAAGCGTTGGCTTTCCCCCCACCAGAAATGTGAAACCACAACAGATAAACTATCAAAATCCGGTGTACCTGCAACAGAAGATGGAGAAATGGTCGAGTATTCTGGCCTCGAAGGCAAAAACAATGGAGATCTAAGCACATATCAATCAAAATGGAGTGAAGACTTGTCCGACGACAACGACATATTAAAGAGAGCTAAGAACATGTCAGCGATGGCTTTCCTAATGTATCAGTTTACAAAAGGCAACGGTTCTCTAAGAACAACTCAGGATTTGTTTACTCAAGCCGAATATTTTGCGGAGGAGGCCAATCGACTTTACAAGGTCCTCCGTCACTTTTCATACCAGGTAAATGTTGTTACTTGTTACCTCCGGCCAGTCAAACTTAAAGGATTTATTTAGGTTCCAGCTAGTGACAACAAAAAGGATCTCCTTAACATTTTAGATAGAGTGCCGACTTTTGTCCAAGCACTTCAATTTACAGTCAAAGACCACACGGTGGGCAAAGCTGCCACTTTCGTGAAGGTCGATCATGTCATCAGAGAAACAAAAAACCTTATGAACGTTATTAATAAAGTAGTATCGAAGTGCTTTGAGTGCGCAAATAAGGTAAATAGAGCTAAGACCAGCCGCTATCGGGCCATCACCTATACGTAGTTGAGATCAAACATATATATATATATATCTTTTAAGTAATTGTTCGATGTGTATTATATGAGGTTTATAGTTTTACTGTGATATTAAAGCATGCATTATAACACAGGTATGATTTAAGACTTTATATTTTATTTCGCAATGGATTATTCTTCTTCCTGGAGGAGAACAACCTTATAGACTTCCTGTAGAGACTTTCCTGCCACCCGCTTCCTACCTTCCCATCCATTTCTAAGCTATTACTCATTCTAATAGAGCCAAGACCGCTTTCCTTTCCCCATCAGGACTACCCTAACCGAACCTGAATCTATAATGATCCTTTCCTTGCCTGTCTTTCGTTTAAACGTTAATTTGCTAGCCATAAATTATTTAAAGTTGCCATGGTAATTACTAACTTATACATTTGCAGTACAAACTAAATTTAACTGGGATAACCGGAGGACTCACGTCGGGAGCGGTTCGAGGCGACGACAACGTCGCCGGTGGAATGTGCGACTCCAAAGGAACAACGAGCAGCAGCGAGGGGAGCATGTGACATTACGGGATGGCTCGAAGAGCCAAGGGGGATGCACGGAGGACGAGGGTATCATTTTTATTGTTCTGAGCCTCAACCTTTTATTACTATTATTATAGTGTACACTGTTAGTATTCTTAATACATTCGATTCTGTGGATTAGTTGGAGCCGCTTCTAGCGTTTATTAATGTCAAACAAAAACAAATTTATTAAGCATACAAATTCCAATTAGTTGTTTTTAACAGCACGATCTTAAGATGCATATTTTGTTTCACTCTACATTCGCAAAAATTAACGGCAATAAAGGTAATGTGAGCCATGCAGATATGTAAATTAATGTTTTTCAATATAAAATAAATATAGAAGAAGGAATCTTATGAAAGCAAACCTATAAATCTGTTCGCAAGTATTTCCTATCAGTTTCATTCACCATCTGGGTGGAAGAACTATTACTGCAGCAACTGGGTTTCTTAGGCTCCTGCGATACGGTGTACACTTTCAGGGCAACTGTTGATGAGTCCTTCAATTGATCCGTCTGCGCCGTGGAATTCTTTAGTTTCAGCAAATTCTTGAAGAGCAACAGGTCCAGGGTAAACAAGGCAGCGCAGATAAAGCAGAGCCCTCCCAGCGAGTAGGCGTAAACTAAGAGGTCCTGCGGCAGTTGCTCCACAGTGAAGAATATGAGCAGGCCTGGAAGATGTTAAGTTTCTCATAAAGATCAGCAAGGCTACGCAGTAACTCTTACCCTCTATTGTAAAAAACAAAACGCCACAAGTCAAGAGAACTATTTCACAGGTGCCATAGTTAGAGGTTTGATCGATTATCCTGAAATAAAAAGGAAATTAAACTAAGCAAAGAAGCACCTCTGCATCTATTACCTCGTGAGCAGTAGCACTGCGGCAATAAAGGTGTATCCCACAAATGTAAGCGTGCCAAAGTCGTCGCTCTCCTTCGTCCAGGAAATGCTGTTGAGGAGCGTCCATTCCCTGGACTGTTTCTTATTGCTGAAGAAGACCCGCTCCGAGTGTTTGTCCGACAGCCTTTTCACTATCAAAGCAGCCACTGTTGCAATCTGTCAACGAAATGATGCATAACTGGATCAATCTTATTTTAACTTTCAAATGGGGTCACCTATGTATATGGGATGAACTTGAAAAGATACTTGCAAGTTGCAGAACTTTGGTGCATATGCAAGCCGCAAGCCCCATGTTCGACGTTCTGAACGAGCACTCTAAAACTGAGATGGCTGTGGCACGTAAAAGCCTCAGATTTACCTGACCCATGCAAATTTTCTCACATTTGGTTGCGTTGTTTAGCGTGGGAAAAGCTGAAGTTAAAGAACTGACTGTGCCAAGTTTAATGTAAATTGTTGAGGAGAATTCTGCAACTACCTTGAATTATAGAAAAAGAAACCAGCACACACATCGGCCTCTGTAGCGGAGATTACTCTTATCAATGAAAAATAAATAACAATAAAATAATATATTTTTATGAATGCTTGATCTATAAGCCTGATGCCAAAGCAAATAAAAAAAGTTTACGATCGGCCTCTGTGGAGAGATAACTTTTTTATGTTATCAGTAATAAAATTATCTGAAACAGCGAAAATTAAATACCCTTATGCCATTTATCTAAATATATTTTCATTGACAAAATGCAACCTGTTCGATAGGCTATAAACAAGTCTCAAATTTATATATATTAAAGAAAGCCGACAAGAACTCGAGTTACCAAGACACTTTATTTTTAATAAAACAAACTATTATTCATAGAAACCCAAGTACCCCATTTGTGTAAGGGTATTCAAGTGGGGAAGCCATAGAGTTCATTAAGATGCGATCCTCAGTTTAGTCGAAGCAATCAGGCGGTTAAGAGTGACGATCCCGGCACCTAGAAACAATTAATCTAATAAGCTGTAATATAATGACGAGCATTTGCATAATTGGAGCGGGAACAGGCGGCCTTTGCAGTGCCCGACATGCGATTGAGAATGGATTCGAAACAACTGTGTTTGAATTATCAGACCGCATCGGAGGAACCTGGGTCTACAACGATGCAACGGGCGTTGTCAACGGAATCGAAGTTCACAGCAGCATGTACAAAAACTTACGGTAGGATCACCTACATATATCCCTTTAAAAGGGTATAATTCATACCTTCGATCATAGCACCAATTTGCCCAAGGAGGTCATGGGTTTTCCGGACTTTGAAATTGCCGAAAATGAGGTGTCCTATGTGAGATCTGATGAAATGTTGGACTTCTTCGAGCAATATGCGGATCATTTCAAACTAAAGCAGCATATTCGATTTAATTCCTATGTGATTCGAGTAGTTAAGAAGAACGAAAAGTGGCAAGTAAGTTGAAGGGACACCTGAATTAGTCCATTTCTAACTCAACACCTTGCAGGTCCTTGTGAAAGATGTGGTGACTAATAAGATCGCCTTCCATTATTTCGACAAGATATTGGTGGCAAACGGACATTACCACACTCCCAACTACATTGAAATTCCCAATATGAAGCTCTTTAAAGGCGAATCCATGCATAGCCACGATTTCAGAACAAATGAAGTGTTCGAAGGCAAGTCAACGCTGTCCAGAAGGTAAAAATCACCGATGATATTCTTAATTTTCAGGCAAAGCCGTCCTGGTTATTGGTGGGGGCCCAAGTGGTATGGACTTGTCCAACATTATATCCAGAGCGGCAAAACGAGTTACGATAAGCCACCACGTGACGGACATTGGAGATAATATTTTCTTTGACAATGTCCGCCAGAAGCCAGATGTCAGGGAGCTTGACGAGCATGGAGCCTTCTTTGTGGACGGGTCATACGAGCAGTTCGACACCATTTTCTATTGCACAGGGTTTAAGTATGCCTTTCCCTTTCTGAGTGTTGACTCGGGGATCTACGTCGAGGACAAGTACGTCCAGGATCTATACAAACAATGCATTAACATACGGAACCCATCGATGGCATTGATTGGCTTGCCATTTTACGTTTGCGCAGCACAAATGATGGATCTTCAGGCCAGATTCGTCATGAGCTACTACAGCGGAAAAAACACATTGCCATCTCCGGAGGAGATGCTAAAGGACACCCAGGACAGAATGAACAAACTTTGGAATGAGGGCTACCGCAGACGTCAAGCCCATATGCTGGGACATAATCAAGTAGGTTTATCCCTGAAACGATTTATATGTACGAGAGACTTTTATTTTTACTCCTCAAGGTTCACTATTACACGGATTTGGCGGAAACCGCCGGAGTTAAGAACATAAAGGCTGTTATGGCAAAATTGCACGACGAAAGCAGCAAATGCTTCAATGAAAACCTTCTTCATTTTCGAGAGGATATCTTTAGAATAGTGGATGATGAGAATTTTATCAAAATAAATTAGTAGAAGAAACCATGACATTTCTTAAAGTAACGTTAAGTAAACGAAGGCAGACACACAATTAAGAAAGCATTCACTAAAACATTTTACATTCAAAACTGGGAATTTTTAAATTAAATAACCATTAATTTAATAATCTTTAGCTTAGCATTTACAGCCGAGGAAGAAAACCTTTTTTTGTAATCTTTCTAAAATGTTATTTAATTGTTTGAAATAAAAAAATCTTTAAAAATTCATAATTAACCAAAAAATGCATTAAATTCAATTCGGAAAGTGTTTTTGTCTTAGTTGTCTTAGTCCAAATTTTCGACTATTTCTATGCAATTTGGCCGTTTCTCTAATTGGGGTACCAGGCGAACAGAAACCAGCAGCAAGCAACTGAAAACTGTTATAAAAAGTCCAAGTTTCGAACCATTTAGGAGCAAGCGAAAGTAACGGCTGTTTTCCCAAAATGCAACTCTGGGCAGGCAGCTCAGAGAGGGATAGCAAGAGTCCAGAAAAGAAGAGAGCAGACAACACAGAGTTGTATTTTGGGAAAGAAGCCAGGTTTGAGTCTCCGCTGACTTTCGCTTGCTCCCATAAGGTTCGAAACTTGGACTTTTTATAACACTTTATACCAGTTTTCAGTTGCTTGCTGCTGGTTTCTGGTTGCCTGTTACCCCAATTTGAGAAGCAGGCAAATTGCATGGAAATTTTCGAAAATTTGGATGGCTGCTGTAGGGAGGTTTTTGTAATGGGGTTGTTGTTGCAATCAAATGGCTGTGCCGGCGGTAAAAGGGTATAAATGCATAAAATAAAAAAAAAATGTTTATACCAGTTATATAGTTTATACCACTTATCAATTAAATAAATAAATAAATATTTAACTTAAATATTTTTTATTTTCTTAAATATTATAATTTTCAGTTAACGGGGGAAATAAATATTAATTTAAGTCGCAACTAAAGCTAGAGGAATTAAAAATAATTTCAGCAGCCCATCCAAATTTTCGACAATTTCTATACAATTTGGCCGTTTCTCAAATTGGGGTACCAGGCGAACAGAAACCAGCAGCAAGCAACTGAAAACTGTTATAAAAAGTCCAAGTTTCGAACCATTGATCTTGAAGTCAGCGAAGACTCAAACCAGATGTGACCATATTGTAAATTTTTTGGCTAAAATGTTGCTAAAATGCACCTGGGCACACTGAAAAATTTGCTCATTTGCATCAGTGATGCTCATCTCCATCAGTGATGCTCATCTAGCTATATTGCAATATTGGGAGGCTATAAAATCAGACTTTGCATCAGTGATGCTCATGTAGCTATTTTGCAATATTGGGAGGCAATATATCAGGCTTAATAGCAGTGATGCTCATCTAGCTATATTTCTTTATCGGGACAAAATAGATAGATGAGGATCACTGATGCAAAGTCTGATTTTATAGCCTCCCAATATTGCAATATAGCCAGATGAGCATCACTGCCATTAAGCCTGATTTTATAGCCTCCCAATATTGCAATATAGCTAGATGAGCATCACTGATGGAGATGAGCATCACTGATGCAAATGAGCAAATTTTTCAGTGTGCCCAGGTGCATTTTAGCAACATTTTAGCCAAAAAAATTACAATATGGTCACATCTGGTTTGAGTCTTCGCTGACTTCAAGATCAATGGTTCGAAACTTGGACTTTTTATAACAGTTTATACCAGTTTTCAGTTGCTTGCTGCTGGTTTCTGTTCGCCTGTTACCCCAATTTGGGAAACGGGCAATTTGCATGGAAAATTTCAGAAATTTGTATGGGCTACTGCAGGGATGTTGTTGTAAAGGGGTTGTTGTTGCCATCAAGCTGTTATTGTCGGCAACAAATAGGTATAAATGCATAAAATGAAATATTACAGTTTATTCCAATTATTACTTTTGCCCAAAAGTTTTTATAACAGTTTATACCAGTTTTCAGTTGGTTGCTGCTGGTTTCTGTTCGCCTGTTACCCCAGTTTGGAAAGCGGCCAAATCGAATGAAAAAATTTGCTCATTTGCATCAGTGATGCTCATCTCCATCAGTGATGCTCATCTAGCTATTTTGCTTTGATGTTTCTTTCATTTTCCACCGCAAGAATGCCCTTCCATTGAGCCTGTTTAAATTATCCCACCCAAAAAAAACCGCATCCTCCTCATAACTCAAAAATAACGCATTTTTTAAGGTTTATTATTTATTTCAGCTTAAAATAAATAAAAGAAGAAAAGGTGAGGCATGTGGGAATGTCGGAGGTCGTTCCCAGTGTTTTCGACTCGGTCTTGGTGGCACTTGGTCCACTTCTGCTCCTCCTCGTCCTGATCCTGCTTGCCAACGTTCTCTGTCTCGCCTTCGGCACCCGCTTTCAGTTCCTGGCAGCTTGCTGCAATTAAATTTAAAAAAAGGGTGCGATTTATTTTGATAATTTTTCAGAAACAAAACAAATTTCAGGTTCATAACTCAGCCAGAAGTGCATGAAATTTAATTCGTAAAGCTGTTCCGAGTTGCCTTTTCTAAGCCTAACAAAACTGCATACTACGTTTAGGGTTCTTTTCAATTTCATTTTTTCTCAATTATTTAGAATTTTAATGATGGTACCCCTTACATATTTTTGCAAAAATGGAGCGATATATTTTTGGGGAAAATAACTAATTTTCAAAGGTTCATAACTCAGTCAAAAATGCATGAAATTCATTTCGGAAAGTTGTTTTAAGTTGGTTATTCTAAGCTTATCAAAACTGCCTACTTAGTTTTGCTTTAATACTTACCTGTAATTTTTAAATAATTGTTTAAACAAAAATGAGCAAGAAACTAATTTTCAAAGGTTCATAACTCAGTCAAAAATGCATGAAATTCAATTCGAATTATTTCAATTATTTAACCAGAATGGCTCGATTCTTAGTGATCCAATTGCAATCTGCAAGGGTATACAAACTTCGGCGTGTCGAAGTTAGCTTCCTTTCTTGTTTTTAATTTCATTTTGTGCCAATTAATTAATTTAAAATTTAGTAACTTCTTATAAAAATTTGAAAAAATGGTTAATTTTTTTAATCATTTTTAGGAAAGATATAAAATTTTAAGAATTCATTTACTCACCAAGTTTGAATTCGAATTTAAATATTCATATTATGGTTCATCTTTAATAAGCAACAGGTGACTTTTGCCTATCACTACTGTCCTTTTTTCTATCCGTATGCCTTCAAAGCAGCCGAAATATTCACATTCTTTAAATGTATTAAGAAACAAACACTTGTTTGAAGATGTTTGTTTAGTATTTTCTCCGCAACTTGTTGAACTACCTTTGCCTTTTATGCAGCGGCCATTCAGTGATGTTATTTTTTTGTGAGCAAAAAAAAACTGGATTAATCAAAATGAACAGCTTAAAAAAAGTCGAATTCCTAGAGAAAAAATCTACCAAAAACAATATAAGTAATTAGTTTATTTTCACATTAAGTATTCGCCCAGGGAGCCAAAATAAACGAAACGTTCTGGTCACACTAAACCTCCTTCGCAACATCAACTTCTTGCATAATTTACGAAGCACCTCTCAATTCACTTTCAAAGTTCGCTGATTTAGGTGGTCTGGTTCTTCGAAAGAGTGCTCCGTCATGCAGTGTCCGTTCCTCAACCGCTTCACGGCCAGCTTCGTGCGCAATTACGCTGAGGTGCTGACCCAATCCTACGCGATGTACTGCCCCGTGGTGGGCAAAACTCTGAACGCGGGCGAGAAGAAACTTTCACTCGTCGCCTCGCTGCCATATGCGTCGACGGCCACAAGGTCGTACTCTACATCGACGGAGAGCAGTCGCTTTGCAGTGGCTGGTGACGTAAAGGCCGCCGACCCTGAGCCCGCTGTGGCCCCCGTCTCCGCGGAGACCTTTCCCTACGAGCGCTTCTTCAACGAGCAGATCATGAAAAAGAAGCGGGACCACTCCTACAGGGTCTTCAAGAAGGTGAACCGTCTGGCTGGCGACGGGCTGTTCCCGCACGCGCTGGAGTACTCTGAGCGGTCGGAGAAGCCCATTACTGTGTGGTGCTCCAACGACTACCTGGGCATGTCTGCCCATCCGGGCGTGAAGCGTGCGGTGCAGGAGGCCCTTAACATGCACGGATCGGGGGCCGGGGGAACGAGGAACATTTCTGGCAACTCGCTCCATCACGAGAGGCTTGAACGGAAGCTGGCCGAGCTGCATCAGAAGGAGGCCGCCCTGCTGTTCACGTCGTGTTTCGTGGCCAACGACTCTACGCTCTTTACGCTTGCAAAACTCTTGCCCGGCTGCCAGATCTTCTCGGACGCTGGCAATCACGCCTCCATGATAATGGGCATACGGAATAGTGGCGTTCCGAAGCACATTTTTCGCCACAACGACGTCGACCACTTGCGCTCGCTGCTGAAGCAGGTGGACAAGAGCACCCCGAAGATCGTAGCATTCGAGACAGTACATTCCATGACGGGGGCTATATGCCCGCTTGAGGAGCTGCTGGACGTGGCCCACGAATACGGGGCCATTACCTTTATCGATGAAGTTCACGCCGTGGGACTGTACGGGGACCACGGCGCCGGAGTCGGAGAACGTGACGGTGTGCTGCACAAAATGGACATTATATCTGGTACCCTGGGCAAGGCGTTCGGTAACATCGGTGGCTACATTGCCGGGTCCGATAAGCTCGTTGACATGATCCGGTCGTACGCGGCTGGATTCATTTTCACCACCTCCCTTCCACCCACCGTGTTGTGCGGAGCCCTGGAGGCTGTTAATATCCTGGCATCGGAGGAGGGTCGTCAGCTGCGGCACATGCACCAACGCAACGTCTCCTATCTGAAGAACTTGCTAAAACGCGAAGGTAAGATGTAATTTTAGAATTTATGTAATACGAATTTAAGGTTATAGTTACACTTTCGTCTCACTTTAAGTGTTGGCTATATTTAGGAAGATATATATACCTACCCATTACTTTCCTTTTATTGATTGCCATCTGGTTTTCCGCTTCAGGTTTTCCCGTCGAAGATACGCCCAGTCATATCATTCCAATCAAAATCGGCGATCCTCTGAAGAGCAGCCAAATCTCAAACGTGCTAATGGAACACTTTGGACACTACCTGCAGTCGATCAATTACCCAACGGTTGCCCGCGGCGAGGAGAAACTCCGACTGGCCCCGACACCTTTCCATACTTTCGAAATGATGAACGCCCTAGTTACCGATCTGAAGAAGGTGTGGGAAATGGTGGATCTCTCGACCAACGTTCCGCTTTCGCCGACCGGCTGCATGTTCTGCAACTCGGAGAGCTGCTGGCATCAGGACGCGTCTCCGGACCTTGAGTGTGCAATCCCCAACTGCCCCCGCTTGGAAATCTCTGTTGCCGCATAAGTTCTTCCTCCTAACCAAGGCACGCGTCTTAGCTGAAGCATTCGAAATATTTACCTTTGCCTAAAAATTAATCTAGTGGTTTATGGACATAAATAAACAATGGTATTTGGTGCAATAAATATGATGTAATAATTCAATGGTTAAGGGTAAGGCCAAGAGGGGTGATAAGACAGGCCAAGTGTCACCTTCGATAAGGGAAGTTGCGTGTTTCACGAGCAAAGTACATTAGCTCGCAAATGGTATTTAAATTAAGAAATGGCACGAAAAAGAGTCTCTTTGAACGTTGACCCAAAATCGAAAGACATTCGAACGAATAGTGGTCAGCAGAAGTGGAATAAACTTTATTCCAAAAACCTTCCCTAAAAGTATTAATGGTTTTGTTGAAATTGAGCTTTCGTTATCTATCTATATTGGGCTTACTTGGTCTGAAATAAAATGATGAAATGAATACAAATTAAATAGAAAGGTAGATAGCTTCATGACGCCAAAGTTTGTATACCCTTGCAGTATGCCAATACATCAAATTACCCTTTCACTTTGTTCCAAATTTCCAAATAAACTCACAATACCTTTAGCAAGGGTATATTTTGCAGTCACATAATGAAACCACAAAAATTGTGTCTGATAGCATGACTCAGCCATCCATTAAAGGCTCCATTTTAGTTGATGTATACTTAATTTTTTTTATTTTTTGATAAGCGTAAATGTTTGGAAACATTCGCCTATCACTAGCTAAACACTTGGAGATTGTATACAATAATTCTGCCAAAGAGGTCTGTACTCGATTCGAAGACGAACTTAATCTTTGAACACGCCTTTTCCCGGGCTGTATCTTTAAGCTGAAACCGCTGAGGAGAGTTGATATCTTCTGGATAAAAGGAATCTTGATGTAACTGGGCTCCATCTGCTGCATACATTATGATTTCCGATTTTTGACCAGCGAATCCGCCTTGAAATTGAAACTCAAACCCCGAGACATTTTGGGGTTCGTCAAAACTAACAATAATCCATTGGGGAGTTCCCTAAAACGACCGCTTAATTTAGAGAAAGAATAGTTTTTACAGAGAGAAAACCAATACCTCATCTGAACTCCAGGATGTATCTTCTTGGGCATCAAACATGAATTGCTTTCCATACTGCTTCACTTCTTTGTTTAACACTGAGCTTACTCTGAAATTAATATTGTTAGAAATGATAATTATAAATTAAAAACTAAATACCTGCAGGAATAGTTAATTTTAGCTAAGATATTCATTTTATTATCAAAATTGTAAATAAACAAAAACCGCGAGGTTATAAGTATTAGAGATGAGCAACTTTAGCTTTTCGGAAAAATTTAAATTTTAAAGCTAAAGTTTAATTCCATAAGAATTATTTTTATATTTTAAAGTTACTAGCAATGCTTTTCTAAATTTCAATTAATTAATTTATTTATTAATTTTCGATTTGTAAAGTTCGTGAGTATTTATCGATAGGCAAACCCCCAGCTTGCAGCCCTGGCAAGAAACAGCTGGCAGTTTTATCAACATTTATAAACTATAATGATTAAAGCCATTCTGGTATTTAACAACCATGGAAAGCCAAGACTTTCCAAGTTCTACCAGTATTTTGTGAGTGCTCAGCCGTACTACAGACCCGGATAATGTTCAGTTCGATATTTTCCTTGCAGGACGAAAGCCTGCAACAACAAATAATCAAGGAGACCTTCCAGCTGGTGTCCAAGCGGGACGATAATGTTTGCAACTTCCTCGAGGGCGGCAGGTGAGTGCAAGACCTATTATAGTGCATCTATTAACCCCTTCCAATGCTCGTAGCCTGATTGGCGGATCAGATTACAAGCTCATCTATCGCCACTATGCCACGCTGTACTTTGTGTTCTGTGTGGACTCCTCGGAGAGCGAACTGGGAATCCTTGACTTGATACAGGTCTTCGTGGAGACCCTGGATAAGTGCTTTGAGAATGTCTGCGAGCTGGACCTGATATTTCACGCCGATGCCGTCCACCACATTCTGTCAGGTTTGTAGGGCAATCCCTGAAGATCTTTTTATTGATTTACTTGGCTTCTAGAACTGGTCATGGGCGGAATGGTGCTGCAAACCAACATGAACGACATAATGGCCAGGATCGAGGAGCAGAACAAGATCGTCAAACAGGAGGCGGGCATCTCGGCAGCGCCAGCACGAGCCGTGAGCGCCGTGAAGAGTATGAACATTCCTCAACAGATTAAGGACATCAAGCTACCTGATCTGCCGCAGGCAATTAAGGACTTTAAGTTCTGACAAATGTACGTTTTTCGCAAAACTCGCATTTTTCAAAAATAAGTGAGACCTTTTGATATTCCACAGTTCTTCAAGAATTTCCAACGGCAGTCAACGTCCTCCATGGACTGCTGATTCATTTACACTAGGCCTCATTTATCCAATGTATCTCCCCTTACCGAATAAATATATATATGCAATTTAACTGACACTTCCGTTGTTAAAATGTGCATACAAATTCGTTGAGAGGTCTGTGCGGAAGCTGTGTCTCTATCTTATTTTAATATTTAAATTCGAACGTTGTAAATGTAATAACATGTACATATAAAATATTCTATTATTCTATTATTCATCAACTGTTTGGACCGGGACACTCCAGATCATCTTCCTCGCCGATCTCCAGCATAACTTGCATTATTTTCCGTTTCAGACGCTTGCGAGAGAGCTCAGAGTTAAGATTGCGAAACTCACAGGCGATTAGCTCTCCAAAAGCATCCCACTGATCCCGGACTGGGGCGGTGGCGGATGTGGCCACAGCAGGTGGCTCTGCCAGGCGACTCGGAACAGGGGAAGGCGTCGCAAGGGCGGACAGAGCAGGCATGGGCATCGGTTTCGGTTCGTCGACCTTTTCTATCTCTTCGCTTTCAATGACAGCCTCTATAAATATTGATTCCAAGCTTTCAACTGAAGATTGGGTGGGTTTTTCCACATCTTCGTCGCGGTCTGTGTAGCTGTAGTCCAGCTTAGCTATTTTCTACAAAAATATATAGATAAGAAATGCTTTAGAGAGTAGGAGTGACAACTAGGTAGCGCACCTTGCACTGTGAACTCTGCTGATATCCTGGCCTGGGTTCAATCACGGAACGGAGGAACATCAGCGTTTTGAAGTGCTCCCAGCGGCAGGTTTTCTCGGGCAGCTGACTGGAACTGGAGCCACCGGATTCCTCCAGGCGACGCTCCAACTTCTTCAGCTCGGAGTTGAATTGGTTGCGCAGGTTGTGCACCTTCTTTCCGTAATCGTTCTTTGTAATCCCGAGCGTGGTGCAGATGTGTGCGATGGCCTTCGCGCGACAGTCCTTATTTTTATACAGCTCCGAAAAGTGATTCCATAAACAATCCGAGTCACGGTACAGCTCAATGAGCTTTGATATCTTTTCTCGGCTCCAAATAGTGGGTTTCCGTCGCTGGCGACCCTCTCTTTTTACAGGGGGCAATTCGCCGTCGCCGTCCGAAGTATTAGGCATTGTTTTTATTATTATTCAATATTTTTGTTAATAACAAATTGCCAGTGTGCCCAAGTCTCGGGATTGAAATATTCCCCAAGGGACTAAACTACATTAAATTAAATGCACCCACATATTAGAGTCCGGATTTGATTCTTATTTTAAAATACAAAGTTAAGTAGAAATGCCGACCTATTTTAATAAGTGTATTTATTCGAGTCGCACTATTATTTAAACTGTACTTTCAACACTAATCGATATAAATTAATCGATTGGGTTCGGTGGTGTTTTTCTAACTGCAGTATTTTTTGGTCGGCAAATCTATCGAATAAAGCGAAACAAATAATTGTTCTTCGTATATAAATAAAATAGGTAATTATATTAAATAAATGCATCCGCGCGCGCCGTAAGCTATTGAAAAATGTGTGCGGCACACGCGAAACAAAAGTAAATCCGTTATCCGTGCTGGCTATGGTGACGAGGGACCACTTTACTGATAAATACGGCCGACGCCCACTGAACAGTTTCCTTTACAGAGACTTGGATAAATGCGAATTGGGTAAGTGTGTAATTAAACAAAAGGTGGCTTCTGGCAATCCGAAACGAATAACGCTTTTTCAATTACAGACTGGACGCGGAACACACTTGAGCCGCCAGCGAACGAGCCCCGAACGTAAGCGCAATGTCACAAGTAATACCAAACACGCCCACACCCCAAATGCTGACGACATCAACGCCTATAGAACCCATGAAACCACCACCAGCGTTTCCCACGCTAGACGTCGCTGCACATTTAAGCGAGCAGGCGTCGGACGTGATACTAAGGGCCTCCACGATTTTTGGCGATATGAAGCACCATAGTGCGGCGGCGTCTTTGGATCTCGAGAATGTGCACAACGGAGTCGGAGCTGCTGAGACTGATAACAACGGGAGTGCGGGTGAGGACGGGTCGCCGTACGGTGGCAACTCAAAGATCCGCATCATGCCGACAATCAAGCTGCTGGCCACGCCGCACGTGTCGGACCCCAAGCGCAAGTTCGTGTGCCCCTACGACAACTGTACAAAGAGCTACGGCAAGAGCTCCCACCTGCGCTCCCACCTCACCTGGCATACGGGCATCAAGCCCTTCGTCTGCAACGAGCCCAAGTGCGGCAAGGGCTTCACCCGCTCGGACGAGCTCAACCGGCACCTGCGAACGCACACTGGCGAAAAGCCCTTCGAGTGCATCCAGTGCACCAAGAAATTCTCGCGCAGTGACCACCTCACAAAGCACCTGGCCACCCATGACAGGCAGCTGAAAAGCAGCCCGCCCAAGCGGTCTGTGCCGAACGCCGTGCGTCTGAAGCCTTCAAAGAAGCACTCCTCGGAGTCGGAGCCCTCGGGGTTCCACTTCATGGCCGCCATGAGCGGCTGTTCCGATCAGAACGTGGACCAGCAGCACCAACTCCATCAGCAGCAGCTGCAGCAGCCGGCGGATATCGTTGACTACCAGCACAAGCCGCTGAAAATAAAGCTGGAGCGGCCAGAGCACAGTGACAAGTACCAGATCGTGGCGCCTCCGCACGCCCCTGAGAACCAGAGCCACAGCCAGCTGCCATCCTTTCTGAACCAGGCCAAGCCCGAGGTGAAATACGAGCCGGCCGACGAAATTGTAAATACACTCTCTCAGTTACCGCCGCAGGATGGCCCCGGCACCTACGGCATGCCCCAGTTCGTGCAGGACCGACCCTTCCGCTGCCGGCAGTGCGAGAAGCGGTTTAAGCGGCAGGACGACCTTAACCGGCACATACGAACGCACACCGGCGAGAAGCCCTACGCCTGTCCGCAGTGCTGTCGCCGATTCGTGCGGAGCGACCACTTGAAGAAGCATCAGCAAACGCATTTGAAGATACGATAGTTGCATAATTAACTACCCCATAAGTCGCAAGCCATTGGCATCCAAACCCAATATTTATATTGGCTGAAACGGGCGTGTGTGTCGGGTGACGCACTCAGTACAATAAATTTAAATAAATTTGCAATTTAACAATATATTCCTATACATGTTTAATGCTGGCCCTTATATCTCAATTTGTATGTATGTATTTTGTAAATAAGTCGTATGCAATTTTAATTTTAACTTAAACCGATCTGTGTTGCCAGAACATGAAGATATATTTTTAAAAATTAAAACCCTATGCTGTTTTTTTTACTTTCTGGCTACTGTGCTACTCGCATCTCTCCTTTAATATAAAAACTAATGCAGTATACCTTCTCGTGCTTATTTATTGGCTCAAGGGAGTCCATTAATGGGAATATTTAATATACGACAGAATTCAATGATTGAAAAACTGTTGTTTGAGTTTTAACCCCCTTCAAAACGTTACAAGTATGCGCCACTGAGCATCGCTGTTATCGATAACAAGTTTCTATCGTTTGCCCGTTTCATCACATCACTAATGGCATTTTAATTTTTAAAAAAGCTATTTAGTAGAAATGTGCGACTTTGCCGCCCTGTGGGCGGACGTAGTGAAGATATTCCCAGTTCTGGGTGGCGTGGTAGGTTGATTCCTCAATGTCATTTACGAGATCCGGCGATATCACTTGCAAACCATTCCAGAACCAGGCTGCGGCTGCGGTCTCCGCCGGTCCAGTGGATGAGAAGGTGTTCGAAAATGTTCGCCATCACCTGACGATGTTTGGAGGTATTGACACCTTTGCTGCCCTGGTTGACCTGGAAATCCAGTCGTCCATTAGAAAGGTTTTGGTGCCAAAGTTCTGGAAACACTTCCACGGCCTGGTGCCCCCAGAACTGCAGAGCGGGTTCAGCGACCAAGCCTTGGCCATAGAAGCTCTGCCCGACAAGAACCGCCTGTTCACCCAGTTCATAGAGGCTGTCAACGAGCTGCACGAGGGGTTTCAGAACCTGATGCAAGTCAAGCCCCGCCTGATCCAGCTTATTGGGAACGCAGAAAGGCCAGCGTTGAGGACGGTGAAGTTGATGCAGGAAGATGGTATCAAGAACTGCATGCGGGACTGCCTGCTGGCCCAACTTCCACCCACATTTAGCGTGGTCGTGGGGGCCTTTTACTGGGTCCACTTTAAGCTCTTCACTAAAGCCTCACATCTAGCTCTGACCACAGTTGGTATGCAGTGGGTGGCCCAGTCCCTGAGCTCCTTGTTTAACCCGATGCCTTTCCAGACTCTGATGTATTTGATGAGCTGCTGTGCGTCGGCTGCAACTTCGATGTGGAGCAGTGCTGCTGCCAAAAGCTGACGGAAATGGTGAACAAGACAAACACGAGGCTGTTTGAGATGAATCTCACGGATCGCCTAACTGGCAGTGCTCTAACGGCGCTCATAAGGCTCAAGATCAAGGAACACATCAACGACACGTGCATGGGCATTTTCGACCGGAGCCATCTGAAACAGCTCGAAACGGTGAGTTGGCTTCTCCTGTATTTGATAGTTTCGAGTTCTGAATTTGAATCTGGTCCAGTGGCTGTCGGATGTCATAATGTCCTGGCTGGCAAATATTTTCTCAGAATGGAAGGCCAAGGATTGCATGTCCGAAGATGATGCTCCCGCCCCTGTCCAATCCTTTAAGGTCAAACTGACCTATTATATGTACGAAACCTTCGCACAAAGCGTCATCGGTCAGTTCTTCAGCATAATAATTGGTAGGTTTCTCAAAGTAAATCCCTTTGATACTGATGATTGTGTTAATAATTCAATACCCTACACCACAGACTATCCAGATTCCATTCCGGCCATAGACGACCTCAAGATTTGCATGGAAAAGATTGACATGCGCATCTACCTAACCGAATCCTTACGAAGCTCGTTAGAAGCCCGAATTCTGCATCCTGGGGTCAACACCATGGACATATTGACTGGTTATGTGGCGGCCATAAAGGCCATTCGCCATCTGGACAATACTGGTGTGATATTAGAGATGGTCACGGCCCCCATTAAGGACTACCTCCGCAAGCGCAACGACACCGTCCGGCGTGTGGTAACCGGTCTGACCGAGGAGGGACCCACCGACCTGTCCGAGGAACTGGCCAAGGGGGAGGCGATCAAGGACGGCAAGGATTCCGGTGCCGACGAGTTCAGCAACTGGGAGAACTGGGAACCGGATCCGTTCGGCATCGATGCCAGTGTCATGCAGTACAACAGCTCGAGGAAAATGCGGTCGGCCGACATTATATCGATGGTCGTGGATATCTACGGCAGCAAGGAGTTGTTTATGACGGAATATCGCAATCTAATGGCAGACCGCCTGTTGTCCCAGCTGGACTTTAATTCGGAAAAGGAAATCCGAAATCTGGAGCTACTGAAGATCCGCTTTGGTGAATCCCTACTGCACAGCTGTGAGGTAATGCTGAAAGATGTTACCGACTCGAAGCGAATCAACGCCCACATCCATGGCGAAAGCAACCGGCCAGAGAGTGAGTGACGACTACTTCTAACCTTTTTGGTTCCGAAATAATAATTTTTTGGTCGTATCTAGATCAGCAGTTTGATATCTCATCGTTAATCGTTTCGGCACAGTTCTGGCCATCCTTCAACAAGGAGAGTCTGCAGCTACCCGAGGAGATCGAAACGGAGTTCAAGAAGTACACCAAGGCGTATGAGGCGTACAAGGGCAACCGTACGCTCAACTGGCGTACGGTCACGGGGCGTGTGAACATCGAAATAGAGATTGGGGACCGAACCATGGAAATGGTTGTGAGCCCCACCTTGGCGGTCATCATTTACCATTTTCAGGACAAAAGCGAGTGGACTCTTGAGGATCTCAGTGCCATTACGAAGGTCCCACAGTCTGCTCTACGGCGGCGCCTAAGCTTCTGGCAAAATCACGGGTTGATTTCGGAGACAACCCCGGGATTGTTCACACTTTTGGAAAAGGAGTCAGAGGAGAAATCGCAATTTGAGGAAATGAGTCTCGCGGAAGCAGATGAGGAGGACTTGGAGTCGGCCATGGCCTCGGCCAGTGACCAGAGGGAAGAGGAACTGCAAGTGAGTAGCAGGGTTATTTGGGTGAATTCCCTTGATTCTCATGCGATTCTTTTTAGGTCTTCTGGTCCTACATTGTGGGCATGCTCACGAACCTTGACTCCATGCCCATAGACCGCATCCATCAGATGCTGAAGCTTTTTGCCTCCCACAGCGGCGGCGTTGAGTTCACTCAGGACGAGCTCAAGCACTTTCTGCAGCGAAAAGTCAGGGAGCACAAGCTTATATTTTCCGGTGGAGTTTATCAATTGGCAAAGTAATTTTCGGGAGTTGTTATCGAACAACTAAGTTGCAAACGACTGAAGAAATCATGAAATAAAGGTGATAAGGCGCTTGAAGTTTTGGTTCCTTGCTGCACGTCGTCCCACTTGTGGGAAACTGTCGTCTTATCTTATTATATTCGTAATCAGAGCTTATCACTCATACTGCTGTGCGGGGGTAACGTTGCTTTCTTCTTACTGAATAACTTAAACAACATCGAAGAATACGTCTAAATCTTAATTTATTTAGCTTCAAATTTATATATATTTATATGTATACTATTCCCGTTAGATCAACAAATTCAAACTTTTAAGCGTTCTTAAAACTAAAGGCAAAGCAAAGTGAAGTTGGTCTCGATACTCTATACAGATATACAGGGCTAACAGTTTTTGGCTTGATAAAATAAATCACAAACTTTGCGGCTAATCAATCGCTTTATACACGCAAACCAAGTATGCTTAATTTAATGTCTCAAACTGTAATCTGTACATCGAAAGTTAGTTCAGGTATATCAATGCAGAGTAAGCTCTTCCTCCTTTAGGAAGCGCGCCTGGTAGACACTTTCGCGGTGTTCCGGGGTAAGGACAGCATTAATAAAGGGTGCAATACGATGAATCCGCTGCTGAAATCGAGACCGATCCCGGGCAATCACCTCCCACTTGCTCTTCCTGGCCGCCCGATAGGCATAGTCCCAGGCGTGCATTACGTGAACCTCCGGTTTAAGGTTGAAGCGAACCTGTGTGTGAAGCGATAGTTAGTAACCAATGCACTCCTGTTGAGGATGTGTCAAGGCAAACCTTTTTGACGCTCTTTGAGCTGTCGGTGCTGCTGCACTCGCAGGTCTTTTCCTCGACCTGCTCGGTGTCCTCATCCTCGCAGCATGTTGTGAACTGTACGCTGATATCGTCATCGTCATCATCGTCGTCCTCGTCTTCGTCCTCACCGTCCTTGTCCTCCTCCTCGTCTGCGTCGTCTTCGAAGCAAATAAAACTGTCCTCACTGCATTCTGAAATACTCCGTTGACGCCGAAAACAGGCCGACTTGGTGCTCGATCCACCAGAGACGTCTGCATTGTTATTCTTGTCGCTGGACACTTGACTAGAGTTGGGTTCGTCCGGGGACTCCTTAAAGCCCTGCCGCGACTGCGGATGCAGGTCGATAAAGAAGTAGCAGGAGCGCCGAAGCGCATCCAGCTTGAGTCCCGCCATCTTAACGCCCGGCGGACTCTGCGACGCAGCAACGCACTGGTGCAGGGCGGTCTGCATCTGGCTGACGACGTCCATGGCCATCAGTTGGAACGACATCATGCTGGCCAGGGGCTCCGGCTGCAGTGGGGGCATCAGCAATTGCTCCTTGGTGACCGTTCGGTGTGTTTCGAGCGGTTCCGCTTCGGGCTCCTTGTTAACCTTGTTTGGCTTCCACAGTGGCCGCCCAGTGAGGCGATGCGACGGCGAGCACCGATACTGCTCGTAGATGGGGGAGCTCATGTTTGCAATCAGTCGGAGAACAAAGAGGAAGGGGTCAAACAGCGCTCCCATAAGGGTGTGGAATTTCGACATCTAATCTTGAAAACACAAATACGCTGCTGGGGGGACTCCTTTTGAAAGGCCATTTTCTTGTGCTTGGTTTTGGGTGGCGGTGGCATTGTTCAGCCAGCTTAATTTGAGACAGATTTTCCCATGATTACTCGATGAACCAATAATGTAATGCGGGGTGAAATAACGAAATAATATTTTTGCATCCGACACTTTGCGCGCGATTTGCATTCAGTTGTATGCTTGTTCTGCTTTCGTTTCTAGGGTATACAGCGAAATATAGAGTCCGGGCACGAAAATATTTAGAGTTTTACACGTTTTATTCAATAATTCCATACTTTTTCACTAGAGCTGAAAATTTATCGATGAGAAGTAGTCGATGAATCACCTTGACTTGTTGTTTTTGTGCGACTATTCGATTGTACACCCCACGAAATTGTCCGACTCGTTTCGCGCAATATTATCGATCGCGCATGTTTAATTAATTTTTCCATAAATTTATAAAAAAATATATACTGAGAGATTTATATATATAAAAAGGATGTTGACATATAATCTAGCTGTGCGTTGATCACAGCCGTGTAGTTAAAGATATTTAGATAATGTCTCAAATATGTGACACAACAATCGAATGAACAGTTTAAATCTATCAATATATCGATAGTTCGATTTTATAAACCCTACTTTTTGACCAACATTAAAAATACTGTTTATGTATGTGTGTTTATTATCTTTAACCAGTATTTACAGAATTGTTTTTTGATTTAAATTTCACAGATGTTTTATAGATTGCAGAAAAGCAGCTTAAAACTGGGTATTTTATTTTGCAGAGAACTAGCTCTGCTATAGTTTTAAGGGCAAGCAAATAAGTAAGACAAATAAACAAAAGGAAATTTGAACATCCATTCACTCAAGATTAAAAATTCTTTGGGATATAACCATAATCAATTTAAGACTTATTATTATTAAGGATTTATTTTCATGTACATTTTGTATTTTTGTGATATGTACAATGTATGTAATACATACATCATATATGGATGTACATATGTATGTATGTAGACTCTCATAAACACGAATTGAAAAATTGTTTTTTTAAATTTACAAAAGATATGTGAAAATGCAAATGAAATACATATGTACATTTGAATAAAACGATTACTTCCGTGTGCCAGACATTGTTCTTCTTCTTTAGCCGATATTTATACCTGACACTGTATGAAAATGCAAGTGCATGTTCCGCTGCGTCATTCTCCGTACTCAACGGTTGATAAATACATACATACATATGTACAAGTACGACGTACTTGCATCTGTAAATAAGTAGTTTTCGGTACGTATTTTTTTAAATATCCAAGTTTAACTGCATAATATGTTATGTATATATTTATTTACATATATTTCAATAAGAAACATGTGAAGCTGCATCCCAATACCAACGCAGCATAGCATATAATATAATATCAATGTATTATTCCGATTTTCCGTACTCGAAAAGCGTTCAGAATTGTCTGAAATAAACAGATTGATATTCATGCCCACATATTTACATATATGCGTATATACAGACGTACATATTCTCGCCTCTATATGAGCACAAACACACGCACAGATAATCAAACAGCCATATGATTAATACACATCGAAACAGCTGATTCATAAGCATTGTGTTGGTGTGGGGGGGAATGGCGGGGTGGTTAGCACACGCACACACACTCGCTTACCCATATGTTTGTGCTCAGAGTTACTCACACACCAGCTGGGCGCTACTGCAACAGTTGATAGCGTCGAGTACAGGTGCGCAGTCCGGGTGCGCCCAAGAAGGTAATTATATGTACCCATAGTATAATAATGGCTCGATTTTAAAACAATTGGCAAGGAACCCTTAATACACCTGAAAATCCTTTTAGTCAATCGAAAAATGTTTTCATTAATTTGGTTTTTATTTAATATTTATTTTATTTTTATATATTTTTTGTTGATAAAAGGCGAAAAGCACAAATTAAAGCAGCTGGGAATACAGACTGAATATGTAATATTCGCCACCCGCAATTAACTGCGCTGCGGCACTGGCTGGCCGAGGAAATCAGTCTGGCCGAGAGTCATTATGCACACACACTTAAGAGCGGACACACACACGTAGACTCGCTGGCTCTCTCGGGCGCACGCATACACGGCCAGGCCAGTTCGTGTATCTGGCACTGGTATGGGTGAATGTATCTGTATCTACGTGCTGGGGACTCTGAGTCGTAAACTTTGCGTTCAGTTCACTTGAACAGCTGTGAGTGATCAGCAAACGACGACGAGACGAGGTTGTCGGGAACTAAGTACACACACAGATACGAGCTCCCTCGTATATGCAAAATTACACACCAGAGCAGCAGCAGCAGCAGCAGCAGCAGTACATGGCGCTGCATAAGACACAAGTACAAAAGAAACAAAAATAATAAAAAATATACAAAAAATAAAAACGTAAAATCTTTTGCGTAGTTTATTCGCTCCAAGCCAACTCTCGTATCTCATCGCTACTTTTCGCTCGCGTCGCGTTGCGCTGCGCTGCGCCGCCGAGAGTTGCGTTCGCTTCTTCTGCTCAGCTCGATTCGATTCCATTTCGATTCCGCTGCGACGCGATGTTTAGTTTAGATTGACCAGGACAAGAAGAAATGCCCTGGCACTCGCGCGACTCCGTCGGAATCGAGACACAGTCCTCCTCATAAGCGAAGCGACTAGACTAGGCCCAACTAAACTAATCCAACTGCCAAGCAAGGCCAATAAACCTACATACATGTGTTAACGGAAACGAGTGTGCATAAATCGCGTTGTGATTAAACCCCCCGAATTAACCAATTAAACAATCCGCGATCTGAATCTGACTCTGATTCTGATTCAGATTCTGACTCCGAGCCCAGATACAAATATACAGTCCACCACACAGATACTTATTGTCAGTGCAACTGCAAGTGTATTTCCGCAGCAAGTGATAACGCTCCGCGAGCATAAACATATACAAAAACAGGGCCTGTAACGCCTAAGCTCCGTATAATAAATTAAAAACAAATATCTGCAACGACCCAGAAGACATATTATCAAAATAGTTGGTGTTTCAAAAGTAGCAATAGTTAGCAACAAAAGCAACACGTAAAACAAACACAAGCACAACAACCACACACACGACCCTCTAGTGGTATTGGTGCGCGCCTGCCGTAGTATTAGTGACGACCACAGTCTCGAGTACATATGCATTACACAGACGTGGGGTACTCGGGTGTGTAAACTCTGGGCACATAAGTACGAGCCAATCTATTTAATTCAGTGCATTTATAAATTAATAAAATGTACAATAAATACAGAGAGCCAGAGTGTGAGTGAGAGTGCTGCAGATATATAGTATATAGAGAGGCACACGTACATAGCTACAAGCTCATTACACAGACGCAGCGAACGTGAGTCTTGGAATATTGCAAACACAAAACAAAAAAAATAAATAAATAACGAGGAACCAGTTTCACCTTGAGGAGCAATAGCAATACCTAGTGCATACTCACACACGGGCCAGCATACGAACATATGTACGCGAAGCAGCCAGATCGGCCAGCGCCTACGACTACGAATACATAGTGCACATAGGCAGTACATAGTACATAACACATAATCGGCCGGGAGCGCTCTCCATAATAACAATAAATCCGCGATAAAGGCCCGGAGAAACAGCATCCCCGTCTTATCGGAACCGCACCACCACTGCCACAGTATCTGCGACTATGTTCCAGTCCCAGGGATCATCAAGTCAGCTGCCCTGGGATAAAACCGAGACACAGATACAGATACAGATACAGATACCCCGCTCTGATGCATCCAACTGAGGTGCTTCGGGAAAGATGATAGCTGCGCCCAACCAGGCCGCCGAACCACCATTCACAATTCGCCAAGGAACAGTGCCAGCCGTTCCAGTAACCACCACCCAACCAGCGAGTCCAGCCCCAAAATTATACGTGCCCGTGCCCGGGGCACTCTGCACTCCGAACCCCCTAACAGCGCCAGCAGCAGCAGAACCAGCAGCAACACAAAGCCAGCGAGCCATTACTCATCCAGCGGCTGTGGCTTCGCCTTCCGCGCCTGTTGCTGCAGCTGCTCCAAGCCCCAACACCAACAACAACACCAGCACCAACACTAACACCCACCTCGAGCCCCTCCACGACCCCAATCCCCTTGAATCCAATATGGACAGCGAAAGATCTCCGAGCCACAGCGGCCATGAAATGACACTGAACATGAGCGGCATCGATTCCAGCCTGGTGTTTGGATCTGCACGGGTTCCTGTCAATTCCAGCACCCCGTATTCGGATGCAACTCGAGTGAGTAAGAGACAGGCCTGCGTACACAGCGGGAAATCGCTTAAAAAGTTAAAAGGAAGTGGCCTGGAAAAGTAGCTAACTTTAGTAGTATACGATTTTGAAAATAATTGTTTTTGTTTTCTCTAATGAGGCCACAGCCACCTGCATCTGTGTGGATAGAGATACTGCTAATTTCCACGTCATTTTTCCTACAAATCCACCGTCCAGTGGCCTGATCTCACATCTTGATAGGGAGATCCGTCCGTTCCCTATCTCTCCTAGCCTTTGCATGCGGAGGAGGACCCGCCTCACGCCCGCCGCAATGCACTTCTTATCGGTTCTAATGGGAAACTATATTTACTTTGATAAAAACGGGCACACAGCTGTCTCGCCAAACAAAACGAACTTGATATTTGGCTGAGAGACCTACATATAGCGAATATACATATATATATATACAAATACTTTTTCCAGACCGGACAGGTCAACAAAAAGTTTGACTGATAAGATTTCCTGTAGATTAGATTCAAGTTTTTTTGCGATTATTTTCTTTGTTTACAAATACACACAAGCAGAAGGCAAAACCATTATTGGAGATTAGTAATCGAATCTACGTTTGTGTTATTCACGCTTGATCATAAAAGCTCAACTTTGGTTTGTCTTATTATGATGAAATACCCTTTTTCGTACCTGGCTACCTACCTACCTACCTGGAGCGAGCATTGATGGATCGTTATTTCGAACAGACATTCCCAGGACAGATACATAGATACACTGCTTCCATTCGGGGAATGCGTGGAAGTGCATTTTTTGTCCCCGTGCATTTACGGGGCGGTTGTGCTCGCGTTTCGCTTCCCTGATGATGACTCACATTATTTGTGTCGAGCTTGCATATCCATATACACATATATACTCGTAGATATGTATCTTATATGTTGTTCTCCCAGACGAGTAGTAAGCAAACGAAAGCGTCTATAATTGCGCTGTTTAACTGTGGCCAGCGATACGTATTCGTTTTAATATTAGAATAGATGTAAATATGTTTATCAAAAGTCACGAAGCAGTTCCTTATTGCGCTCCAAAGAGCCCCGAATTCGTCATCTTGTTTACTTGGCCCCCCAATAGTTGGTAGAACCAACTAGTCAGCCCAATGTCCGACTATCAGCTAGCAAAGAATGCAATTAGGAGGGACTGGGGCTGGGATTGGGACTGGGACTCCTAGTCATAGCCGGAGGCGAGCGCATATAGAATTTTAGCGAATAAATATGTAAATAATTGTGCGCACACATAGCACATTTGGTGCATTGACCTTGCTTAGCAGTTTGTTTTTTACGGTTATTAGTGCGGACGGATGGAGGAGGCAATGGCTTTGCTTTTGCCAGCAGCAGCGTCACGAACAGAAAACTCAATTGCGTATTACTCGTATATGGGGAGTACATATGTACTTGGCTGGCAGGCGTCGTTGACTTCTGTCGCCGCTCCACGTTTTATCTTTATTGCAAAAAATGTATTTAATATAGTATTCGTCGAGCTGATGACCTTAGGATCTAAGCAGGCGGCAAGAACGGTTAAAATCGAAAGCTCGCTTGGCGCTGCCCCAGCCCATTTCATCACTTTTACTTGCTTCCCGACACGACCATACATACATATGTATCTCACGGATGCGGGTGTCTGCACCTCGTATCCGAGGGATTGTGTGTGTGTGTGTGTGGAGCCGAGCGGAGTGGAGTATGAGTGTGTTGTGTCTACAAGAGTCGTCGTCGGCTGCTTATTAGACTTGAACTGTCTGACTGACGGCGACATTGAGAGTGAGTTTCGGAGCAGAGTTGCGAGGGCAAAGGCAATGGCAAAGGCAAAGGCAATGGCCGATGGAGCATCGCATCCCGTCGGCACCAATACCATCGGTCGTCGTTTCAGCTGAAAGTCTGCTCTGCTCCACTCCGCTCAGCCCAGAGCTACTACTGCCAAGGGTATATCGCTTCGTGCGGCTGGCTGTGACTGTGACTGTAGATGTGGATGAACTCGCGAGGTACACGAACTGCTGCAAGGTCGAAGTTAACGCTATTAATAGGTAGTTTTTGCCGTCTCTCTCCGGGCGAGAATAAAACGGTTATTCACATTGGCCAAACGACGCACAACGCGCGGCGTTCGACGTGCGACGTGCGACGCCTCACCGCAATGACCTATTCCAAATGGTTCCTGAGATTGCCCAGATCGAAGGGATTAACGATTAAGGCTGAACGCTGAACGTTTAACCAGGAAGCAGATGCCAGATGCAAAATGAATGCAGGTACCTGCGGTACATCGGCCCACTTGTCCGTGTATCTTAATAACCGAGCACATTTAAATACATACGGACATACAGAAATGTTCGTTTTAGGAGCGTTTTATTAACCTTGGCGAGGGACATTGAACTTCAAACGCTGCGAATACGTATTTTTCGTACAGATACAAATGCATACAGACATAGACAAGGCGGTACACGGCACACGGTATACGGTACACGAAATGCATATATACTGAGCTCTCTTGGCTGGTGTGAATTTTATTTCCTAACTCTTTATCTGTGATACGTTAATATGCAATGAGCATTATATATAAAAATGTGTATAATAGGTAAATGTGTTTTTCGCATGAACAAATTAACGGAGCGTTATATTTATGTCTACCTACATACTTGAGGTTTTGTTTTCGTTGTTTTTGTTTTTGTGTCTGTTTCTGTTTCTGAAATTGTTTTAACGGAAATTTCGCTTGTTTCATAATTTATGAATATGTAATTTATCGGACCGCGAAAAAGTATTGGCTGGGAACTGGCAACTGAGCCGAACCACCGGAAGTAACGTTGTATATCGAGATGTGAATTATGGCCACGATTTTCTTGGGGTTCACATATCCCATTAAGCTAGCTGTCTATATAAAAAGTAGAAGTGACTAATTGAGCCTCTCTCTATTCTCATTCCCATTTACTTTCAGACCAAGAAACATTCTCCCGGCCATATTAAGAGACCCATGAACGCGTTCATGGTCTGGAGCCAAATGGAGCGCCGAAAGATTTGCGAGCGGACGCCGGATCTGCACAACGCCGAGATATCGAAGGAGCTGGGACGACGGTGGCAGCTCCTCGGCAAGGAGGACAAGCAGCCGTACATCATCGAGGCGGAGAAGCTGCGGAAACTGCACATGATCGAGTATCCCAACTACAAGTACAGGCCGCAGAAGAAGCAGACGCGGTCGCCGGGGTCCCTGAAGCAGAACCAGGACGCAGACAGCTGCGAAGCTAAAAATGACAACACAAATCCCAACAACAGCACACTGTCCACTCTTGCAATTAATGGAACATCCACCACTGCCGGTCGGAAACGCAAAAGATCTACCTCTACATGTCAATCTGGTTCGGTTTCGAAACGATTGAAGAACAACGATTCGGGTGATACTTCCTCGTCCAAGCCCAAGGCCTACGACGTGAAGGCTCCACCGCCTGTGCTGGAGCAGCACAATCCCGTGGATATTATATTACCCTCAGCCGATAATCTGTTAAGCTACCAATCATCTGAATATTTACCTCTAAGCACGAATCAAAGCAATGTCGATTGCGATATACACTCAGACCTGAGCTCAGGTCCCTTGGAATCGATTTCCAACAACCCGCAGGAGAACCTATCCGAAGTAGTTTTCAAGTATATGCCTCTGCCCCTCTTCATGAGCCCCACCGCCAACGAGGACGACTCCCAGCTGGAGGTCAACACCTCATCCCACAGCCACCAACACAATCAGTCCGATCCGACTGCTAGCCTAATGGCCAACATCTCCGGCATCAGTCCCATGAGCGCCCAGGAAGAGACGGCCGAGGAGGTGCTGAGGGGAATGCCCTACTACGGGCACCTTCTGGAGGTGAGTTCCCAGAATGGAAACGCTGGTGCCGCCGGCAGCCACATTCTAAATGTGGTCAAGGCCAACCTCCTGGAGGGCCACAACCCCAGCCTCGTCGGCGAGCCCGTGTTCGACTCCGAGGAGAACATTGTCAACGATGCCAACTTGCATTCAGCCAGCCATCAAATACCTCCATATGTGCCTGATCAACACGACTGCTTCGCCGAGGACTGTGGCGGCGGCGGTGGCGGCGACAACTCCTCGCACCACGTGGAGTTCACGGTGGTGCAGCCGCAGACCGTCACCATGAACATTGAGATACACAACAATACCCTCTCGTATGGCGGGGCGGATGGCGGGCACACATTCCAGACCGACGACTTCAACCCGATGCCGTCGACCGCCGAGGACAGCGACTGCAGCATCCTGACCGCCGCCCACTCGCCGCAGATCAGCTTCTGCAACGGCAGCTTCGTGGAGGCGGACACCATCGCGAACGCTTGCACATCATACACCACCCAAGACTACACCGGAAATGTAATTGAAACACACAATGATCTCAACTACGCCGCACACGATAATAACGGAGCTCTCCTAGCTTATACATTAGAGGACTTGCCGCCTCAGCCAACCGGAAGTCATTTAGAGTTTAACACTAACAAGTACGGGTTTGCAAGTTATTACAAAATGTGAGAGAAGTACGTATTTAAGTTTTGTGTAATTTATAACTAATCTAATTGTACGTTTATAATTTTACACCAAATTATATATATATATATACTATATATTCCATAAATTCTATATACAAAACAACACCAGCAAAATGAATGAAAACAAAAAAAACGAGAATAAAATGCTTTGCATTGAAAATATTTACGATGAAAGTGTTTAACTGAACTGCGTAGAACAGCCGGAATCGCATCGGGAGCGGGTTCACTGCCACTTGACCTTGCCTAATCGACGGAAAACAAACAGTTAAAACCAAGCTTTCTGGTTGGGGGTTGCGAAGTATCTACATATGTTTATTTACACGTACACATATATATATATATTTTACATAAATAATTATTGGTGGTCGATCTGCAACAGGAATCGCCGAACAGAACAGAGGATACAGCATGAGGCCGAGCTACGGCACGACGAAATAATAATCCAGACAGTACATTCGTTTCACTCTCCGCGCGCTGAATTGACGGCAAATTACAAGGTGCTCGCCTCGATATGTGGGATGTTGTGCAGGCCAGTGTCGGGGTTCGACCAGTAATAGTAAGGAGCGCCCTGACTGAAGCAGAATTTCATGTCCAGAGTCTCGCCACGGTCCACATAGTACATGAGATAAAAGTTGCACATCTCGTCCTCATTCGTGGGCCTGTAGGTGTACATTTAACGAGCGACTAAGACCCCTTTCAAGCTAAATTTCTTCCCACATTTACTTACCCAACTTTGGTGACGCGATTGCGGGTGCTCTCCATGGTGCAACGCACGGCAATCGTGTCTCCCTCGACAATGGGCGCTGTGCTGCTGGCGTTGTAGAACATTTGCGGCGTGAGCGGGTCGCGTTTACCCAGCTGCAGCCATTCCTGCTCGCCGTCGCTGTTCGATCGGACCCTATAGCCCGAGACCACCTTCCCCAGGCCGTGGGTGTGAACCCGATAGGCGAACGGATGCAGCACCTTATTCTCGTTTATTTCGCAGGCCGTTTCCATGTGTTCCGTTTTCATGGCCGGGATCGCACCATCGGTGCCCAGCAACAGTGTTCCGGCCAACTTCTTGCGGCTGCCAAGGGAGAAGTTTGTTTATAATAGAGAAAAATAAATAATTTAAGGGGCTTACGGCTCCTCGGTGTAGTCCAGAAACACGCCAGAGTCATCAGTTGATCCGTCTATATGGAAAGGTAAACATATATTTAAAGAAACGTTTTTAGGAGCACTTCTCACTCACCCTTGAATTTGTCAATGTGGGCATAATGGACTTGTAGTACCAAGTATTTGATCTGTGAGTCCTTGCCCACCTTGAAGCCAACTCCCGGAGGCAAATCAAGCTTTTGAGCGTCCCTCGCCCAGGCGTAAATGATCTGTGTAAAGACAAATATTAGTATAAAAGCCGTATCAATAAGGTAACTTATTAGCACTTTTGCCTGACGTCTTCGATTTCAAAGATTAACTGGTTTCAGATGAGACTGCATACGTTTTACGTATTTTTAAGTTGCTCTTTTTTAACTAAATGTCTTCGTTTATTCTTCAGACTTGTCAATATGGGAAAACAAGATCAAACTAAAAACTTCCAGTATAACATATGTTCTTTCCCCCATCAAGATCGCCACGAACAGCGCACTAGAGCTCAGAAACTTTTTGGCAGAGGACTTGTTACAATTTCGAGCTGTCATAAAAGCAGGCCTAATCCAATTCATAAGCCAGATAACATTCCTCAAAAACAACTCTAAATTCTCGTATTCTGTCCAGAACTGTCACGAAATTGTAGCGCCGACTTCCAGGGAAACATGTCTGTTTCCACTTGTTGCAAGTGCAACGAGAAGATAAGGCACCGTGCGATCTGCAGCCTAGGCAAGGCCTACCATCCGCTCCACTTCACCTGCCAGGACTGTGGGAGGCAGGTGGAGCCGTCGCATTTCTACGCCGTAAAGGACGCGGTGGTCTGCAACGAATGCTATCTCAGCAAGCATGCCGTCAAGTGCTCCACCTGCCGGGCCCCCATCGTGGGACGTGCCGTGGTCAACATGGGTCGGAAGTGGCACGAAAAGTGCTTCCGGTGCTTGAGCTGCAGCAAGCCGCTGCTTTCATCGTCCTTCTACGAAGTGAACGGATTCCTCTTCTGCAAGGAACACTTCCGGGAGCAGTTCTCGTCCCGCTGTGCCGGCTGTGGGGAGCCAATTGGCAGACGAGCTGTGATTGCCCTGAACACCAAGTGGCATGCCGAGTGTTTCAAATGCAATGTCTGCTGCCGACAGCTCAGTGGCTCCGAGTTTAGTGTACATGATGGACATCCCCTTTGTCCGCAGTGTCAGGAATGGGCGCTCAATCTAAGTCGCAAAATTTTGCAGTGCCACCAAAACCGTTACTTAACAGAAGATTTGTGTACCTGAGAGCTCGAATGGGGTCCGCAGGGACTGGCCGAGTCCTCGTCTGTAGCTCGGTTCATCTCTCCACAGTTCCTGTTGTACGGAATTATCATTAGTAACGTGTAACCAGTGAAGCTTCTTCCAAATTCAAAACTCACCAAGTGGTCCTTGTGGTTCCGGGCTCTCCGCATCCGTAGAGCAGCATGTGGTGGGCCGTGTTCATGGTGGCATTGGGATTGAAACCAACTGTTTTTTGGGGAAACATAACATTTAGAAAACGTGTTCAATCTTCCAAATATAAAGAACCCTGGTCTGAGGGACGTACCAATATAGTAGGTGGTAGTTGGATCGACTTTGATGGGGGTGCACAAGTACAGATCCGGCTAAATTTGGTTAGTAATCAAAATACACGCATATCATAGGATTAGTAAAGTAATATTCGTTATTCGAAGGGCCAAGAGCGTGGCCTTCGCGACCCCCGACAATACAAAGGCAGATGTGTAAGTATCCAGAGCGCAGGTTCCACGAAGCGGCGCAATCTACAGGTTTCACAATGCGAACGCCGTGGGTGTCGCGAATCGTGTGTGTATATGCCGAGGCGACGCTCCAACCATATGGTTACATTTTGCAGGGAGCACAAAGAACTTTTTCTACAGAACAAATCCCTATAGATATTTGCGAGTTTTTATTTACTTTCCGCTTGTGCTTGCACATTTATTACAGGAAAATGCAAGTGCACAGGTGCAGCAATTAACTCTTCGGATACACAATCTTCCGGATACACAATCCATACGGAGCTACTTGGGCTATATGGGTTACTCACGGTTTGCGGGGAAACCTTGGGCATCAGGAACGGAAAGGAGCCTACGGTGCCTGTTGCCGAGTTGGTCTCGAGATTCCGTTGGTGACTCGAGCTCTGGTGCATCCCCTTCCCCACAAGGCCGTTAACAGCTATCAGGCTGATAAGGAGGCATCCCAAAGAAAGATGCGTTCCAGATATGGGTATTCGAGACATTTCGGTATCTCTGTATTTCTGCCTCCACTTTGAACGAGAAAACGAAAATAAAAACCTTCCTATTTGGAAGAGAATTCGCGTTTTATTGTTCTGGGATCGTAGCTATATTTTCCACACGTAGGCTCAGCCCAGAATCGATTGTCACAATAATCGATAGTCAGAGCTGAGATGCCAGGGCTGCGAGCATATCTTGAGCGGTGGATTTCAAAGTGCAAAACGAGAGTGAAATAAATTATACCTGCTAGTTTATATATTTTTAAACAATAATATATTTAATATATTTTTAATAACATATATTACTTTTGGCATTGATACACCACCAAGAAGACCTTAAAATAACTGAATTATTATATCATAATATTTTGTATACCCTTGCAGGGTATTATAATTTCAGTCAGAAGTTTGCAACGCAGTGAAGGAGACGTTTCCGACCCTATAAAGTATATATATTCTTGATCAGCAGCAACAGGGGAATCTTTCTAGATATGTCAGAAAGAAATGGATTTTTTGGCCATTTTTGCAAAATTTGATAAGGGGTTACATCATTAAAATTTTGGAGTTTGATAAAAAAATTGAATTTTCAAAATTTTTAAATGAAGTATGCAGATTTATTTACTGTAGAAAAACTTGCACAGAACAGTTTTTCGATTTAAAATTAATGCTCTTTTGGCCGAGTTATGATATTTTTAATTAAAACAAAATCATGAAGTTTTTTAATCTAAAAAATCCGATTTTATAATACAAAATAATATTTTTCTAAGTCAAGGAACCATTTCCGATCCCATAAACCATATATATTCTTGATCAGCATTAGCATGCGAATCTTTCTAGACATGTCCGGAAGAAATCGATTTTTTGGCCATTTTTGCAAAATTTTATAAGGGGTTACATCATTAAAATTAGCAAAAATGGCCAAGAATTTTGATTTCTTAAAAATTTAAATTTGGTATGCAGTTTTTTTAAATTAATAAAAACTAACACCACTGCTTTCCGAATCGAAATTAATGAATTTTTGGTATAGTTATGATATATTTTAATTGTTACCTGCAAGGGTATACAAACTTTGACTGGCCAAAGTAAGCTTTCTTTTTTGTTTTTTCTTCAAATATAACTTTTTTATACATACATATATCATAAGTAAGCCAAAAATCATAGTTTTTAATTCGAAAAGCTATTTTGTCTTAGTTTTCATTATTCATTCATTCATCAAACCATCATTAGGACTTAACAATTTTTTAAAATTAAAATTTTGTTTAATTTTTTTAAATTTGTAATCAAAATAATAATATAAAACAATTCAGTACTTTTTTTTTCAAAATTCCTAACTAAAATAACTACGATGTTGCTTCCAATTTCGATACACTGCGCAGAAGACCGCTCTCACGCAGGCGCCAAACCATTGATTTTTGTATAAACACACAGGTCCAATGTTTATGGTGCGCTCCAGCAGATATAATTCCAATAGGCCTCAAGTTGGAACCGCGGGGATTTCAAAACTATCTGGCGCATAAATGGAGGAGGATCACGGCGACGTGATGGACCCAAGCAACGGTGAGTTTAGGCTTCCAGTTCCCCCTTAAAGGTATTGCTAGCGGTATCGCCATCCGTTAAATGGAAACGAGGCCAGCGCTGTGCTAAATTATTAACAAACAAACACGCACGCATTTCAGATGACCCCATGGCCCACCAGGACTCGACGAGTATGCTGAACTTGATGGACCCCAGCTCGTTCAGCATGCCGCCACCGAATCTGCACTCCTCGAAGGTGATCAATCCGAACAAGGCTATATTCACCATCGACGCCAACACGGGCCAGATCTTCATTGTGAACAACAAGGCCTGCCAGCTGCTGGGCTATACGTCCCAGGAGCTGCGGAACAAGGGCTTCTTCGACCTGCTGAACGGGAAGACGGATAGCCACATCTCGTCGCTGGCAGAGATGCAGATCGAGGGCGACGAGGGCCGCGTGGTCCTGCTGAGCGGCAAGGTGATTGAAATGAAGACCAAGCCTGGGTCCAAGATCCTGGTCTCGCTCTGGATCCGCCAGATAAGCAGCGATGGACGGCACATAGCCGTTGCGGAGCCCGTGGAGCGGCATATTTGCCACATTAGCATCGACAGATTCGGGATGATAACATCGGCCGACTCCACCACTGCTACTATATTCTTTTACGAATCCACCGACGGCGTGGTTGGCTTGAACATTGTCGCTTTGATACCTTTTATAAAGCTGCCCGATCCGGAGAGCAGGGATCCGGTTCCGAAGAGCCTTCGCAAACAGAGGGCCACCGGACGAACGACGGACAATGTGAAGTTCCCGCTGTGCCTGCTCCTGACGCTGGACGAGAGTGCCCCGGCCGGATATCCTGCCTCGAGTAGCCCCGCCTTCAACATTACCGTCTGGGTATTCCAGAACCTCAGTGGCCTCATTGTGGTTGACGACATCGGGAACATCCTGATGTGCAACCAGCCGTTCTCGCTGCTGATGTTCGGCTACGGCCAGGATAAGATAATGAACATGCATATATCCTCGCTCTTGCCGAATTTCGGCAAGGACTCGCGGGAGGAGAAGAGCCCGAATGTGTCGAACACCTCGATCACCAGCAACGACTGGGAGCCGGACACCGACCCGCTGGTTCTGGACAACCTCGACTCCTCTTTGCAGTCCTGCAAGAAGAACTCCACCACCAACAAGTCAGCTCCACCTACTCTCGAGCCCTCCTCGGTTAGCGACGCCCACATGAGCTGCAACCCGGACCCCAACAGCAGCGGAATGTTCTGCGACGTGCGACAGCCCGACGATTGCACGATCGACGATATTCTAACGCCGGTAAATGCATCGAATAGCTTTCCCGCGGACGAGTTTGAGGCGGGATCCCAGTCTCACATCAACGAAATGCCGCTGGACAGGCCCAAGACCCCGGAGTCCACCGAGAATGGCGACGCCTCGGGCAGTAATCCTGCCACGCGGCTGCTTAGCTCCATAAATGGCAGCTTTGTGGGCGAGGCCATCCACGCGGATGGCACGGTAATAGAGGTGGTCTACTCGGTCCTGCTGCAGATCCTACCCTGCTCCAACCGGGTGTACTGCATCTGGGTGTGCCGAAATCCCAGCACGCGTCTGGATGGCGGCGACAAGTACAGCTACGCGAACCTCACGTCCACATTCAACAGCATGGCCAGCACGATTGAGCAGTCGCTGGGCCAAGTGATCAAGACTACCGCCGCCCAGAACTCCAGCCGGCCCAACTCCCTGTCGCTGGTGTGCAAGTACGAGGACGAGCTGTACGTGGGGGAGTACAGCAAGCACTACACCTCCATCCGGCAGATCGGACGCGGAGCCTACGGGTATGTAAATATGGCATTCCGGAACACCGACCGACTGCTGGTGATCACCAAGTTCATTCTGAAGGAGAAGCTATGCTCTCAGTTCATGGTTAAGAACCGGGACGGTAAGGAAGTTCCTATCGAGATTCATCTGCTGCAGACCCTGAATCACAAGAACATAGTGTCCGTGCTGGACGTATTCGAGAATGACCTCTTCCACCAACTGGTGATGGAGAAGCATGGCTCGGGCATGGACCTGTGGACGTTCATTGAACGACGTCCCCTGATGGAGGAGAAGCTGGGCAGCTATATTTTCCGCCAGGTCGCCGACGCCGTTAACTACCTGCACGAGCAGAAAATACTCCATCGCGACATCAAGGACGAGAATATTATCATTGATCAGAATTTCAACATAAAACTAATCGACTTCGGGTCTGCGACCTTCATGGAGGAGGGCAAGTACTTCTCCACATTCTACGGCACTACGGAGTACTGCAGTCCCGAGGTGCTGGCTGGAAATAGATACGTGGGACCAGAGCTGGAAATGTGGGCCCTGGGAGTCACCCTCTACGTGCTTATGTTCTTCGAGAATCCCTTCATAGACGTGGAGGAAACGCTGAAGGCGGAGATCCAGATACCAAAGGTGGTGTCCGAGCCGCTTAACCGGCTGCTGGGCTCCATGCTAAACAAGGATCCCAAATACCGGTGCACCATGCATCAGCTGATAACCGATCCCTGGCTCACCCAGGAGGTGAATCCCTCCGTTTTTAACTTTTCGTGGATTGTGCCCTGTAAGGCGCACGAGGCGAATCCGGATCTATACTTCTCCGGCTACTTGTACTCCAGCACTTCGGTTCTATCCACCATTTCGCCGCAGGAGAGCTTCTCGCACATCGAAGAGTGCTCCATTGGGGGCAGTGAGGAGGCCAAGCTGCTGGCGTCTCACAGGATCGGGCACAAGTTGTGCGTGAACGAAGGTACCGTCCTAAAATCAATTTTGAAATCTGAAATCTTATCCTTGTATCTTTATCCTGCAGCTAAACACAATAAGATGGACACACTCTATGCGAAACAGTTCCAGCTGAACACTTCGGTCAGCAACCACGAACTAAGGGTTACCTCGATACCTGACCCCAGCCACACGGAGATCGGCCACTCCATATGCTCCTCGAAGTCGGAGAACGATATTTTTAAGAACAAACTCGAGCCTTGCGTCTCTGCTTATAACGTAGTTAGCTTGCACGACGTGAGCACGAAACCCAAAACGCTTAATCTGAAGTGAAGTTGAATACATATAGTGTACAATGTGTAAATCTAATCCCGTCATGTGTAAATACCAGCATCTGTGAACAAGGACAATTAACGATTTAGAGGGGCAAGAAGCTAAAATGTAGACAAAAATAAATCAATTTTATTGTTACCTGTTTGTAGTTTTAGTTTTATAGCTTACCTCTCCAAATAACAAAAGAATAACATACAAGGCATTTAAGTGCAACAAACAACTGAATAACATTTTAATTGCTTTTTATGGAATCGCCGCGAATTAACAACTATGTATACACGCACATAAATACTACCAAGGGTAAGCGCTCTCAACTAAATGTATGCGTTTCCAAGGATGCTTGTGCGGTTTGATCAACTCTTTCATATCTTAGAATCACCTGATGGGAGATCTTGCGAATGGAAGGAAACGGGCTGTTTATAATTGGCAATAATTTTAAAGCAGTTTCATTCTAAAATGGAAACGAAATTGACAGTAATAATTGGAAACCCCTATTAAAGTTTCGTAAGGAGCACGGTTTGTTGAATTGAAGGGAAGAAAATTATCCGTTTTTAGCACAGTTTTGTACTGAAATGGACAGTAAATGGGCAACCTTTATTTTGCTATGGAGAATGGTATAATTTTAGAACAGTTTCGTACCAAAATAAAGAGTTTTTTTGGCAATATAAATGTAAATGGAGAGTTATGGCTGGGAATCTCTAGGTCAGTTTCTTCCTAAAATAATAAAGAATTAAACAGTAAGAGTACCCTTTTTAAGCACAACTTCGCTATGTAAATAAATTGAGAGTATAGCTTCGTATCGAATAGATATGGAGAGTGCTATGGTTTCCAATCATTAGTACAGTTTCGTACTATGTACAATTATCCAGTTATTAGTAACGACTCCTAAGTTTAAACAACTCGCAAACTTTTTACAAATATATCTATGTACCGTAAGCATATAAGCGTTCTACAAAATGTATCTAAAATATCGTATCGGTGTTCTCGTATTTGCGGTCCCAATAGCCTCCACTATACAGCCAATCCTCGGTTTTGGTGTGGGGGTTAATTACGTACTTAAACCATCTGCAAATGCGTAGTTTTTGTTTTTAGCACAAAAGCGATAAGTCAACACAACCAAGATTGTTCTTACTTCGGTGTCCAGTCATCACTGTTGGCGGATTTCCTTTGTTTTCGTGTATGCCTTTGCTTCTCTTCGAGGCGAGTCTTCTCCTTGGACGCCCCATCCAGGTTTCCGTCTTCTAGGTATAATATATCAGGTCGCAGTCGCGAATCGGTAGGGCATAGAGTTAGCGGTGGTTTCATATTATTATCCATAGCGTTTAGCTGAAGCGCGAAATGCGTAAACTGGTAATACTTCAAAGAGAAGGAGGAAATATTTGAAATATCTGGAAATCCCGGGTATTTTGACGCTCCTCCTTACCTCGTTACAGTTGGAAGGTCTGGGCTTACAGCTCCACAAGGTGGTGGAGTCCGGAATATCAATCGAGTATGCAGAGTCACTCTTTGGTATGTCGCCCTCTTGCTCCATGGGCGGATAGCTTTCATTCTAAAATGTAACGTCTTTTGAGATACATTTGCGGCGGTAACTCAACAAACTTTTACACTTACGTCTTGGATCGACAGGCTGCGGAAGGAGTTCAGCTTGAAGCTGTTCAGTTTCGAGAACATTTTCTTTGGTGTTCCATTCGGCGAGCCATCGAAGTCATCGTTCTTCCGGGTTCCCTGTTTCAAGTACTGACTATAGGACTCAGCCGAACAGCATTTGATAAACTCGGTCCACTTGCCATACAGAAAGAAAAGATTGGTGTCACTAGAAGATGGTTTCGGACAATGATTATTATATTATCAATGTCGTTTATAGCCCACCTTGAGTCTCGAACGAATCCCTCAACACGATGCAAGTTCTTGGCTCCGGATCCGGCTGACTTGAAGGTGAGGCTAGCCACATGGCCGGTGGAATGATTGGAGATCTCCATTTTTCCATACTGCTCTATCCACAGTCGGCCCACGATTATGTTGTGGACGCAGCAGTTCACATTGGTCCAACTATAGGTTTCATTCCATCTAAATACCATTAAATGTTTATTAAAAATAGTTTTGAAAAGAAAGAGCTTTCTTTCAATTTGTAAAAAATGTACGTACTTGGGAAACTCAACGGTGACTGTTCCTTTGGGATTAACCTCAACGCTTTTGCCCCAGAACTTGATTTTGGGATTAATGGTGCCATGGAACTTAAAGTCCTTGGACTCGGCGTGAAATGCTGATACCGGCGGATGGTGGGATACCTGTTCACAGACAATGCGATAATCGCCTCGCTGCAGCTCGTAGGTCTCTCCGAGGAGCGGATTGAACGGCTTGCCCAGTCGCTCCCAGTTAGAGGCTAATGCTGATACGGCAAAGGCTGAAGAGAGCGCAAAAATATTCAATGAATAATAATAGCGGGCACTTAATTGGATTCACTATCGCTGCTCTGATAAATGGCCATGGTAAATCCATAACCACAGACAATTTTCGCTGCCCACTCCCATCAGGTATCATGTAAAATATCACTCACCCGCAACGTATTTCATCCGGTCCGCCGGCGATTCCTGCTGCGCCGCCTCGGTCAATAGTTCGGCGTACTCCATGTACTCACAGAGTCTCTGGAGGAAGCTCAGCGGCTCATTGAGCATGACTGGCATGGTGATCTTGCTCAGGTCCTTGCCAATGCAGTTCTTCAGAATAGCCCAAATGCTGACTTCTTTGCGGGAAATCATCGGGGCCGGAAGCTCAGTTCTAGATTACCAGAAATTATCAATTATGAGTGGACTGGCGGAAGATGAGTAATTCGGAGGACTGGACTCACCGCTCCACATGCTCTCTGTAGTCGCCCTCGGCCATTGTTGGGGGTCAAGTGCAGCTAGACCCAAAAACTGATTGTGTTGGTGTGCCTCTTAATTGATTGCCAGTTCACGATGAGCCTCTTCTGATCAAAAGCATAGAAGTTTACACTGGGACAGACATGTGCGGTGTGGGGCAATGTTCGAGTTCTGGAAAGGTTTTAAGCCTGATAAATGAGATTATTCGGCAGACTGATTAAACAAACATATTTATATATGTAAGATACGTTTCGCGCGGGTGTGTGTGCGTAGATCTGCTGTGTACCTTTTGTGGGGAGGTAGTCGCTGAGCTATTCGATGGACGACGACGGCGACAGTGAATCTTGTGACTGAGCGTTGTTGTCATTCATTGATTTTTTGAGTGCTAATGAATGCTGGCCTGCAGGTGTTGTTTCGTGTGCTGAGATCCGCTTTGTTTTGCTTCACATTGTGACTAAAAGCGTATTTTATATTGCACTAATTGAGGCTGAGGTGTTGTACGCAGCACTTACTCTAATGTTAAAGCTTTTGGGCGAAAATTTAATCAATAATGATAAGAAAGCTTTGGGTAGCTTTTAAGGGGGGCAAGCTTTTCGCAGAGTTGATTTTTCTAAATCGATTTCTGATTTTGAGCTTGATAAAGAAACACTTGTACTTATATATAGGTTGTTGTGTTTACCCCTAAATTGACTTTAATCACAGTTGCGGTCACAATTATAGGATGGAGAAGTAACAGGATTTTTTGTAATATAAGAGAGTTATAAAGCGTATTCTACACATTTGGGGTAATAAATTTAGTCAATATATAGATATAGATATATCCGAGCTTATAAAAAGCATATTCTAAAACAGCAGCCGAATCGATCTGTAAATGTCAATTAATCTCTCAGTTTAACTAAAAGAAAAAATTTCACAAGTTCTACTCCGTTAAAATAAAGAAGTCTGGATTAAACTACTATATTATATCATGTAGTTGCTATTGAAAAAATTAAAAACAAGAAAGAAAGCTAACTTTGGCCAGCCAAAGTTTGTATACCCTTGCAGGTAACAAGGTAAGCCAAAAATGCATTAATTTCGATTCGGAAAGCAGTTTTGTGTTAGTTTTTATTAATTTAAAAAAACTGCATACCAAATTTAAAATTTTAAGAAATCAAAATTTTAGGCCATTTTTGTAAATTTTAATGATGTAACCCCTTATCAAATTTCGCAAAAATGGCAAAAAAAATCGATTTCTTCCGGACATGTCTAGAAAGATTCGCATGTTAATGCTGATCAAGAATATATATGGTTTATGGGGTCGGAAATGATTCCTTGACTTAGAAAAATATTATTTTGTATTATAAAATCGGATTTTTTATATTAAAAAACTTCTTGATTTTTTTTAAATTAAAAATATCATAACTCGGTCAAAAGAGCATTAATTTTAAATCGGAAAACTGTTCTGTGCAAGATTTTCTACAGGTAATAAATTTCATTAAAATTAAAATTAAAATTAAAATTCATTTAAAAATTTTGAAAATTCAATTTTTTATCAAAATCTAAAATTTTAATGATGTAACCCCTTATAAAATTTTGCAAAAATGGCAAAAAAATTGATTTCTTCCTGACATATCTAGAAAGATTCCCCTGTTTATGCTGATCAAGAATATATATGGTTTACAGGGTCCTTCACTGCGTTGCAAACTTCTGACTGACTTAGGTCCTTGATAAAGCATCCTGATTTTGTTAGTTAAGAAATTCGCATATATATTGATTTATTATTATTACAATAATTTGTTCCAGGTTATTATTGTGAATTCTCTCAATTTTAAAACAATGTAAAACAATGCAATTTCCTATTTTATTTCACTTTTTTTATTCCTTAAACTAACATTAGTGCCATTATTTTCACCGAAGCTGTACATCCGCAAAAATTAGGGAAGCTGACTCAAGATCTCGACTACCAGAAGCCAACTACTTGGGGTTTGCTGATTGCTTATCTTGAATGTTTCCCGCGGCGCGGAGTGGTTCGCTTTGCCCACTTGAAAATGCCTTACAACATTCATTTTCTTTTTATAAACACCTGAATAAGAGTGATTATTTTTAGCCTTGGCAGAGTCCCTGAAGGTCGTTCACATTTTATTGATCGTATCGGGCGGTGGCGGGGGCGTGGGTGTGGGTGGGTGTGTCAGAGCTGAGCTGTCAACATTCACATCCCACATCCACACCAGCCAATAAATAAAAATAAATGTATCAAATTCGATTATTTCGTTTAATTAACCAGATAATATATATTTGATATATATAGAATTTTAGATGTTGTGTATAATTATTTATATTCCATATATACAAGAAATAAAAACAACATTTGTTCGCTTAACACTACCACTTCGCTACTAATTGACTAAAATGTTGTAAGCAATTCCTCCTGGATGCTGTTCGATCGAAGTAGTTGAGTAGGTGTCGGTCCGCCGGCGACCGTGTTCAGGACCTTGGATGACGTGGCCGTGGCATTCTTTAGGTCATGGTATTCATCGCAGAACGTCTGTTGGTCGCATAAAGAAATCATAAAGAAATCACGTCATGAAACATGTTGTTATTTGTTTGTCGCTCAAAAGAGAAAGACTTTTTATTTATTACCTTTAGACGGCTGCCCAAGAAGATGGCACGTTCGCGCTTCCTAACCATGTAGTCGGACGACATGAGCCACCTGTGCTCCAAGCAATCTTCGGTGTATGGTCGTTTTCTGAAGTATATATCAAATGTGTTAGTTAGTAGTCTGTGAAATGTTTTGGTAATAAACTAAGAGTGACCCTGCTCTACATTATTATTTACATATTTTATAAAAAATAAATATTTAAAATTGGAGGGCAGCTTTTACTTTGATCTTGTAAGAACTACTCACGTGGGATGGCGCTTGAAAAGCAGCATAATGAATCTGGTGGCCTCGGGAGTGACTTCCTTGAACAGATTCTCGAATCTGTAGCGCACAAAGGAGATATTCTGCTTGGTCTCGTACTCGTCGGCGCCGCGGAATGCACTGCATCCGGACAGGAGCAAGTAGGTGAGGGCACCCACCGACCAGATGTCGCTCTGCGGGAATATCGGCTCGTCGTTGATCATCTCGGGCGGCTGGAAGTCCAGGGATCCGCATGGCGTTACCTTCACGCCCAGCTTGTTGACCTTCTTGGCCGATCCGAAATCGACCAGCTTCACCTGAATGGAACGCACCGAGGCCATCACCACATTGTCGGGCTGGATGTTGAGGTGACAGTAGCCGCGCCAGTGCAGATACTGCAGGGCATCCAACAGCTGGGTGATCACGGTGGCCACCATCTGCTCCGAGTACTCGTGTCGGCTGCTGAAGTAGGTGAGCACATCGGCGCCCTGGAGTTTCTCCATCACAAAGATGGCAATGGGCACGTTCAGGGGCTTGTAGGCGCTGAAGAGCGCGGGGATGCGTTCGTGGCGCAGGGTCTTAAAGTTGTCAAACTCGGCCACCACGTTATCCTCGTTTTCGTCGGTCACCTCCAGGATCTTGGCCACCACAACGGTGTCAGTGGACTTCTGGATGCCCTTGACAATGGTGCTGAACTCGCCGCGGGCAATCTCCGAGATGAAGCTGTACTTGTCGCTGACTGAGGAGTCGGTCACCCAGTTGGGAGGCTCGCGCTCGCAATGGTAGTCGGTGTGCACGCGCTCCTCCTCGGGCACCACCTCGTGCCCGTTCTCGGTGAGCTGCTGTAAATGCTTCATGGCCTTGGTGATGTGAATCTTGGGGGCGTCGGCTCCCGACGTGGACGCAGACACGGGTATGCCCATCTCGCTCCAGCCGATACGATTCTTAGAAGCCAGTCGGAACTGATAGCTGGTGTTCGGCTGCAGGTCGTGCAGCAGGTAGAACTCATGATCGATGTTGTCCGCCACAGTGGTCCAGGCATCGCAGTTGCTCAGCTTGTACTGCAGGCTGTAGCACAGCACTGTGGAGTGGCCATCGTCACGTGGCTGCTTCCAGCGGAGCAGGATCTCGGAGCCGCTGTTGGCGGAAATCTCCGGCGAGTCGGGGGCATCGGGCAGAGTGGCAACCACGATGCGGCAACGGGCCACGGTCTGGCCCACCTTGTTCCTGGCCACCGCCTTGTAGACTCCCACATCGAAGTGCAGGGCCGGCTCGAAGCGCAGGATGGAGCGACCGTCCTCATCCACCGATATCTTGATTCTCTTGCTCTCGGACAGCACCATGTCGTTCTTGAACCACTGCACGCACGGCTTGGGATCGCCCACGGCGAAGCAGTGGATGTGGCTGGGCTGGTTCTCGGTTATGGCAATCGTCTGGGGCTTCTCGCGGAAGAATGGTGGGTAGCCCTCCCGCTGGGTCTCGATCATGGCATCGGCCTCGGTGTACTCATCCAGACGAGGTCCCAGCTCCGTGCGCAGGCGACGGATCGAATACGAATCGTTGGCCGCATACATGCTGATGCGGCTGCGAGTACGCTCGTCATCGATCTCCTCGTCCATGATGTCGGTGAAGCGACGTCTCTCGCGGATCACGGGCAGCTACAGAGGGAGAATAATTGCTACTTAATCTCGATTTACTTTCCCATTTCTAGTTAGGTATACTTACAGACCAGTCCACTGAATCGTTCAAGGCAAACGAAGGGGATCGTCGATGGGCCACCTTCATGTACTCACGCAATCTCACGGGGAAGTTGACATCTCGCAGTTGCAAAAGATACGTATCGGGGCCGTATTGGTAGCTAAAAGAACAAAGTTTCGCTGTAGTCACCTCTTCTAAAAGCTCGTCGCTTAGCTAGGACTTACTGGCTCTCCGATTGAATCAGGCCCAGCTCATAGTCGGGATGTAGGTATTTGGAAACGACTTCCTCGCGCTTTGCCCGCTTCCTTGGCTCCGGCAGCGGCTCTGGGGTATTCTCCGGCGTGTACACGTGTCCCGGGGGATAGACCATCTTGGACGGATGCTGGAAGCAGCCGCTGAGGCGGCGCCTGCGGAAGTAGTTCTTGCAGGAGGCATTGGCATACCAGTCCCTGAAGTGGTCGTAGTAGTTCCTCAGGCGGTCGGTGTTGATCTGGTAGTCATGGTCGTACACCTGGCGATCCAGCATGAAGAACCATGGATGCTTCAGAGCAGTCTTGACATCCATACGTTCCTCGGGACTATAGAGCAGCAGGCGGCTGATGAAGTCACGACCATCGTCCGAGATGTGAGTCCAAATCTCGTCCTTGAAGTCCCAGCGGCCTTCGCGAATCTTTGTCAGGGTTTCCCTGTCGTCGATGCCCAGGAAGGGATTGTGACCGCCCAGCAGGACGTAAGTGATCAGTCCCACGGTCCACATATCGTGCGAGAAGTTGACGCCCTCCTTGTTCACGACTTCCGGCGAGACGAATTCCGGCATGCCATAGTCCAGAGTGGACAGGTTGTGCCTATTGATTTTCCTCGACAAACCAAAGTCAGACACCTTGATGTAATCACCGCCGACCACGGAGATCAAAAGGTCCTTGATCTGTGATCACACACAAAAATCAGCGAGTATTAGATCACACCTAAAGGCATTATTAGTATTCAGTTTCTCACCGTGAGACCCATGTGACCCACTCCCATCTCGTGCATGTGCTCCAGACCCCACAGCGTCTGCCGGATGTAGTGGGCGATGTCGCGCTCCGTGTAATAGTCGCGCCTGAGCAGATTGTCCCTCACCAGCTCCCCGCCGGCAGCCAGCTCCATGATCAGAGTCACGCTGCGATCGGTATCATACGCATCGTACGGGCGAATCAAGTTCTTGTGATTGAACATGTTCATCATCTCCAGCTCGTTGAGCATGAATGGACGCAACTCTGGACGGCCGTACATGATCTTGGCGGCGTAATTGTCGCCAGTGGCTCGCTCCACGGCGTGATAAGTGATGCCCTGGGTTCCACGGCCCAGCTCGTCACCAATATCGTACTTGTCCTGGTAGCGCAGTTGCTTGGAGCGCACATACGGATGCCTGCCGTAGGTCTTGTAGATGTACTGATCCTCGTTCTCCTCAATGTGCACCGTCACCGAGGTGCTAATGGAGCCAGCAATGTTCCTGGCACTGATGGAGTACAGGCCACCGTCCTTGATGATGGAGTCGTGAATCGAAAGCACATAGATATCCGGATCATACGAACTGATCTGTGTTTGAAGAATGTAAATTAAATGTTTAGTTATTTTTTAAAAGAAAATGTTATTGCCTTTGAGATTACCTTGATGCGGGACGAGTCGGCAATGGGCTTCCAGTCCTTAAACCAATGCACTTCCGGCAGTGGAATGCCCACCAGCTTGGCCTCGATCCTGCCATTCTTGCGGGCCATGATAAAGGTCTCATCCGGTCGCTTCAGGAACCGCGGATGCTCAGCAATCTCCAGCCTCACCCGTTGCCTGGCCTCGCCATGCTCGTTGGTGGCCACAGCTTCGTACCAGCCAACATCGCGATCTAGCATTCTGTGAGAATTTAAATAAAATATTGAATATTTATAAGTTAATAACTTTATAATATAGAAATAACTAAAATAGAAAAGCTTTCCGAATTGAATTTTATTACTTAATCATTTATTTATGATCGATTTTTGATTCGATGCCATGATCGTATGGCAAATTCCAAGGGTATTCAAATTTTGGCACCTTAAAGTTAGTTTTCTTTCATGTTTTCAAATAATTTTAAGCTATAAAACTCACTTGTTGATGAAGAGCGTGGCCTGGCCATTTCGGGTGTAGCTCTGATCAAACCTGCCACCCGACTCGATGAGCATGTCATCAAAGTAGTACGTCATCTTTGGCTTGGGGTAGCCGTAGACGAACCACATCAGCTCCGTGTTGTGCTCCTTGACACCATAGCTAATATCGTTTTCGCGCAAAAGGAATCTTAAAGATAAAACCAATGTTTAGTACAGAAAGAAGAAAGAACATTACAAATATTTACTGAGGAGCCTGAGCTAGGCCATCATGGGGAGGCCGCTCGATATCAAAGTCCTTGGGGAAATAGGGTGAAGTCTCTGGCCTGAAATCTGTGCCTGGTGGCAAGTATGTGTAGGTTTTAGGTGGATCGGGCACCAGTTTTTGCCTGCAACATATACAATATGTTCAATATTTCACATATTAAAGCTATAGGTTTTAGTATCCCACCTGTAAGTCTGCGTGTAAGGACTGGGATCGCTCACACCAAACTTATTCTCCACTCGAATTCGGAATCTGTAGTCTCTGAAAGGTTCCAGATTGCGGATGTCACAGGCACAGCTGCGTACGCCGGTCCTCAGAGTGCGCCAATCGCCCTCGGGCAGATCCATCATTTCGATCTGGAATTGCATAATTTTATTTTATTTACTTATTCAATTATTTATCTTGGCTTTGAATCCACCTGGTAGGTGATGGGGTAACGGGGAGTCATCGGCACCGACGGGTTCCATGACAGGAGCAAGCCGCGATCGGTCATACGAGAAATAATGGGACCCTCCGATAGCGGTGGAGGAGCACCGGATTTCTTGTACTTTTTGAAGTCGGTATACTGGTCTTCCAAGGGCTTCTGCTGGCTGTCGAGAGCTGGGTTCGTGGAAACATATTAAAAGAGTGCTAAAAATAGTTATTTAGAACCTACAGTCGTAGAAGAGTTCGGCATGGCAGATGTCATCGCCGTAGGGATTGAAAATGCGACAGGAATAGCGACCCACATCGTACTCGGTCACATTTTTGATGGTTAGCCTGAGCAGGCCATTAGGCTCAATGTCGATGAGAAAGCGGTCCGAGGGGAACAGTTTCTGGTCGTTCTTGAACCATTCCACCTCGGGTTCCGGATAGCCCGTGGCGCAGGCCGTGAACTTGGCAACCATGCCCTCATAGATATCACAGTCGCCGATCTTCTTGAGGAATACTGGAGGCTCCGATCGCGTGTGCTTCTTACTGTAAATGGATTTATTATGAATTAAGGGATCACGCTGGATGAGGGCCTTCCTTACATTTCGTTAACGATGTCGAGGCGTCCTTGGGTGATGTCTTTGCCCTCCCTGTTGCTGGCAATGCACTTGTAGACACCTTGGTCGTCCTTATCGCAGTTGTTGACAATCAACATGTGATGGTCGCCATCGTTCTTGACGCTGTACTTGTCGGACTTGGTGGGAATAGGCTTGTCCTGGAAGTACCACACCAGCTCCGGATACGGAACTCCAGAGACAGTCACCGGAATCTTGGCATTGTTGCCAAACACCTGCTGCTGATCGGAAATCTTTTGCGTGAACACTGGCGGCTTGTACACCTTGCGAACATTAGCGTTGCAGGCGGACGAGTCCTCGCCCAGGGGATTGGCCAGGAGGCAAGTGTAATTGCCGGAATCTGCAGCCTCGGCCGGTTTGATGGTCAGACCGATGTGCTTGCCGTCGCAAGTCATTAGCAGGCGCTCGTTGGGAGTCAGAGTAACGCCATCCTTGGACCAAATAACCTCGGGCATGGGGTTGGCAATGAACGGAGCGGACAGCACCAGCTCCTGGCCCTCGTCGGCGTTCACATCCCGCAGGGCAGACACAAACTGAGGTGCTTCTTCGGCGGCAGTTTCATCGGCCTTGGGGGCCACATAGAGCTTCGCCTTGGAGGCCGTCGATCCCTCGGGATTTTGGGCAATAACTTCGTACAGTCCGGAGTCGCCAGGCACTGTTTTCTCAATAATAAGGCTCGTGCTCTTGTCCGGATTCTCCACAATGGAAATGTGGCCCTGATCGGGCTTAATTTCGTGTCCATTGTGGAACCATTGTAGCTTCGGCTGGGGGAAACCAACCACCTTGACGTCCATCTTCACCGGGAAGCCTTCAATACTGGAGGCATCCTGCAGCTCAGCCACAAACGCCGGCTTGGACTCCTTGGGCACAATCTCCACTTTGGACACACCCTCGATCTCGCCACCCTTGTTGGCAATCAAGCACTTGTAGACTCCGGCATCCTGGGGCTGAGCTTCGTCAATGCTGCATAGGACGAAGGGAAAGGATTTAATATTGGCAATATTCCCCCAAATCTTTGAAATGCTTACATCAAACCAATCTGGCCATTGGGGCTGTTGATAAAGTTAATTTCCGGACTTGGACGCAGCAGCATGCCATCCTTGTACCACTTGACCTCTGGAGCTGGGAAGCCGGTGACCTGAGCCTCCAGCTTTAAGGGCTCACCCACCACAACAGTTTGGCCGGTGATTGGCTTGAGGAACTTTGGCTGCATCTCCTCGGCTGCATGGAAATGGTATTTTTATGATGTATACAAGGACAACAATATTAATGGACTTACGCTTAACAGCAACGGCACACAGCGCCACTTTCTCGCCATGAGGATTGGAAATAATCAGCTTGTAAGCTCCCGAGTCATTGGGCTGGCAATTGTTAATCTCCAGCTTGACCAAGCCATCGGGGCTTGTGGATAATTTTACACTGGAAAATGGGTGCAGAATAAGTATCACATGCGAAGTACTGCTCCTAAAATACTCACCTCTCGCTCGGCTTAACTTCATCTCCGTCCTTCAGCCACTGAACAGTGGGCAGGGGACTTCCGTCGACACAGCACTCCAAGACAAGGGGCTCACCCTGCAACACGTCCAGAGCATTGTCCAACTTCTTCACAAAGCTGGGTGCGAGGGCCAGTAGTCCCAGCTTGAAGGGTGCCTTGGTCACTCCAATTTCGTTGGTGGCCACACAGGTGTACTGGGGAATAATTATAATAATAGTAATGCCCCTATAAATCCTTATATAAACCTACCGCTCCCACATCGCTTTCCCTGAATGTCTTGATATCAAACACACTCTCGATTTGGTCGGATCCCTTCTTGGTATCCTCCTTGCTGTACAGCTTGTCCTTGCTTGGCTTGTTCACCGCCTCGTAGTTAATGGGCTTGTCGTCCTTAAACCACTCGATAGTTGGCAGAGGAACGCCATGCACCAGAACCTTGGTGGAGACAGGCCGGAAGTCGTGGATGCTCTGGCTCTCGGGCTGCACAATGAAGGTGGGCTTTTCCACTGCGGAAATTCAGATTGGCATTAGAACCACTAAAGCTCGTTTTGGGAAGAGGATATACCCACCAAGTACGTTCAGATTGAAGTCCACCGTGGACCTTCCCTCGCTGTTGACTGCCGTGATTGTATACTTGCCATCCTCGGAGGGAGAGACGGCCTGGAAGACCAGCCGATACTTGTCGGCATCGACGTCGGCGATTACCTCGCAGTTCTCGTTGTTGCACAGATTCTCGTTGCCACGAGTCCAGGAAACCTTGGGTTTCGGATTGGCCTGAACCAGAGCCTCGAAGCAAATGGTGTCGCCTGGCAGGCACTTGCGGTCATCCAGTCCAGAAATCTCCGGCTTGGCCAGCACATCGATCCAGCCACTCGTGGCCAGTTCACCGAACTTATTCTTCACCTTCAATTCATAGCGTCCTGAGTCCTTGATGTCAGCCTCCAGGATATTCAAGGTGCACGTGTATTGAACCAGGCCATTTTCAATGTCCTTCTTTTCCACCTTCAGCTTGAGGTTGTTGCTCTCCTTGACGGGCTGGCCGTCCTTGAGCAAAACGATTTCAGGAGCAGGATCGGCGGTAAACATAACGGGCTCAGAGACCTTATCGCCCTTGTTAACCTTAATGTCCTTTAGCCCAGGTCCTGAAGTCAGGATGGGCTTGCGATACTCGGCAATGCCTTTAGAGGGGAATATAGAGATAATAGTGTATCAATAATACATTTCCTTGGGATTCCCTTACCCGACAAGGAGAGATCTCCCTGATGAGACTTCTCGCCACACTTATTCTGTATGACCACCTTGTATTCTCCCGCATCCACCATATCCAGTGACTCCACCTCCAGCTTATAATGGTCCTACACAGGATATTGGAATATTTTATATTAAAAGCTTATGGTAATATTTAGGGAGCACGAACCCCATCCACAGTGATGGCCGTATGCTTATCAGCAGTTATAGGTTTTCCGTCGTGATACCATATGGCTTCAGGCTTAGGAATACCCGTGGCTATGACTTCGTACTTCAGGGGCACGCTCTCGTAGCTGTGCTGCTGGAAGACATCCACGTGAACGATTTCCGGAACAGCTATAAGACAATATAGTGTCAGTATGTCCTTTGCTTGGTCAAAAGGTTTACTTAAGATTAACCATTAGATTTCTGTACAGGGTGCATATTTTTCATTCGTGGTGTTAGTTCCGGCAATCCGGCAGCACTTATCCTTAACACTTTACTTTTTACAAGATGCTGAAATCATTTAGATCCCTTCCAGTTGTCTTACTCGCTACTTCGAGACACTTGCCTGCGTAAATTTAAAGTCAATGTATAAATTTACGCTGATGATCATTCCAAGACCCATTCCATTGACACAATACGCATTCCAAATACCCGAGCGAGCTCTTTACACTTGGTTAATAATTGAGTTTTTGATTAGGTTTTTCTGTACAGTATTGTGTTAATGTGTATTTGATATGAAAGATATGTTTTTGATATGTACAAGATGAAATATATTTTGTGAAATATTCATGGTTAATATATATGTATTGTGAGGTTTATATTTAGAATTATTTCGTTTCGATCTCATTCATTCTTGCATTTTCCAAGTATTTATAGTTATGTTTATTATTTTGCTTAATTGATGCATTGAAAATGGTTTTGGTTTACCCCCTTCTTCAGGTTCTTCAGTCGTCGCAATCATAGTTTTTGTCACGGTCTGTCCCAAAGACACCGAGTCGCTCGCTGAATCAAAATTTGGTATCATAGATGGGAGATTATACATTAAATGAGACTCAAAAAGGACTCTTGTAGGTGGGAATTAGTAGAATAAAATTCGTTTGTGGGATACCCTGCCCATACTCGCTTTTCCATCCTATTCAAACTATTTAAGGCTGAGATTTAACGCTTTATACTTACTTAACACAGCAACCTTGCAGGTTGAGGTCGTCTCGCCAATGAAGTTCGTTGCCTTCATCTCATATGTGCCCGCATCCTCGGTCCTGGCCAGATTCAGAGTCAGATAGTAATTTTCGATGCGCTGAGTGTCCCGAGAGATCTTAATGCGTGCATCTTCGTAGATTTCATGGCCATCCTTGAACCTGAACCAAAGCAAAATGTAAACAATTAAGGAATTCCAGAGTCTCCTCTAGCTCACCATTTGATTTTGGCTTCTGGCTCGCTGTACACCTCGACCTCCAGAGTGAAGGATTTGCCCTCCTGAACTTCAATGTTCTTGAGACCCCGCTTGACCTTGGGCTTGCCTTTAAATAATATAAAAAATATAAACCAACGGGCTTCTTAAGTTTTTCATGCGTTGCTTACAGTTGACAGTCACCACACAGCTGTCCTCCAGCTTGCCGTAATCATTCATTATCTTGCAGGTATAGTTTCCTTGCTGGTTGGTGGCCACCTTGTTGAGGATAAGTTTATAGTTGTTGCCCTCCTCCACGTGACGGAAATCGTTACGCTTTTCATCGATCTCGATGCCATCAATGTACCACTTGACATGGGGACGCGGATAAGCATCCACGCCAACCACGAGCTCCACATTGCAGTCGCCCTCGGCCACCGTGATGTTCTTCAGTTTCTGTGTGAACTCCGGAGTGCACTTGATCAACAGATCGGTGGTGCTGGTAGCCGACCCGTGCTCATTGGTGGCCTTCACGGTGTACTTGCCGGCATCCACGCGCGTGGCTCCGGTTATTTTCAGGGTGTAGGCGTTGCCATCGCTGCTCACAGTGTACTTCGACTCGGTCACCTTGATCTCGGTCTCGTCATGGTACCAGATCAGCTTGGCCTCCGGATACGCATCGATGCGCACGGTCATCTGCACGGTCTCCTTCTCCCCGTGGATGTACTCGCTCTCGAAGTGCTTCACGATCACTGGCTTCGACTTGACCGTGCAGCTCCAGTACTCTGACGTCTGGCTGAGATCGTTGGTAGCCTTGATGGAGTAGTTGCCCGCCTGCGATAGCTTGATCTCCTTTACCTCCACGACAACCTTCTCGAGACTCTTGCCAATGGAGGTCGAGGAGATCTTCACGTTGCTCTCGGCAGTCACGTCCTTGCCGTTGTTGGTGACCTGGACAGTGGGCTGTGGGAATCCCTCCACTTCGATTTCCATCTTGATGGTCTCCCCGGCCGAGCAAGTAATATCCGTAATCTTTTTGATCTTTGGAGGAGCTTTAAAAGGGATATATATTCAGGTTATTTAATGTATCCAAAAGTAATAGATTCAGAAGGTAAAAGAACATGGAGTCCGTTACAGAAAAGGTGTTCCTGCAGAGAACCAAGCTCATTCATCAGTAACTATTCTGTAGTAACATAGACTCTGCAAATATTTACTTAGAAATTGTAAGAATAACCTAAAGCTAGTGTCTTTTTGTGCTTATGTTATAGAATATCCTGGGAAACCCAGTAAATTATAGAAATACCTTTCACCACCAGGTTAATGGTCGACTCGTCCTGGCCCAGTTCGTTGATAGCCTCAATGGTATACTCTCCGGCATCGGCAGTGTTGACATTCTTGATGACCAGCGACATGCTCTCCTCATCCTCGTACATGAACTTGTGCCTATCGTCCACCTGGATGACCTCACCGTCGTGCTTCCACTGCACCGCCGGCTTGGGGAAGCCCTTGCATTGGAGCTCCAGAATAGCCGAGCCGCCGATGCTGGCGTTTGCCTCGCGGTGCTCGATCACCAGGGTGGGCTTCTCGGGCTCCCGGTTCAGTGTCTGAATGGCTCCCTGAACCGAGAGCTCGGCACTGCACGAGATGTTTCCCGTGGAAGTTTGAGCAACGCAGGTGTAGATACCCGCATCCTCGGGCTTCACATGCTGGAAAACCAGAGCCAGAGAGTCCTCGTCCTCGCCGAAGAGCACCTTGAAGCGTTCCTCCGGATCGAACTCCTCGCCGTTTCGCTTCCATTGGAAGACTGGCTTCTCACCAGCCGGAAGTATCTGTCCGCTGAGTGCGCCAAACGGATTCTTGTCCTCTGCAAGGAATACAATTTTTCGTAAAATGCCCTTTGTTTTCTTTTAAATTATTTAAGAACTTACCCACTGTGGTGGCCACGGCTTCGCAGGTGGCTTCGCCGAACTTGTTCGTGGCCTTGCAGGAGTAGGTTCCACTGTCGGTCTTCTGGACATCGGCGATTACCAGCTCATAGAAGCCAAGGTAATCCTTGTCACGGATAATTTGAATCCGATCATTGACCTCGAGGATCTCCTTCTCATCTTTGTAGCTGTAGTGAATTTAAGCATTAATTTACTTCTTACAATTTCTTTATTTGCAACCCACAATTTGACCCTAGGCTTGGGATCGCCCTTGATCTTGATCATGAAACGGAAGAGAGTGTTCTCGATCATTTCGGCATCCTTCAGGCTAACCAGAAAGGCTGGCTCCGTGTTAGTTTTAGTCTCGTCATGGCCTGGTGCTGCAAACAAAGCTCGTTCAATCTCCGAGAAACCCTTGATTAGCTAAGATTGCGTACCTTGGCCCACTGCAAGCTGTGCCGAAACAGTTGTTGTCTCGGAAGCAGACTGGGCCCGAATGGTGTAAGTTCCTGCATCGCTTTCACTGGAATCAAATCATATCAAATCGCATGAGCTCCTTAAGGATGGAAACGAGACGGCCACCTACGTGCAGTTCTTGATGTCCAACCGGTAGGAATTCATTGGAGCAGCGGTCTGGGTAATGCGATCAGCCAAACGATCCTCCAGCGGCTTGTTGTCCTTCAGCCAGGTGACAAGGCCGGGCTGATCCTTGAATTGGATCTCAAAGTGAGCGGTCTCTCCAGCTAAAAGCGATAATCTAGAATCACTGACTCAATCTAAATGCTTCCCACTTACGATCCACTTGCACGCTCTTCAGCATCTTCACCACCACGGGCTTCTCGACGGAGCGCAGGGGTCGGTCCTCCAACAGTTGGGACGAAGAACGGATACCGGTACGCGATTCTGCCACCGAGTAGGAGGCACGACTTTCCGCACGGCTTTCGGCGCGACTGGCGGTGCGGCTTGCGGCACGGCTCTCTGTACGGCCGGTGGCCAAGAGGGACGAACGAGCTTCAACCTTGTCAATAGAGCTGCGATCCCGCCTGGAGCTTATTCCATACTGCGATCGCTCGGCAGTGCTGTCGTAGGAGGTTCCCCGATCGTAGTCCCGCGTCCGGCTAGAGGCTTTACGGAGGGCGAGCGGGGTTCAAACCGGGTAAAATCAAAGTTAGTTAGGTTTTTATTAAGGTATTTTCAACAGAGTCTTTTGAATGATGGGTTCTATCGAAAATCTCTAGACGAGAGACTTTCCAAACAGGCCGTAAAAATCTGAACAAGGATCTGGCAAGGATTGGAGAATAGTGGGAAAACAGAGGAGTACACATAGATAGTTAATTGTAAAGAAAAGTTTGTGTATGTAAGCACTGAAAGATATATATATACTCTAAACACAGTTATTTACGATAAACTCAACATAGATAAATATGTGAACATGAAATAGACATGATACAGGTGACTGGAGAGACAAGGACTTCGCTTACAAAGAGTCTTTCGAATTTATTTACGCTGAAGTTGACTCGAGCTCGTTGGCAGTAACGACAGTACAGTAACGACATCCCAGAGAGAGACATTGAGATAAAAACTAACATTCAACATGGTCCATCCGACGATGGATGGACAGAAACCGTCGACACAACTTGTGGGGGCAACTTACTTTCATAGCGACGTTTGGAAGCCAGTGAGTAGCCAGAATAATAATCATCCATACCACCGACGCTTTGGCCCCTGGCTTCAATATCGGCACTTGGCTCCCGCTCTCTGAAATCGTCAGCAATAGACTCAGTATATTCGCCTTCGATCTCAAATATATTAACGGGCTCCTCAACAATCTCGTAAATGGGTCGCTTCTTGACGGGCGGGGTGAAAATGTGCAGAAAGTCGCGGGCCTTGGCCTTCTGTACAGTGTCTTGGGCGTAATTAGTGGAGTCCTTCGACTTCAGCACCGTGGTCTTAATGCTGCGAATCTTTTGCTTGGCATTCCGCAGCGACGTGTCCGAAGTGGACGCGTCGTAGATGCCCTCGAAAAAGTTCTGCGTCTTCTGCTCCAAGCTCTCGTTATGGATTAGCAAGCGTTTAATGGTCGGCGGCGGCGGGGGCGGCGGTGAGGGGGGACGTGCCTTGACTATTAGGATCTCAATGGTGGTCTCGTAAGCGATGAGGGGAAGCGGCTGGAAGAAGCCGGGCATGCGCGTGAAATTAGGCGGAATGGGCGGCGGCGGGGGGCCAGACTGCTGCAGGTGCTGGTTAGCCCCATTTCGGTCGTTAGCGATGTTAGCTAGTCGGTTATTCCAGATGGTTAATGAAGCGTGGTCGGTTATGTTAGCACTGTATCCCTGGCGGCCCTGCGATCCCGATCCCGATCCCCCACCGGGCGCAGGGTCGCTGTCCCGCAGGGATTCGTTGTAGCCAACGATGTCTTTCAGCTCGATGGGTCTGTGCTTGGCGGTTACCACTGGGTTATCGCTATCTACGGGGCGGTATACTTGGATCTTGGGGATCGTCGCATATGGCGATGTGTCTCTCGTGAAGTTTTCATCCTGCTTACCAGCTGCGGCCTCTTCGGTGACCAGACTAGATGCGGATTCGATGACAGTTGTTTGGGACTCGGATACGGTTTCTTGTCGGGATTCAGCAGACTGTTTCGGAGCTTCAGCTTCCTTGGAATGCGAAGCTGGCGGAGTCTCTACTTTTTGGTCCTCCTTAACTGGAGGAGCCTTCTCGGCCTGTGGTGGTACCACTTGCTTTACTGGACTCACTTCCTTGACAGGAATCGCTTCCTTCACGGGAGAATTATTCTTTACAGATGGAGGAGGAGCTTCTGCCACTGTCTTAGGAGCTTGAGGAGCAACTGCCACAGGCTGGGGTGCTTGAGGAGCAACAGCCACGGGCTGAGGCGCTGGAGGAGCAGCTGCTACTGGCTGGGGCGCTGGAGGAGCAGCTGCCACTGGCTGGGGCGCTGGAGGAGCAGCTGCTACTGGCTGAGCTTGTGGTGGAGGCGAAACTACCTTGATGGGAACCTCTCTGACCTGTGGTTTTGCTGCCTCTTCTACCTTGGCGGTCACCTTAGACTCCTGTGTTTGGCTACGAACCTCCGAACTAGACTTGACCTGGGTGCTGGTGATCTGAACCGACTCGGTCCTCGTGGAAGATGTCTTTGAAGATTGCTGTTTTTTATACAATTCGATGGCTTCCTGCTCGAGCTTCAGCAGCTCTTGCTGTTCCAGCTGTAGGCGCTCCTTGGTCTCCTTGCTAAGGAAGTAGTTTTCGGCCACGTCAGAGGGTCGGACACTAAGATTCGGATCGTGGGCTTCGGCCCTTTGGGGAAGATGAAGAATTAGCTCACTTTCAGATGCGATTTGCGATGCGTCGACCTTCAGGTCATCGGCATTATGCTCCTGCAGAGTGACGTCTTGGTTGATGTGGGCGGAGATCTCGTTAAACCAGGTCAAGTGCGACTCTGGGCCATGGGGCTTAATGTGTATCGGAAAGATGGAGCCAGCGTCTGGCGCTTTCAGACTCAATTGGATTTGCTTCTCGTCGGCCTTGTGCTCGATGTTGCACAGCGGGAGCTTCACGATGCTTTGCAAAATAAATACGGATCTGTTCTCGGATATCTTCCGGACCTTGGTCACCAAAATGCGAGACTTGAACAGGAAGCAGTAGCGATCGTGCGCCTTGCCCTCCTTGTCGAGGACGGTGCACCAGTCGTGGAGGAGCAGGCGACCCAACTTGTAGATGTTACCCCGACAGCCCTCGATGCTGGAAAGAAACCTATTGTCGTACGCTCTACTGGGCACACTAAGCATTAACTCTAGGGCCCTGTCCAAGTCTTTAACGTTCTCTTTCAAGCTTAGCGAGTACTTAATGAAGTCCTGCGAAAAACAAACATTAACATTAGCGGTCTTAGCGAGCTCAGCGTGATGGTGATTAGCCTAGAGCCTAGACGTAGCTTTAAGCTATAGGTGATTATAGAGAGATGGCAGAGATTAACACTAAACACAAAGTCGGCAAACCTTGAACAGAAGTTGATAGTCGTTTATGCGCTGGATGGGTAGTTTGAGGTGTTCTGAAAGAGATTTATCGTCTCCGAGCTGTTTTGAAAGTTCCTGCAAGGCAAAAGCAAAATACTTATTACACGCACTGTGGGGGGCCAAGTTTCTAGAATGTATTCGGAATGTATTGGGAAACGAAATATTATTTATTGATAGTCGCAGATTTGCTTCTGTGGTTTTCTGCATCCGTTCGAGTCTTAGGCAGCCCCTAATGAACGTTCTGTGTTCACATATACATTCAAAACACGATTTCTTCTCGGTCGCTCTCTCTCGCGTTTGGGGTTATTTTTGGAACGATGTTTAAAAAATTTATCACTTGTTGCAAAAACGGATATGTGTGGGTCTCTCTATATGCGGCCGAACTTTGCTTTGGAAAGCTATATGTGTCTTCTAAATACATATTCGAATATTAGTATTCAAATGTTTGGATAGATTCACTCGCAACATACACTTTAATTCACTCTCTATGCTCGCGGGTTCATAGTCACATTCATATTCACTGCTGAACCAATTTCACAGCGAATGGGTAGCAGTGGACTCATTAAAGTCAATGTTACAATATTTTTGCCAGTATATATGTATGTATATCTAAACACTTTTAGACGTGAGGTCGAATATGTGGGCTGAAGAAAATTTTTTCACATACTATATATATTTATAAACGTATACGTATCAACGTATCTTTTAATATATAAATGTATGTATATACTCTCGCACAGTAAAATTTCGGAAATGTTGCATAACGGGCAAACGTCACAGACGTCACAGTTCACACAGATTGATTTGGAAAATGATTTTTTCCTCACTGATTTCAAAAGTATTTTATTGGAGTTATCCAGTGGCAGTGTCCATTGAGGTAGGTTTGAGGTATTCTATATGGATTCACTGGCTTAAAACTGAGAGCTAAGACGTTTAGCGAAAATAATTGTCCAAAAGAGGGGTTCGGTTTTCAGGATAATGACAAGATAACTTCAAGTACCTAAAGCGAAACGGTTACGTATATGAATAATTAGCACGACACGACCGCGAACACTACTCGGAAGCAACTGAAAACTGCAAAAGCTTTAGAATTGAAAAGCGTCTGCCTTTAAAAATAAACGGATATTCTCGCACATAGCACACGCATAATATTTGAAGACGATTCCAACGGGCTGGCGGCTCGCCTACCAATTAAATTATTCTCTCTATTATTTTTCTTGATTTCAACAAACAATTAGAAGGAAATGGGGAAAAAGGCAAGTAAGCAATCTGCAGAAATTCCTCATGAATGTAATAGGAACTTTGGGTCGTATTTCGATACTCGAATACTCACTTGAAAGTACTTTTTAGCATCTGGACTGGAGCTGAGATAGTCCTGTGCCAAAGGTTCGTTTTGGCAGTACACCACATGCTTATCAAAGTCCCTTTCCAGTCGCAGAAAGGTCTTGGCCACCATGTTCGGTTGATTGCTGTAGCACTTCAGCCCTTCCTTCAGTACACTGAAATTTGAGGTATTTAAATAAGGACTCATCATCTACTTTCCAGCTGCTTACTTATTGTGAAATTCGGCGATTTGCAGGAAATTGCAGAATATAACATCCTTATTGTCGCGCACAGACCTCGGCACCACTGGCTTGTCAATGCCCTTGATATACTTTTCCACAACATGCATGAGGTCCCTGGAGAATTCCTCCTCCGTTTCAACCAGCTCCCTGAGAATGGTTCTTCAAGGCAGAAATTAAATCAGCTTGCTTTCTTACTATTTAAGTAAACGTAACTCACTGCTTTCTAAATTCCGCATCACCGTTTTCCTTCCCATTAGAGCTACTCATTGTTGGATTAAATTCTAAGATCTCTATCGGAACCCAGCCCTCTTTGGGGGAGTCCCCGCTATCGAACATTCGAACAAAGCATCTAAAAGATACAAAATTATCTTAATTCGTTTCTTACAAAATTATGTGACTTGACTGGAAAAATTTGTTGCTAATCTATTTGCTAGTACCTAGACTTTTCAGATGCCTTTGAACTTATAAGCTCGACAAGGTCCCCTTGGCGGACGCTGATCTCGTCCGTGGCCATCGTTTGAGCCTGATAATCCCGGCTCACGAATACAATATCTGCGACCTGTTGAGTAAACCGATTGCTTCTATATAGTGGAATTTATTTCATATTTAAATTATTTTTTGGTTGAGCCAAACTTTATTTTCATTCATTTTCTAGGAAGGCGGCGCCAACACAAAATAATTCAAACCGATTGCGGAAAGTTTGTGCAAGTGTACAGCGAGATTTATCGATTTGTTCTCATAACCCACACACTCGGGGAACACAAACAAAAAGTGGCCTGTGTGCAATATTTAGCTCGTTAGCTGAAAGTCTATTTTGCGTTGACATAGACACGCGGGCTCTCGGCTATGGCTATTTATTTCGCAGTCCGATTTTACTGAGCGAAAAGCTTAATGCGGGCCAAAAACAGCTGATTATAGCCATCGGTGCCGCGAACAGGACAGGGTTCTTCAGTTCGGGCCAATGATCCGAAACCACAGTAAAGCCGGGTGCAAGGAACACACACATTTCTTAAGTCATTTTTTTAAATCACTAAATTATCGAAGAATTACTGTGAAGAATTTAAGTGGTTTTAGTTGGTTTTGGTGGAGTTAAACTTTAGTTTTAGTTTCTACGACTTTAACTTTTTAACCCGAAGATAATACACTTTTAATCCATAACTCTTGTACATTGATTTTATTATTATAATGTTATAAGCACTTTTAAAATATATATATTTTAATTTATTTTGAAATTAAAATGATCTTGATTTAAACGTTGATATCATTTTTTATTTGAACATTATTCTGAGAGGAGGTTTAATCATTTTATTCACAAACTAAATTACATTTCATTGAAGACGACATTATATTTGAGTTATATTTTATAGCGATTAAATATTTCCATATTTTTTATTGTAGAGTTAATTTGAATTATTAACTTTAAAAGCTATATTTTAATTTTCTTTGAAATTTAAATCTTGTATAATTCTTGATTTAAGCGTTATATCATTTTCTGAGACGTTTAAAAATTACATTTCATTGAAGAAAACAGTATAGTTGAGTTATTTTTTATAGTGATTATAATTATTTCCATATTTTGAATTGTAGAATCCATTTGAATTGTTAACTTCATGTGCCAACGAACAGCCACTGTATATATTGACGTATGTATTCGAGTACATAGATTGCGGCTGCACAAATGTATTAATAAGTAAATTTTTGGCACATGTTCGTAGGCTTGATGATTTTATTTATTTTTTTTTTTTTGGACAGGCATAACTTACGCTATCCATAGTTGCTGACTTGCAGATTGATATTCGTTATCACTGGGTTAACTTCACACACTGCTGCACTTCATGGGCGGACGTATACGCACTGTTGTACGTATTCGAAAATGTATTGCATAACTTATTACTGGGGGTAATTTTTGAATTTTATTCGGACTTATTTGCGCAGGATTGGAGGCAAATACCGATCGTTGGAGCACTCGGGTGCGCGCTTGTCATAATCTACTCGTCGATGAGGATTACTATTCCGAGGTGGCCCATTCGAAAGTGGAATAGATTTAAATTTAAACTTGCGTCGCGGCGTGAAAATGAGTGGCTACTGCGTGCGGCGGATACCAATGATTTTAACTGCATCCCGACAACTGTACGACTGATCGATATTTGCTGATCACAACAAAAGCTCCCCTCGACAAAAAAAATCGTTTCACAATTTAAAAATAATGCACATGCACCTCAAAGAAGCAGCCTCCGAATGTGCATAGCCATGTGCATAGATGCATAGATTCTCGTCTACTTAGGCGGCATACAAACAAACATTCTAAAAGTTTATTGCTGTCACAGGAGTGCATATATATTTCGGCACCCAAGTCTGCGCCTGCATACATATTTAATTGAGTATTATAAATATACATATACATGCGAGGGGTTTATTTATACGTCATGTTTATATTCTGCAAAATAATGACTTTTATAATTAATTTGCAAGTGCATTTCCTCCTGTCACTCGACTCATAAATAACACCGCATTTCGGCATTCATATAATTAATACAAAGGCGACGACGGTATTTCTTACAAAGTACTACATTCAGGGGAGGTTGCTCACTATTTCTGAGCCTGGGAAATCTACTCAAATAATTCTTTAACTTCAATAGAGTTGAGAACCATCCATTTCTCCTTTCAAATACTCTTGTAAATGGGTGATAAGAGCTTTTGGCGTTGAAGCTTTGTTACTTTTCGAAAACACTTTTGCGAAACCACCAGCAAACAATAAAATTCTAGAATAGTTCACAGGTTGTGCTGCTGTTTTACTAGCGCCGCGTAGACAAAGCCTAAAACTAGGCAATCCAATTAGGTTTGTTTAGAAATTCGCTCTGGGCCAAGTAATAAATTATCTTATTTCTATATAGGGTCTCGCTCTAATGATAACCGAGATTTTCTCGGGGCAGAAAAGCGCAAGCTACGGACGCCAATAGACCCACAACGGCGTAGGTGGATATAGCCTGCACCTTGGAAGTGTCCATCAAAACCTGCGCCACAAAGGGTGTTAGCATGGCGCCCAGTCTAGCCAGCACGGAGCAGCCGGAAACTCCCACAGATCGGAGGGCAGCGGGATATATTTCCGGTGTGTAGACATAGATGGCTTGAAAAATACCCGAAATCGTTCCGCGGGCAATGAAGAGAGTCAAAGAAGTTGAGAAGCGACTGAAATGAAAGAAATACTTATAAATCTGCCTGAAAAATATATAAAAATATTACCTATTAACCGACATAAGCACCAAAGTGCACATGACAAGGAGCAGATACTGCAGCACAATAGTTTTCTTCTTGCCAAAGAGTTTGATAACCTTAATGGTCATCAATATGCCCGGAAACTCGGACAAGGTAATCCACAACAAATCCATAAAGTCGGAGGTCATGAAGGTAACGCACTCATTCGGATTATTCTCCTTGTTTCTGGCCACCAAGAGCTCGGTGGTGACCAGCACTAGTCCGTAGTAACAGAAGGCCGATGCGAGCCATATAAACCAGAGCAGAAGCGTGGTCCTATAAAGGCTCGGACTGAGCAGCGACCTAAAGCTCTCCGTGGAGCTGGGCTCCTCGTCGGCAATAAGGCGACCCATTAGCATGTGCCGCTTGTTGTTGTGAGCTATCTAAACGAAACAGAAGGTGATTATAAAACCATTTCAAATGTCATTCTATATTTACCTGTTCCAGAACCCTGATGGCCTTGTCACTATGCCCATTGGATGAATAATATCGGGCAGATTCGCTAAGCCACTGAAGCAGTTTTTAATCGTTAATTTAAGAGTGGGATTTACTGATATAGTTCCTTACCGGAGATAGCAGTGTAAAAAGCAGTAAGGGTGTGGCCGAGAGCCCCAGAAGTCCGCGCCACCCGTAGTAGGGGTAAACAATCAAGGCCAATACTACCTCAAAGCAGGCTCCTAGGGCCCAGAAGCACTGAAAATGCCAATAATTTATATCATGCACTTGATTATCCCACAAAATACTCACATCCATGAGAACCACACACTTTCCCTTGTGTTTCGTGGGCAGAAATTCCGCGTATAGGGTGACACTTGTAGGTTAAAGGGGAAATCTTTTAGAGAATTGGGGAAATTTCCCTGAAAATGAACTCACGATTGTGGGACGCAGCCGATGGCAAAGCCTACGAGACCTCTCAGGGTTAAGAGCCATGCATAACTGGGCGCCACTGAACTTAGTATGCTATATAAAACTAATAATACTCCAAACAAAGTGAGGGCCTAAATAAAACAATAGAGTGAGATATAATTAGCATCTAGATAGAGTGACACCTTACCGACTTTCGGCCATATCTGTTGCTAAGCTGTGTCCAGAAACTGGAGCTCAGCATCATGCCCAGAAACACGATGGTTGTGACCGAGGCCTGCTGGAGCTTCGTGACATTCCATTCGCAGAATAAGGCCGGGCCCAGAATGCTCAAAATGGCCATTTCCATCGAGTCGGACATCCAGCAAAGGCCCACAAGAAGCGACAGCTTGACGTGGAACCAGCCGAAGCCAAAGGCATTGATCGCTTGTTGCACAGTAAAGGTGTCTGTGGAGGGAACAACTGTCTTTAGTTGGCTCAAAAATGTGTGAAATTCACTTGATACTCACCGTCCGGATTTATGGATACAGTCTTTAGCTCCAAAGTTGAAGAATGTGTTTCCCTTTGGCCGAAATTTACGGCCGATGGGACAGCCACAGCGTCGTTATTTAAATAATACATTTTTTAGGTATTCAAATATAGCCCGACTTGCAACTATAAATAAATATGAGTTCAGAATAAAACAGTGTAATAATTAAAAACTGATCTTACCTCTTGCAACACTCAAATATGGTAAAGAAAGTTTTAGTTAGATCTAAGATTTATGTCTTTTGATGTAGACACACAGAAGATGTTCCATTTGGTACTTGGATGCACATTACAGTTTAATATTCACCTTTTTACAAATATTATTTATAAAGAGAACGACGTGCAGTGCATCTACAACAAACCACAACTTTCTTAAGCACTTTCTTTTTGCAAATAAGAAACTGAGAATCAGTTGTAATGTAAACAACACAAACACACAGGCACAAGAAACTCCCACATCGTGCTCAAAAGGTAACGACCGTCTTCTCGATCGATAAACGATAGCTTTAGCAGTAAAGACTTCAAATAACAACGGTAGGATTTAAAGCAAACATTTAAATGTTGATATTTATTTTAAAAAGAAAATAACAAAGTAACCTCTTTTAGTCTTGTCAAAAACTTTTAACTTTCAATTGCAACTACACCAGTTTCTGGAAACATCACACATCTTTACGATTACTTATCAGCGTTGAATAGATCATTTAATTATGGAAATGGACGGAGATTCTTGTCGAAATTTTTCATTGGACTCCACGTCCAGTTCCCAGTTTGCTCTTCCCTCGGCATGCGTTCCCAAAGCGAAGAAACCGGAGGTGCCCGAGCCGGAAAGCTCTCCTCACTGCTCCGACATAATCACATCATCCTCGTCCTCGACCACGACCATCTCGATTGGCGCCTTTGACTCGCAATGCAACGTCCAAAAGGGATCGATCCCCGGGGCACCCAATATTGGCTATGAGTTGAACGTGGCCAAGTCGATAATGCAGCAGTACAGCACCCTGAGTGGTGACAATTTGTGAGTACTCAAAAACTAAACTAAAGTATCAAAAATGATCAAAATGCTTAGCTAACAGGTTTATAATTTTTAGAAGCTATTTACTTAGATTATCCTGTGTAAGCCGATGTAAACTTTCATGGCCGGATGGATAGGTCATTTCTCTATTATATGAATATTCTTTATATATAGTTTAGGAAATCATACTTAGATGTGCTTAAGCCTTCTAAGAACATTCCTTTTGAAATGCTTTAGATTTTTATAATCATTTTAGACCTATTTAAAAATAATTGTATATCTTCGGATTATTTTATATTCAATACAATAACCCTCCCCCGCAATAGATTCGACCACATCAGTGACATTATAAAACGTGTGATCGACGAGCGTCCACCGAATGTGATTGATTTCTTTGAGGAATTCAGCAGAAATGTTCGCGAACAGAAATTCCATTTGCCGGAACGCTTTCCGCCAAACGCAGTATTTGATGAGGTGCGCACGTTCCGAGTGGCCAAGCAAATTCTTCAGTCCATGAAGGTATACTGCCTCTCAACTACGTTATTTATTCCTGTCTAATGGTGGGGTTCCCCCTCAGCTGCCCTATACCCTGGAGGGCGAGGTACTGGATGGCGAGGAAATGTATGGGGAGGAGGGTAAAGCCAACGACGAAGACCTGAGGATCGCCATCGACGACTCCATGCGACTCTTTATCACATTCAACGAACGCGTCCAACAACTGCAGTTTTACTGGAACCAGTGCGGCTTTAGCATCTGCAACGACGACATCTTCCAACTGGCCAGCGCCATGAACCGTCTGGAGACCCATCCCTCTATCATGCAGTGCCGTTTCTGGGGTTGCATCAACGGATTAAAGGCCTCCTACTACATTGTGGAGGCGTCACTGACCCGCGAGGAGGTGGCCTCCCGCTTGGTCATGATGCAGGAAGAGATGAGGGAGAAGCAGCTGCCCTTAAAGATGCGTAGCGACCGAGTGGAGAGGCCCCCGCCACCGCACATTGGGCCGGAGCTCACGCCGGGCATTTACGGCTGGGAAGACTTTCCGCTCGAAGAGCTAGAGAAGATGCAACCTAAGGCAGCGCCTGTTCCACTGGTTGAGGAAATCGAATTCTACGACATTCCACCGGAGATGATCGGCCTCGGCTGCAATAGGTACTCCTACTTTGTGGTCAACTCCTTGTACGATGATTGGATCGAGCTGCCCATCGTGACGCCTCGCCAGATTGTCGTTTCCCGGCAGATAAAGAAGTTCCTAACCGGCGACCTGGAAGCAGACGTAATATCGTATCCCTGCTTTCCGGGCAAGGAGAAGCACTACCTCCGCACCATGATTGGTCGCATTACGGCCGGCACCTACATTGCTCCCGCGGGCTATTATCGGAGGATGACCAAAAAGGAGCAGCGACTGTTCGATGGCGAAGATATGGATCAAGGGGAGGAAGAGGAGGAGGAGGAGGAGGAAGAGGAAGAGGGACTGAACGAGGCCGAGGAAGAGCAGATCGAGGGTAAGGTCTTCCCTTAACTTAACTTAACTTAACTTGACTTGGGAAAATCATTTACAGACAACGATGTGATGCTGTTGAAGAATGAGAAATACCAAGTGGAACCATTGGGCTCTCTGGCCACTCCCGTGGCCTGGGTTCATGTCCGATCGAATATCCTCGAACAGGGACGCGTCGTATGGTATGACGAAGAGAAGGCCCAGAAGGAGAGGGAGAAGGCTCTGGCTCTGTACCTTAAAATGCAGCTCATGGACGAAATGGAGGAGGAGGCGGAAGAGGAAGACGAGGAGGAGGGCGATGGCGAGGAGGAAGGGGAAGAGGAGGGCATGATGGAGGGCTTCAATCAGCCCGAAGTCGGTCCCAGTATTTTGTCCTCGTGCGCCAATGACAGGAGCGCTGAGATTCCAGTCCCGTGGCTTATCCGTCTGACCAGCAAGTACACCAATCAGAAGGAGCGCATGCTGATCATGCAATCCAACGTCTGGCCAGGGGCCTACACCTTTACCTTTGAGAACACCTGCGAATCCATTTACCTGGGCTGGGGCCACAAATACTTTGCCCGTAATATTCCCTTCAAGCACCTGCCCATGGTGCAGGAGGAGTACAAGCACGACCCCGAGGACTTTATCGAAGCTACCGATCCGACCGTCGAGGAGGAGGAGGCCTACCGGGCCTGGCTGCTCCGGAAGCAGCAGAAGGACGCCTATGTGGCAGAGGATATGGACGACATCGAGGATGACGACGAGTTCGACGACCAGTACGATGATGCCGACTAGCGAGGGTTTGTTAAATTCAATGTTTGTTTTGCAATAAAGTTGGTGAGCTTTAGTTTGGTTTTATTATATGGAAATAAAATACATATATCGTGTATCTAAAGAATAATAGTATTGACTTACATGTTACCTCACACTCTCCTATGTACAATTTCGCGACTTTAAAGGTAAACTTAACTGAAATCACACGTGCATCATCATCGTAATTAAGTTAAATAGCTCTTCGAACCGTATGTACATTGCAGCTGTCTCGTGTGTTAAATACAATATATATATAAATTAGCAATCGTTGGCTGTGACTTTGATGTCCTAATGGCTAAATACGGAATCGAACAAATTTGGTATTACAACAGACAATCACTAGAGGGTAAAATGGCTGGCTTATTGCTTCAGGGCTTCCTGGAGCTGTTCTGTGGCATTTGCAGACGGCTTCTTAAATTCCTCGTTGGCGGCAATCACTTCGGGCTGTAATTAGGCAAAGGTGAATGAGTCCCAAGCAATAGTCATTATCTAAACGAAGCTGCTACCTTGGTTTTTACTGAGCCATCTTCAACGTGGGGAGATGCCTTAGTAGCCATGCTCTGAATGCAAAAGCTCTTTAGCTGATCCATAGAGGCAGCAAGCATGCTATTCTTGCTATTCGCTAACGTTATCTGCGGTTAATAAATATTCGTTAATCTTGATGGTCTCTGAGAGCAGGAAACGTTCGATTGATTACCTCTTTTTCAATTTTATCTAACGACTCGTCAAAGCTGGTTACTTTTTGCTTGTATTCCGGCCAACTGTTGCTTATTGTGGCAACATGGGACGTTATATTCTCCGAGCGATCCAGCAAATCGTCTATTTTCGTCTGTAAATATAATAATAACAATAAATCAGTGCTGATAAGACCCAAAGATTAGCATACCTTATGAAGAGATATTTCCTCGCTAAGCATTTTCGTTGTTTGACTCAGGGTATTGTTGGCATCCTTTAAATCGTTTGCCAGTTGCTTAAAGGAGTTCAGTGTGGTTCTATTAAGAGCTGTTATGTCGTCCGACAAGTTGGCGGGCAAGGCATTGGCCTGCAGCGTTGGTAATTGCGATAGATTGACCTGAAAGTGTTTGAGCTCGATTTAATAAACTATTTTATTAAGCATTTTAAGAGGAATCTTACCTTCAGAGCTTCTGTTTCGGCCTGAAGGGATTTCTGAACCTCCATATACTTATTATAGTGCTCTTTTATAGCCTCTATGTCGGTGGCCACGGCCTCTATCTTCGCCCCGAAATCGGCCACCAGCTTCTCGTCCTTGCCGTGGTTCCTTTGGGCCGCCACCGTGGCCTCCAGATTGCTAAAATTGTTCCGCAGACTCTCCATAGTTTTCTGTAGCTCACTGATTTCGGAAATGACGACAGTTTGATTCTTTAACAGGTAGGAAGAGGTCTCATGCCAACGCTGGAGCGTGTCGGGAAAGTTTTTGCTCATCGCGGACACTGCAAAGGTTATATAATTGATAAAAGGCTTCTCTCTATAGCGAGTATACAGCTTAACACTCACCCTCCTCCATCTTCTGGCGATAGTCGTAGAGTTGCTGGCGTAGATCAAAGTAGAGCCAGTACAAAATGCCCACAATTAAAATGCCAATGATTCCCAATAAAAGCGGTCCGCACATGCGGAAATAGGCTATTTTCCGATGACTACGGCGACTGGAGCCAGCGACATTAGTCTGAAAATAGCCATACATACATATATATTTATTGACATTAATGAATTTGTAATGTAAGTATCTTTCCGTTTGTAAAAGTTTGGAACAAGTTAACCTTGGACTTGGAGGCGTATTCATAAATATATACATACATATATATCTGAATGGCAACGTACATATATACATATGTTCATACGTAAATACAATGAATTACCCATGCGTAATCCTCAGGGTCATCGGTCGAGACAGAGAGCAACTTGTCCTGGGAATGTGTGGCCCCGCCAGCGGTCCTCCGGTTGGCTCTCTTCGACGAGGCCTGGGTGGCGATCAGGGCGTCCAGTTCCCGTCGCTTTTTCATTTTCTTTCCAGCCCGCAAAGGGACCTCGATGCGATGATGGCAGTCCATTGTTTGCAGTTGATGAATAACGAATAAGAACCCGTCGTCGGAGTGGAGAATACTTTCAAGTCGGCCAAGGGAGCGCCTAGCTTTTACATTTTCTCAACGAAAGTCGTCCCGTCGTCCCTTTGTAACTGGAACAACCATAACATGTACTTATACTGATAAAAATACAACTTCTGCGCATGATTAGGTTTATAACACCGCAACAAAACGGTGTTGGAAAGTACAGGAGACGATAATCTGTCTATCGATTGGTGTATATCGATAGGTGGTGCCCTGTGACTGGTGCTTTGGGAAGAAGAAGCATCCATTGATTTTTACGCTGTGCTTTTGCCCTCCGTATCGATCTAGTTTAATTAAGTTTTAAGCCAGTCTTCGCAATGTTTTGTGCTCCCCTGCCTGTCCGCTCAGAGTTTCCGTTTAGTGTGTTCTAACAGGGCCCTATATTATCAATTAAAAGCAGTTCGTTGATGCATTGCCTCTCGCATTTCGAAATGGCCAAGTACAGCTTTAAAACAATCAGTCAGAAACACAAAACGTTTCCCGCGGACCTTAACATGTACGGAATCGGAATGAAGTGCAAATCGCAGCTAATGGAGGATCAGGAGAACGTGACCCTGATCATCAATCGACGGAACTCAATTCGGCAGAAGCCGAAAGGCTGGACATGGACCCTGCTGCGCTGCAGGTGGCAGAAGAAGCTAGTGCTCTTGTTAATATTTATTTGTATGTGCGTGCTAATTGTCTTCGCCAATACGCATCTACTGGTGCGGGGCAACATCCTCTCGGCCTTCCTCTCCAGCCGGCTCAATAAGTTGTCCCAGGCCGAGAAGCAGGAGGCGAGGTATCCGGCAGATGTCCAGCTAACGACGGCGCCTGTTCCGCCCGTTTTGAAGCCGACCCACTACCTGCTGAACTACTCGTCCTCCACACACCTGGAGCTGGGAGATCAGCTCAACGGACTGGCCTCGGACTACAACATATTCGTCATCTACACGCGGGAGAACTACCACTTGAACCTTAAATTCGACCTATTTGCACACAGTTTGCTGAAGCACACCAGTGCCCAGCTGCACCTGCACGTTATCACGGACAGGGAGAGCCAGGCGTCGGTGCTGGAGATTCTGCAGCGGCAGATTCGGAGATTCCGCAGAACGGTGATATATACAATATACGATGTTAAAATCTGCTCCAGCATAATACAAGACATTGCTGCCAAGCTCTCCCCGTACTTTAGCTCAGCACCCAACTCCTATTATAGCGACTCCCTGTTTTTCCTGTCCCTCGGCCTGCACAGGATCGCCGACAGGAGCCTGAACAGGGCCATTCTGCTTGATTGTGATATAGTCTTCCGATCCGATGTCCGACTGCTGTTCAACGAGTTTGATAATTTTCTGCCGCACCAGCTTTACGGTCTAGCTCCGGAACTGACGCCCGTATATCGCCATATCCTGTACAGGTACCGAGTGCGCTATCCGAAGACCAGTTTTGGTAACCCGTACTATCCGATGAACAACGAATTAATGGGCGGAAGCCAGCATAGTCACCTCCACGGCCACGGCTATCCCGGTCTCAACTCTGGAGTTGTCCTGCTGCTGCTGAACCGCATTAGGAACTCCAAGTCCTACCTGGAGAAGCTGACCCACTCGGAGGTGCATGCGCTGGTGGCTAAGTACTCATTCAAGGGCCATCTGGGGGACCAAGACTTCTTTACGCTCCTCGGCTACGAGTACCCCAACTTGATATACAGATTAGACTGCATCTGGAACCGGCAGCTGTGCACCTGGTGGAAGGATCATGGCTATAGTGACATATTCGACGCTTATTTCCGCTGCGAGGGCAATATTAAAATGTACCATGGCAATTGTAATACGCGAATTCCAGAATAAATGAATTAAATTGTTATAGTAATATTAAAATAATTTAAAAGTGTTGGTGATTTTGTTACCTTATGATTTTGTATTACTTTTCGGATGGAACACAGAAGGGAATTTTTAGAAGAACAATTAAGAGGTTGCAAATTTCACTATACACAAAGTTTTATGTCTTTTATTTCTGCAAATTTAAATTTGTTCATATTTAAATGTCATAATTATCGAATTATTTAATTTTAATGACATCTTGTAGTTTAAAAAACCACCAGATCTAACGGGAAATTAGCTAAATTGGCAACACTGTACTGTGGTCCCAGAACAGTGAATTTCTCCCTAGATTTAAGGTTTTTTAACGGTCCTAGGGGAGAAGAATTTTGAGGGGAAAAGAGTAGAGGCTGTTTTGAAATATAAATTAATTAAATATTATCACAAAACACAGCATACAATTTTGATATCTTAAAAATATCTCACTAGTGGCTAGATAAGCAAAAAAAAAATAATTCATTTTCCCACAGCTTTTTTTCACGGATATTTTTTAACAACGTCATAATAATACTTGAATACTCTTGAACCATAAATTAAAATACATTTTTTTAATTTGGGCGAATACTTTTAGGGGGAACTTTAAAATTTTTGAGATTTTTTAGGGAAAAGCCAACTTTTACAGTCTGGCAACTCTAAAGCATTTTATCTTATCTCTTTAACCTTCATTTCTGGCTCGTTCAGTTATGAATTAGGACTTAAGAAATAGTTCAGAATAAACAATACGCGATGGCGCCGAATGCAGCTGTACCAGTGGAGCGATATGAGCCCGAGAACATCGGTATCAACGCAATTCTGTTGGGGCCGCCGGGCTCCGGCAAGGGAACGCAGGTGGGTTCAAAGTTACATAATGTATTTTAGTGATATGGGACGCTGTGCGGTGTCTATAAATAAATACAACGTGTTCAAAGTGTGCGGGCACAAATGTTTGTAAATAAGTAAAAGTGATTTTCGCGATGCCGGTATGGAATAGTTAACTGGAAGAACTTATGTAACGCCGCACGATGTGAAAGTATGTATCTACATGCGTGGCGTGTCACTTGAATGCCCTCTAAAGAAATGTTTGACCCTGAAAGTGAGTGAATTTGCCGCGTCTCGGAGAATGAGGGCACCCGTTGCGCCGACTTGTGGGTTCCGCTGGGTAATTCTATACGCAACATGCGAGAACTTTCGCTGCTTTCTGCTAGAAATGCATCTTATCTCGGCTGCTCGCTAATTGCTTACCGTTGTGATATGCCGCGCGGCAATAAAGTGATTAAAGGTCGCCCAATTGATATCAATGTTTTTTTAATTATGCCACTTTCAGGCTCCGCTGCTGAAGGAGAAGTTCTGCGTCTGCCACTTATCTACTGGCGACATGCTGCGGGCGGAAATTTCATCCGGATCCAAGCTGGGAGCCGAGCTTAAGAAGGTTATGGATGCCGGCAAGCTGGTCTCCGATGACCTGGTGGTGGACATGATCGACTCCAATCTGGACAAGCCCGAGTGCAAGAACGGCTTCCTGCTCGACGGTTTCCCCAGGACTGTTGTCCAGGCCGAGAAGGTGAGCCAGTTACTTGGAGATCTTTCGCACATTTTTACTCAATCACCACCATTTTCTTGTAGCTCGACACATTGCTGGACAAGAGGAAAGCCAACCTGGATGCCGTCATTGAGTTTGCCATTGACGACAGCCTGTTGGTAAGGCGAATCACCGGCCGCCTGATCCACCAGTCCAGCGGTCGATCTTATCACGAGGAATTCGCGCCTCCCAAGAAGCCAATGACGGATGATGTTAGTATACCAGAAACTGATCTCAAGGGGAAAATAATCCTACATGCACATTTCCTCCCTTAGATTACCGGAGAGCCGCTGATGCGACGAAGCGACGACAACGCCGAGGCTTTGAAGAAGAGGCTTGAATCATATCACAAGCAGACGCGTCCTCTGGTCGACTACTACGGCCTGAGGGGTCTGCACTTCAAGGTGGACGCCGCCAAGAAGTCCAGCGACGTCTTCTCCACCATCGAAACCATATTCCAACGCAAACGTCCAGCTGCCCAACTTCAATTGTGATTTGTCCCAGCGCAACGATCCAAGTACTGATACTGCCGCCGCCTCCCGACAATTTATTTCGAGACACACAACACACACAAAATGTTTTAAGCCTAAAGTTAAAGAGTAAAGAATTGCATCTGGGCAACCCAAATAGACGAAATTACAGTTGTTTGAGAACTAAAACTTTCCTTGTACAGATTTCTAAAATGTATAAGTGTCACTTTTTACATTTCACTATTTGTAACTACAATAAAACTTAATAGAAAAAATAAGAATGAGTTACTGGCCATGTGTTTCACCTTAAAGCACCCCACTAAATATGACTTATAGACTTTGTAAGCTTCCGTTTAGTCTGAAACCTAATTGATTTCTGGTAAAAAACTGAATAACAATTCGAGGATTAGTAAACAGACTATAATTGTTCCGAGAACTATCATTGCAATCAACTTTAAGAGCAAGCGCTTATTGAAGGGTCATTTCGCGCACACCACACCTCAAGTGTTGTAAATGGAAATGTGCTAATGGGAATCTTAAATTTGATCAAGTGATTAATTTTTATTGGACTGTAAACAGTACCTATAAATCGCACACACAGCCCGTTCATACGTCAAGCTCCCTAATGTTAATGCCAAATTAAGTACGTATAACTATCGCATACATATTATATAAATTTATAACGACGATTGACTAATCACTGGCTTGACTTTTTAGCAAATAGCGACTTGCGCTTCAAAGTCTAAAGTGTGTACAGGCGTCGCTGTGTTGGTGTGTACTACACTTGAAGTTCAATCGCAGGTGAAGCCCAGGTATAAAAGCCAAACTTCATAGAAACATTTGTCAGTTAGTTCCAGCAGCTGCATTGCTAAACATCCAGTCTCCAATCCGCCTCAATACAAGCCGAGCTCCATTGTAAGACCCATAATTCATATATATCGCCAGTGCTGATCGGATCGGGGGAGCTTTGTTAGGCAAATGAGACGCGGACAACCAGTTTCGTAGTGTGTAAACAGTGACATCTTTTGGCTCCGAACCAGATACGCATACCAAGTGGCCTTTCTATGCATATTCATTCGGCGAATGCAGTCCGTATCTGAAAAGATTTCCATTGACACCGTCCATTTAAATCCCCCGACTCTAGGTCTAGGCTCCAAAACTGGTTCGCTCCATTTGCGAATGCGAAAAAGTGCTCATTTCGCAATATTAATTTTTATTTCTCGCTTGTGCTCGGCAGTTTCCCCTCCAAAATGAAGATGGTTATTGCGCTTTTCGTCCTTGGGCTCGTCCTGGTCGCCGCCGAGGATAAGTACACCACGAAGTACGACAACATTGACGTGGACGAGATCCTGAAGTCGGATCGCCTGTTCAACAACTACTTCAAGTGCCTGATCGACACCGGAAAGTGCACGCCCGAGGGCCGCGAGCTCAAGAAGTCCCTGCCGGACGCTCTGAAGACGGAGTGCAGCAAGTGCAGCGAGAAGCAGCGCCAGAACACCGACAAGGTCATCCGCTTTATCATCGACAACAAGCCCGAGGAGTGGAAGCAGCTCCAGGCCAAGTTCGATCCCGAGGAAATCTACATCAAGCGTTACCGCTCTCAGGCCACCTCCGCCGGAATCAAGGTCTAACTTGGCCTTGGCCATGACCGAAACCAAATTGTTATTACGCACAAACTGTTAATTAGGTCTATCTGAAAATCATGTTCATCCAAATTGTTTATCCTTCGATCGTGCGCCGAATAAAGAGATTTGTTTTGTACACAACACCGTTCTCAAAGGGGCTTTTTCGCAATTACCGATATCTAATATCTAATATCAGTCAATTAATTCCGCAAAGTGCGCCAGTTCAGTCTAGAGTCTAGACTTATGTAAATTTATAGCCCACTTGAACGATGACGCATCAAGCGATCAAATCGGTAGACAATTAAAAGCTTAACAACAAAACAACAGTCACAAGATTACGTCTAGACTTAATATGTGGTTTTAATATAGGACCGCCGATTTGCATTAATATTACAAATCCAAAGTTTGCTTCGGTCGGTTGGTAAGCATCGCGTGTTTTTGTTTTGCTGGAACTATTACTTATATTATTCTTAAAAGAGGCAATGAGTCGAAACCAGTGGCCGACAGAGGCGAATAACTCAACCATGAAAAAAGCGTCGTCCTTCAAAGAACGAACAATGTGCTAGAACCTATTTTAGGTCACGGCAAGAACCGCATATCACATCGTGAGACAATAGAATATTAAATATGTTATTGGTATTTTTTAATTATCTTATAAATGTACAAAGCTTAGGGTTAATATGCGGGGTGAACCTGCAAACGTGTTTACGTTAATGTCTCCCCTTGTGCGACACAGGCCTCCAAGTAGTCTATACGCCGCTCCAGGATGGTTAGTTTTTCGTTCAGTACCGCCAACCGCGAACGACAGGACATATCTGCAAGGTAAACAAAAATAAAAAATAATGTAGTTATAAATCCAGAAGGACCACTGTAACTAGAACTTTAATGGTATCTATTATAACTTTTTTGTGCTCATTTAAAGTTTATTTTTAAAATTTAGGGATGCAGATATTTTTAAATATTACTTTTTTATTAAATTTCTTGAATAATTCATAGATATTAAACGATTCATTCATACCTTCTCAATTAAATTTAAATTACTAGATACATTTTCTACAATTTAAGGGTCGGAATGTATGAATATCTAAGTCACATATATTAATAAAATAATATTGTGAGTAAGCCGGATAGAGATTAACACCCAGCAGATGTGGCTTTGAGCCCAACCGTCTATGTCGGATTTATGTACACACCCATACACAGCTTCTTCGCTTATTTTTCGCCGAAACGAACAAACCTATTGTATGTTTATTGACTTACTATTAGAGTAAATAAATTCAATGACAATGAATGTTTTGTTAGCCAGCTTATAATATTCGTACGTTAATAAATACAAGAGTAAATACTATTGTACGCACACACATGCAAAGGGGCCGTGTACTTGGCAATGTTTTCTTACCGAAAGAGTTTAGAAAGTCGGTTATACGCTTTATGCTGGCAGTTATCACTTCGATGTATTCCCTGTTTGCCCAGTCCTGATGAATCTGTTTTTGAATGGCCTCCCTGTGAGCTCCACTCATTTTCAGGCGCTTTATTTTCTCCTTTATTTTATTTATATGAACAATTATTCGTAGTTATCGGGAGTGTGACCAGATGGAACAATTAAGGCGTATACCGGCAAGTTAAGAAAAAAAAAAAAGCCATACACATTACAAAGACAGTTAGAGTAGTAGAAAGTATATCTTTACTATATTTAATGATTAATAAGAATATGTAAAAGAAATTGTATTCATACCAAAATGGTTGGTTAATTTAATTTAGTCGATTGATTAAAAAATACTGAATACCTGATGTATAGTACAGTCATATGAGCATGTTGATGTTCCATTTCCGCTGTTCCAATTACGAAGCGATAGTTATTGATAGCACACACATATTCATACAAACATACATTTCAGTCCCGTTCGCCTACTGTGTTTTTCTTTTAGTAAACAAAAATGGATTTTATTGACGATTTTATTGAGGAATATAAATGCAATCCATGTCTGTGGAAAGCGGACTCTGCCGACTTCAGAAATCGGACCCGAAGACAGGAGGCGTACATGAAGCTGATAGAAGTGGCCACCAAGCATGGAGAGATGTACAATGTCGAAAGAACAAAGCAAAAGATAAACAATCTTCGTTGTGCATTTCGTCATCAGTTAAGAAAATACAACGAGGTTAAGAAAAAGGGCGAAAAGTACGAGCCCTACTGCCCAAAGCGGCGCTACTTTGAGTCACTTATGTTCCTCAAGGACGAGGAGATCCCGGACAAGAAGTGCAAGCGCGAGCAGCAGGCCTGTTCCGAGAGCGCGGCGGCTCAACTGGCGCTCCCAGAGAACTGCGACGAGTTTTCCGACGCCGAGAGCCTGCCAAAGCCACCGAAGGCGGATTCCAGCAGCAAGCTGTCCCCCAACAACAGTGCAAATGAATTCTGTGCCAACATCTTTGAAGAGGCCGCTGCCACCGCTGACCCCGTCATCAGTATTAAGACAGTTAACGCTAACAACCATAGTGGCGGCGCCACAGTCAAGGAGGTGGAGATCGTGGTGCCCGCCAATAACAGCAGCAGCAGAGTCCTGTCGGCGCGGAGAAAATCTCTTCCCGATTCCGTGAAACCCCATGGAGACAGCGTTGAGCACTGCAAGCGCATTATGACCCAACCGAGACAAAACCATAATCAGGAGCAGAACCACATCAGCCGAAAGCGCTCATCCTCTGTGTCCTCGCAGGTGTCGGAGGATAATGATCCGCCACCGGGGAAATTCCGAGCCGACCTATCCACAATCGATGTTGAGCGACTCTTTTCGCTGGCGCTGAAGAGTGCCGACAGCCAGCTGGACGATCATTTCTCAAACTTTGGCAAGGTAATCGCCCACAAGCTGCGGACCATGGACGCCACCCAGGCTGTATACGCCGAGAAAATAATAGCCGATGTTCTATATCAGGGGCAGATGAAAATGCTATCCACACTGAGTATACATCAGTTTTTGGGAGTGGACAATGCCACGGTTTATGTGGAAAGTCACACCAAATGATGGGCCCCCCGCTAAAGACGTACTTGTAGACTTTATGTAATAATAAGATAAAGATAAAGAACAGATAAAATATACATTTGTGTGTATAAGCTATGCCTTGTTTAATTGTGTGTTCTTGGTGAAGGGTTTCCCTTTTTTGAAAAGGACTTTGATGAAGTGAAGCTGGAAGCTGAAAGAGACAATGAAAAACTACAAAATCGAAATGATGTCGAGACTAATTTATTATATTCGCTGCATGAGAAGAACATTCAATTGCCATTACTTATTAGGCACTATCGTACTTTCTTAGGAGCATGGCCCAAACGTCCGGGTATCTGGTTTGCAGGAACGTTGTCAGCTTTTGCGCCTTCTGAGCCTGTTGGGGCGAGCAGTTCCTGCATTTTCTGGTTATTACCTCTGGTAGAGCGGCTGTAAACAGATTTCAATGAGATTCCATACAGAAATCGAGATATGTATATCTGATGCAAAGTAAATTTCAATTACCTTTCAGTTGTAGTCCCAATTGGTCGCACTCGCTTTTACCCAAAATGCACATAATTTGGCGGCTGACCACGACCTGGTTGTTCAGCAGCTTATTTATGTTTCGCTCGTCGGCTTGGACATTTGAGGAAATAAGAATTATTACAAAAATAAAATGAACGACCAAAGAAAGCACTCGGTTTTTATTTAGCAATAGCATCACTCCTTCTTCTGAACGCGCGACTGTATAACTGAAATGTGGAGCAGAAACTGTGTATCCCATGTAGAAGCGTGCATGCGCAAAGGAGCTCCCCTTTGATCCCCTGATTACACATATATGCGTAAGGGTAAGGTGCGATAATAATCCCAAGTAAATAGAAAGAGCAATGCTATCTCAGGAGATGTTATTGGTCTCGTGGAATTGTGGGACCCCATGGAAGATGCTGTTAAAGGAATATTTTTTGAAGCCGAACAACAAATCCTCCTTAGTACCAAGATTAATCGCAAAGGCGAGCATATGGAAAAATTTTGAAATAGTTGCAAATATTCTATAGATAACCCCCTGTAAAATCTATAAAACATCCTGCAAACACACCTTCTTAGGACTCAAAACAAAAACATTCAAAATAATGAAAGCTTTCAATGGTTTTTGCGTTGTGCTTAAAAGTTATGTTTTACTAAAACAACACATTAAGTACTTTTGCAAGGCAGTCAAGACAGAACAGAAGTATTATTCGTACGCTACAATTATATAATAGATAGATAGTATATAGAGTTAGACGACTTAGAGATACTAAATTATATAGTGTTAATATGTATGTAATGCATGTATGTCTTATATACACATTTCCTAAAACTTGAAAGCTTTATTTAAATATATTTTTACATGCAAGTATGAAAATACATTTGACAATATATATAGCGAAATATTATGTTTTTATTAAGTTCTATTGCGATACAATGGGGCTCTTTTTGTCTATGTCAGATATATTCGCGTTGTTCTGCGGCGCCGCCCCGTTCCCAGGGCTGGCTGGAATAGCTCCCGCCCGGTCAATGCTCCACGGGTTCGATCCGGAGATGGGCGAGTCGGCGTGACCGAATCCGGTGTGATTATCGTGCTCTACGGCATTGGTTCCGTCATATTGCGTGTTCTCTAATCGGGTGATCAGCCGCTCATCCTCCTCGCCGAACTCGCCGCCCATTAGCGTCGGCTCGCCGACCACCATCACGTCCTGGGAGGAGAGGGAGAAACTTGGGCCGGAGGGGGATCGCTTCTGGTTCGTCACGGGCGGTGTATTCGAGTTGTTACCGGCGCCGCCTGAATTGGAACCCTTCCGTTTGCGCCTCTTGTTAGGCGGCCGCTGCGGGTCCTTCTTGCCGGGCGGGGCTACCATGCGCTGCCACTTCTGGAACAGGGTCGTCTTCAGGCAGTCCCGCGGACTCAAGGCGTATGCCTTGTGCCGCGACATCAGCTCCTGCATCGGCTCGAGTATGACGCACAATCGAAGATAGTTTAGGGTCGAGTTTGTGATCCCGGCTCTTGTGATGTTCTTTGTGATTTGATCTAGCAGCATCGGATCTGGGGGCAGGGAGGTGCCAATCACGGATCTTGGAATGAGCTCTCGGTGTCCCTTGATGGTCATGTGCCACGACTTGATGCGCATGTAGTCGTCATACATGAACTCCAGAATCAGTCTTGCATCCGCACAGACCTTGGTGAAGAAGGGCTTGCCGTGCTGCGTGATTACCGTGCACTGATCGCAGTCCAGCGTGATAGACGTGTTGTGGAACGACTCCTTGGCGTGCTTCAGCTGGAAGTACAGATCGGACACGCCGCCCTCGTATATGCTGCGGAAGAAGCGCGGGATGAGCGTGCGGCCAATTGTGTACCGCTTGGGCCCGTCCTCCAAACAGAACAGAATCGTCAGCCGGGCGTCGTCCTCGAAGAACTCCGTGGTGAACGAGTCCCACCAACAGTTGTCACTCTCCTCGTTCCGCTGCTGCAGCCGCTTGTTCAGCTCGAAAACCCGATGCTCGGTATGACTGAAGTAGGAATTGTGCCGCCTGAAGCCCTGGTCGATCCGCTCCATTTGCTGCGGCCCGCCCATCATCGGGTGGTTGCCCCCGTGGCCGAAAGGAGACGCTGGCGGCATGGGATTGAACTGCCCGCCAACACCAAAGACCGTGGGTGATGAGAAGTGGCCGGCCTGGCCGCTGTTGAACGGTGTGCCGGAACTGGCTGGCCGACTGAACTGGCCCAAGCCAGAGGAAGGCGATCCGAAGGGGCCGCCAACTGGGCCGTTGAAATTGCCCGCCGTCGAGGACTGCGGATAGTTACCGGGAATGTTCTGCGCACCAACAGGTCCGGGTGTCGATGAGCCTGAGGGAGCAGGTGACGAGGTATACTGAGGTGTATTCGATCCAGGCTGGTTAGCGTTCTGAAACACTATGGACTGGTTGCCGGCGGGCGAGGACTGGCCGGCAGGTGGATAGGGATTGCCGCCAGAGTTGTACGGCAGGCCGCCTTGCGGAAATCCGCTCTGGTTACTGCTGCCGTCCGGATTGAGGGCCGCCGAATTGGACGCGGGCAACATTGATCCGCCCTCAGAAACCGCCTTCCAGCTGCCGTCGTCAATGTTTGCTTGAGAAGTCATCGTATTGCCAGTGTTCAAACCCCTACGATTCATGCCTGTGCTAGATTGTATCGGGCATTCGCATCAGCCTGCAATCCGGAGAGAGAAATGCATTAGATCCCACGTAAGTATTATTTCACGCAGCTCTTCGGCGCGGCGGCGAGCGTTCGGTATATTTATACGCCTGTACGTATGTATGTGTATGCACTTGTCTGTATGTCCTAATGCATTTACAAAATATGTGTGTACACACACACACTTTTCGTTGCTCGTTCACACGTTTGAAGTGGGAAAACGCACGAAAGCCCGAAATAATTTCCAATCAATAACGAACAGGTTAGTTCCGTATACGCACCTTTGCAAAAGGCATACAATATTTTAATTCTTAAAGCACAAACACATATAAATGTATCTACAATTTAAGAAAACTGATTGGCCTCCACCGATAGTTTTGCCATCGCTTTCCAAATAGCCCATTTCGATAGGTAGGTGGTAGGAAAACGATGAGTTTGCCTTACTTGCGGAACGGTGGACAAGAAACACGAAACGCAAATTGTTTTTAAAAAATGGGAAGAGCGTATGTATTTAATAAGAATTTGTATTCGAGTTTTGATTTATTAAGGAGCGGTATAGATATTAAATATTGGTTATACCCATTGGATAAATATCATTTTTCTTATGTATGTTGAGAGGATATTGACATTTGCATGTTTTAAAAATTAAAGTATGTTAAACGAAAACGAATACATATTTTTATAGGCGTATGTAAGGTACAAATTACCCATTTCAAGTGTTACTTATACTCTTCAATAAACGCCCAACCAAAACATTCCAATTTGTACGCAAATAAATAATAATCAAAAAGCTGTATCTATCGATATCGCCTGCCGATGTCGTGAGTAAAAAATAAGTATGTTCCATTTTATTTCATAATTTTCTCGCCGCACCCTTGACTTAATAATTTAGTATGTGCCGTATAAATTTGTAATCAAAATATGGTTGTTTAAGACTGTTGCTCAAAATTTGTTAGCTTGTTTGATATTTATATAATTATCACCTTGTTGCACAGCCACCAAGTGCAGTGATGCCAAACTTGTTGAACATTTTCATATCAGTGTAATTGTGTATGTATGTTTGCACCTTGTGAACGGCATTTATTTCGCACATTTTCCCCATGTTTGTTGTACTATACAAATAATTTCTTGGTTTTATGCATTTGGTTTAATTTATGTTCTCTCTCTGCCTTTTTTGTTAAGTAGTTACTTTCCATTTTCAAGAACTTGTGAAAATGTGCTGTATTATGCAGTTATATATGCACATTCCTCTGTATGCATGTGTGCTGAAATGTGTTTGTTACACTCATTTCTGAACAGAAATAAGCGTCGCGATTTAACTAAATTCCCTTTTGTTTGTTCACAGAGCGAGGAAAAATGTCAACCGAAAGCCTGAACAGCTTAAGCGACATCGAACTGCACAGGAAGCTTATTCAGAGCGGCTTTCCCAACACCCCGGTGACCGAGACAACGCGTTCGGTTCTAATTCAGAAGCTGAAGAAGCATCTCAGAGCAGATAAGCTGAAGAAGCGCAGCAACAAGTACGTGCTGTACTCCAAGGAACAGTCAGACTCTCCCGTCTACCACTACCAACAGCCGCCGACGGGATATGCCAATGGCAATGGCATAGATAACAATAACGATGTGGATCTCAGCAGGAGTCCCTCAGCATACAGCCGCAGCTTCGACGAGTGTGACTCGAGTCCTCTGCATCTTTCTGCTTCCAAAATGTACGCCCCGCCGCCGGTGGTGGCCTCCAATTACGACGGCGACCTCTCGCCGCCCCTCAGCCTGGGAGGCATGAATGGCAAGTACCGGCCGCAGTCCTGCTCCCTGCCGTACTCCATAGACACGTCGAATAAGATCAAGATATCGGACGGAGGCGTTGTTAACAGGTTGCTTAGCTTTCGCGACACCACGATCCAGAGAAAATTCAACACGAAAGTTCCATTCACAACGCAGGCGTCGAGGGTCCCCCAAAAGAGCGAAAGGTTCCCCCGCTTATCCTGGGCGGACCTCAAAAACTTCTTTAAGAACCCCGACATCCGACCATATGTAATACCACAAGTGCTCATCTCGCTCTTTTTAATCTTCCTGACAATAATCACGGTCCTGTATGTGGGCAAGCGCTTTGAGCATAGTCCCATTGACAAAACAGTGCTGAAATATACATTATGTAATCCCACTGACTTGCGACTGGCCACCGAGCAGATTACCTGCATAGATAAGGATGCGCTTACGAGTGCCATGGACTTGACTGACCAGATTTTCAAGCAGCTGAACGAGCGGGCCAGGCTCCATCACTGCAAGGACGCCAGCCAGTCGCCCAATTTGGAGGTAAATGAGTTTATAAGGGACCTGGTCGTCGGGAACCCAATGACCCACCGAGGAAGTATACACACTAATATGCTGGCCACTAAATACCTCATTGTCGAGAATCCGCATTGGATGATTCATGTGGTGGAGTCGCCGGACAAGACTGCCTACTTCGAGCTCTCTGAACCGAATCTGCCGCTCAAGTGCGTTGTCCTGAAGAAAATGACACGTTTTTTTACAATGATCGGTACGTTGGTTCTGGTGGCAGCCGGATGCCTTGTCATCTACTTTGGGATTGCCCTGTACCGCGTCAAGCAGAAGGAAGCCTTGCTGGCGGTTGATCAATTCACAAAGGACATCATCAACGAGCTGATTTATCAGAGTTCTCAGAACGAGAGTCCCGAGGTGATCATAAACCAGCTGCAGGAGAAGTTTGTGCCTGCCAAGAATCGCTCGAAGCACCTGTCTTCCTGGAACAAGGCGCTCAAGGCCCTGGAGAAGAACGATAGCCGCGTGCTGTTTGGTATGGTTAATCGGGATGGCAAGGCGCTACGCACTATGGCCTGGAACAGGAACCTGGACAAGAAGGACATGGGCCTGGTGAAGAAGTGGCAGAGCCCCGCCTTCGACAACTCCAACAAAATTGCAAATCCACCAACGCCCTGCCTGAAGATAAGGCACATGTTTGACGCCTCGGAAGTTGATCAGGCCAACCTGAAGCAGTCCATCGTGGAGTCCATCATTGAGAAGGTGGGACCGCGCTGCAAGATCTGTGACGTGCAACTGGACATCCAGTCCTGCTGCGTCTACATCCGGTGCGCCACCGAAGAGGACGCCGGCATGATACACAACGAGATCAATGGCTGGTGGTTTGACAAGCGCTTGATTTCAATTAAATTCCTAAGACTTGAACGCTATCTAAGCCGTTTTCCCAAGCCCTCGGCCGAGCCCTTGCTCTACTTTCATCCCAGCGAGGCGGCCAGCAACAACACTCACTCATAAAATGCACACACAACTCTACACCTAGACACTTAAGTTATTAAATGCGAATTTGTTTTTACATGTACGAAAGGCGTTCTAATCTCTGCGTTTAATGGATTTCTTTTTATTTTAGCTAATTATCAACTAGTTTTAAAACGTAACAAGTCAAGCTACTTTGCAAGGGAATTCGAAGACAGGGCTCCACTCTCGCCGGTTTCCAAGTGCTTAATGAGGCGGTACAGGGCAGCGGCTTCCTTTATCTTGCTAAAGCCAACGCAGAAGGCTTCAATTTCAATGAATAGTTCCTGGAGAATATGTAAATAGTTAGTTTAAGCACTGCTAACTAGGTTGGCTTGGCTTCTTACCTTAACGTTCACAATCTTATTTCGAATTAACGACTGAAGAAATACGCAGACAAGCCGCACAAGGCGGGACTGCATGTACTTATCCTTGACTGTTTCGCATGTGGAAATGCAGTTGCTAATGTATAAGTGAATGAACTCCGTGGGCAAGGGACCCGATGTAGTTAGTCTAAAGCAAATAAGCATAAGATGATGTTGGGTAACAAGCTTGTTTCAAATCGTACCGGTTGACAACTTCCATGGAGTGCAGTGTGATATCCATGTTAACCAATATATTAAAGTACTCGGTTATGTCGGTGGTCATCATCAGTCTTAATAGAATTTCAATGGAAATCAGAGGATTGTTCTCAACAAGCAGAGGTAGCTGGAAAGGTAAAGGTAAGTAATTGTTGGCTTTACGCAGTCACAGCTTACTTTGGCCGGGGTCAGTCCATATTGTCGTGCAATGTCCGTGTTCTGCTTCAGCAGATCATCAAACAGGATGTGCTGATCCTGGAGGCTGAGTGGCTGGAGAAAGGCTTGCTCAATGAGGTGCTTGGTATTCGGTGTCACATAGTTTGATTTGTCGTACAATATCTCGAGTTTATCGCTGTTGGACTGGTTAATCCAAAGCAGCTCGTCTTCGAAATCCATTAGGGGCGGAGCGATGGAGAGAAACATCTTGGCTGGCTATTTTTAGTTTTGAGTTAATGCCGCAACTTTTCATATGATTATCTTTTTTCCTAAGGTTGACAATGTTTATGAAAATGTTTTTTGTTTTATTATTAAGAAATTGTAATTTAGTGTGACCAAAGGGGCAAAGCCAGAAAAAGACCAGAGGAACGCTTGAGTTGTAGAACAGCCACAATTTTAATATATATAATATTTACATTGTTTACAAAAGTTATCTAGAAATGTTTACTTTAATAATTAACTTAAGGAATTAATATTATATACTAATAAATAAATAAATAAATGGTTCGTTTCCCTCTTCACTTTGTTTCAAATTCAACGATTTTTCTTAACGCCTAGATGGCCCTCGCACTCTGGTCACACTTCGGTGGATTCGTGGTAATCCTCAAAATAAAAATAAAATGGACCGCGGTAAAGGCAGCGGCGGGTCGAATAGATCCCAAAAAAAGGTGCCTCTGGGCGGAGAACTCTTCGCTCTTGGCACCAAAGGTGTTCGCGATGACTCCAAGTCCAAGATCTTGCCCATCAAGTCCATGTCATCGGACAGAAAGCGAGAGGCCACTTCCTCGCTGGCCAGTTCAAGCAAACGGGCCCGGGTGAGCCTGAAGGAGCCGGCGGCGGGTACCACGGACATATCCTCTGGCAGCAGCCAGTGCGAGTCCTGGGAGCAGTTTGCCATAGATTGCGAGCTGGACAACATCATCGAGGCGATATTCGCGGCCCTGGAGCAGAACGACAACGAGACGGTGGGCCGTCTGGTCTGTGGTGTTATAAAACAGACGTCTACGAGCTCCTCTCGCTCCAAGGTGGACAATATCGCTTTTCTGGCTCTGACCTACGTGGCCAAGCTGCAGCCGAACATTTTCAGCACAGATATCGTGGCCTGCGCACTGTTATCCTTTCTGCGGCGAGAGGCGAACGTAAAGATGCGCTACAACACCAATCTGCACATTCTGTTTGCCAACCTGCTGGCCCGGGGCTTCGTGGACATATCCCAGTGGCCAGAGATAATGCTGCGCACATATATAGACGATGCGGTGAACGAGAGATACTGGGCGGACAACGAGCTTTGCGCTCCGTTGGTAAAGAACATATGTGCTGCTTTCAAAACTCGCACTCCCCACATCAGTCTTTTGCGCTGGGACGTGAGCTCGACGGCCATTCCCTCGGGAGGGGGCGGCGGCCCTGGGCACAGAGACAGCAGCAGCGTCATTGTGGACGACGATTCTGGGGACAATTCAACGCAGAGCCTGGACGCCAGTCCCTTGAACGCCGAGTCCGAGCCCATTTCGGATGCGATGTGCACCATCAAAGCGAGGTTTAGCGATGCCGTGGTGCAGAAGCACGTCAGCGATGCCATTCGCGATCAGCTGAATAAGCGGCAGCAGCAGGATAACTACACGCGGAACTTCCTCAAGTTTCTCTGCAGCACGGCCGGCATCGCGGAGGTGCGATGCTTGAGCATCTCCCGGCTGGAGCTCTGGATACACAACGGCAAGCTGGTCAAGTTCGCCCAGCAGCTGCTCTCGTACATCTGCTTTAACATAAAGGGAAGGAACACCCAGGACAACGAGGTGCTCCTGGTGCTGGTCAAGATGAGGCTCAAAACGAAGCCGCTGATCAACCACTACATGTCGTGCCTCAAGGAGATGATATACCTGCAGCCGGACATCCTGAGCACAGTGATGAAGCTGGTGGTTCAAAATGAACTATCCAACACCAGGAATCCGAACAACATGGGGATGCTGGGTGAGTTTGCCTACTGAATGCTTCGAATTTGATCACAAACTACATCTTATCCACAGCCACAATGTTTCAAACATCCTCGGATCAGTCGGCGGCCAATCTAGCCGAGATCTACCAGGAGTTTCTGCTGCAACGGGACGACTGTCTGCGGACTCTGCGTGTTTTCCTGCGGGAACTTGTGCGGATGCTGCGATTCGATGTGAATTTGGTCAAGTTTTGCAAGACCTTTCTGAGCGAGCGGGAGGACTTGACCGTGCAAATAGAACAGTTCGAGTTCAAGGAGCGCATCTTCCATTCCACGGTGGACATTGTGTGCCTGTGCATGTTCCTGTCGGCCACTCCGCAGGCGCGTGAGGCGAGTCTGTCGCTGAAAACCAACAGGGACACGAAAAACAACCAAGCTCTCCTAAAGCTGTACAACCAAATGTCCCAGATCCAGCTGGACACGGTGTCCTGGATGTACGAAACGGTGCCCACTATCTTTAAGATTGCGGCAGCCGAGTATCACCAGGCGCTGCACAAGCTGCTGCTGCTGGACAGTCCGGAGCAGTATTCGCGCTGCGATCAGTGGCCGTCGGAGCCGGAGCGCGGTGCTATTTTGAGGATCATCTCGGAAACACCCATTCACGAGGAGACTCTTCTGCGTATCATACTGATTGGCATCACCAAGGACATTCCCTTCTCCATAGCCAACACCTTCGATGTCCTGTTGCTCGTCATCAAGCGGGTCTCGGGAATGAAGGCCACTAATATACCGGCGGTGCAGGCCAACAAGTTCGACATCATTGACTTCCTGTTCAGCATGTCCGAGTACCATCATCCCGAGAACATTCGTCTGCCGTCGGACTACGAGCCACCGAAGCTGGCCATCATCGCCTTCTACTGGAAGGCCTGGCTGATCCTGCTCATGATCTCGGCCCACAATCCCTCGACCTTTGGCGCATTCTGCTGGGACCACTATCCAACGATGAAGATGCTAATGGAGATATGCATAACGAATCAGTTTAACAATTCGGCGGCCAACAAGGATGAGCTGCAGATAATCACCGTGGAGAGGGACCACATCCTACAGTTTGAAACCTATCTGGCCGCCCAGACATCGCCCCATGCTGTGATCACCGAGGAGACGGCCATTCTAATCACCCAGCTCATGCTAATGGATCCCATGGGCACGCCGCGTAAGGTGCCCTCGATGGTGTTGGATCAACTGAAGTTCCTCAATCAGACGTACAAGCTGGGCCACTTGTTCTGTCGCTGTCGCAAGCCGGACCTGCTGCTGGACATAATCCAGAGACAGGGCACCACGCAATCCATGCCCTGGCTCTCGGACCTGGTGCAGAACAGCGAGGGGGACTTCAGCCATCTACCAGTGCAGTGTCTGTGCGAGTTCCTGCTCTTCAACGCGCACATCATCAACGAGGAGAATAGTCGCGATGCCGAACTGGTCAACTTCCTGCGGAATTTGATATTCGATGCGAATCTCAGCCATCCCATCGTCTGCGAGCTTTTGGATTACATATTCCGCAGGCTGTCGTCCACGGTGAAGCAGTCACGGGTTGCCGCTCTCTCGGGACTAAAGATCATCTTCAAGCAGCACTCGGGAGACTTTGAGAACGAATGGCTGTTGAAGTCCATCCAGCAGATCCCCCATTTCTTCGAGGTGAAGCCATTCATCATACCGCAGCTGCGCGCTGCCTGCCAGGTGGAGAACTGCCCGGAGCTGATAATGGCGTACATCCAGTTTATTACTGCCCATACGCTGAACGATCCGGTGAACGAGATGCTGGACCATGTGATCGATATGGCGCAGTTGATCGTGGAGCGCAGCACCATGTTCCAGCACATCATAATTTCGCAAGAGGACTACGACTACGTGCCCGACGAGAACCGCATCCAGACCCTCAAGTGCCTGTTTGTCATGTTCAACAATTACATCATCAAGCTGCGGGAGTACCATGAGCCGTATGAGTGGACTGAGTACCCGGATCTGCTGATGGTCCAGTTTGACGACGGCGTCCAGCTGCCCCTGCACATAAACATCATTCACGCGTTCATTATACTGCTCACCTACTCGAACAGCAATATGCCCGAGTCGATACCGATTTTGGATTACTGGTTCCCGCCGGGGCGGCCGGCGCCCGTGGCCTACCTGCCCAGCATGCCCCAGGAGCAGGTGCAGCTGCTGCCCGACTGGCTGAAGCTTAAGATGATCCGTTCGTCGGTGGACAGGCTAATCGAGGCCGCTCTGAACGATCTAACGCCCGATCAGATCGTGCTCTTTGTCCAGAACTTTGGCACCCCGGTCAACTCGATGTCCAAGCTGCTGGCCATGCTGGATACCGCGGTGCTTGAGCAGTTCGATCTGGTGAAGAATGCCATCCTGAACAAGGCGTATTTGGCGCAGCTAATTGAGATTCAGCAGGCTCGTGGAGCGAAGAACGGGCACTACACTGTCCAGGCGCTCGATCTGCACTCGCACTCGCAGACCGTGCCGGATCTGCCCAAGATCAATGTGGTGATCCAGGAAACCGTGGAGATAGGGGATTACAATCCATTGGAGAGTGCCCATTGTCCCACCGACCGCCTGGTCACCCAGGAGGTGGCCCAAACCATACTAACACAGCCCGATCAGTTGACCATTGGCCGGAGTGCTGGCCGATCGTTGATACAGCGGCTGTTGGATGTGCTGGTGGTTACGCCCACCACAACTAGCAGCAATCGAAGTGATCTCGTGGCGGCCATAACCGAGGTGATAGCTTCCGGATGCGACAACAGGCCCATCATAATGAGCCGAAATGTTTGCACCTTGCTCAGGACCTTCTTCAGCTGCATGCTGCACAGCGACAACTACCACATCCTCGAGAACACTCTGCAGAAGAACTTTAGCATCTTCAGGCACTCCTCCAGCCCGATGCTGCGGCAAACGGAGCTGTATCACCAGAGCCTGATGTTCATGCTGCGCAATTCTCGCGAGATTTATGTGCAGCAGTTCAAGGCGAACAACGCAATGATGGCGCGGAAGAGGATCGTTCGGGGCATCATCGACAGCTTCGATGACACCAAGGACTGCAAAGTCCTAGTCGCAAAATCCAAGAGCGATCAGCTCTTTTACAACGGACTCTTTATCGACTGGCTGTCGGAGGTGGATCCCGAAATTGTGTCCACTCAGCTGATGAAAGAGCACTTTCTGTTCTCCAAGTCCTGCAGCGAGTTTCGCTTCTATCTGCTGTCCCTGATCAATCACCAGACCAATTGGGACACCATCGAGAGGATTGCCGAGTATTTGTTTAGGAACTTCCACGCGGACTACGACTACGCCACCGTTCTCAACTATTTCGAGGCACTGACCACCAATCCGAAGCTTTGGAAGGGTCGCGAGAAGTACATGTCCAAGAACGTGCGACCCGACGCCTTCTTCCTTCTTAAGACCACAGAGCTGGAGCCCTTTGCACACTTCATCCTGCACGAAGGCCTCGCCGAGATCAAGGTGGACAGCAAGAACTATGACTTCAAGCTCTGCTCCCGCATGAATCTGCTGTTCAAGCTGACTGAGAAGCGCAGAGACCTCATGGTCAGAGTGATGGAGCATGTGGAGGAGAGTGCGGTGTCGGATTATCTAAAGTTGCAGGTCCTGCAGCAGATGTACATCATGTATCCACGAATCAAGTTCCTCCGGCCGAGCAAGACAGGCGAGCAGTCCTACAAGCTGCAGAACCTGAAGGGATGCCAGGCCGACAAGGTTTTTAATAATCTGATAACGTGCCTGGGCAGTCTGGTGGGCAAGAAGGACTTCGAGACCCTGTCGACGGACACGGAGCTGCTCCTGCGGAAGCTGGCGGCCTCCCATCCGCTGCTCTTCATGCGCCAACTGAGCGTTCTCTCCTCGATTATGCAGGGACGGGCACAAATGAGCATGAAGGCTCTGCGGGAGGAGCACCACTTCCATCGGTTCGTGCAGATCCTGCGCACGCTGGAGCTCCTGCAGCCCACGATCTTCGAGGACACGTACAAGCACGAAATCCAGAACACACTGTCGTGCTACTTCAACTTCTTTAAGCACCACAGCTCCGTGAAGGAAGCCTACCAGATGCTGAACAAGTTCGTCCAAATGCTGCAGGCCTACATCAACTGCAACCCTTCGAGCGCCCTGCTTTTCATCGAGCAGTATGTCGGCATTCTTATGGAGCTGGCCGCAAAGTACACCTCGCTGGGTAAGCTGCAGGTCCTGGTCCAGGCAGTTGCCCTGTTGCAGCACAAGTCCAGCTCCGCCTCGGAGCTGGATGACGAGGAGGTGGCCAAAAACGAATACGAACTGGACGAACAGTCCTCGTCCTCAAATACCAAGCCCGTGGTGGTGATCGATGAGCCCATGGACCCGCCGCCAGCTCCCCTGGACACTCCTATGAGCGGCAACCGTGGATCTTCGTCCGTTCTCACCCTGAGCTCGTACAGCAGATCAAACTTCACAGACATATCGCCGCACTTCCTCGATCTGATCAAAATAATCAAGTTGTCGAACACCGAGGACGTGGTTCTGGGTCCCATGCAGGAGCTAGAGTGCCTCACCTCCAAGCGGTTCGTGTTTATCAACGAGTTGTTCGAGCGTCTGCTCAACCTAATATTCTCGCCAAGTGCCCAAATCCGTTCCATCGCCTTTATCATCCTGATCAGGCATCTGAAGCACAATCCCGGCAACTCGGACATCAACTTGTGCACCTTGAACGCATACATACAGTGTCTGCGGGACGAGAACTCCTCGGTGGCAGCGACGGCCATCGATAACCTGCCGGAGATGTCGGTGCTGCTGCAGGAACACGCGATAGACATCCTGTCTGTGGCCTTTTCGCTGGGCCTAAAGTCGTGCCTGAACACCGGCCACCAAATACGGAAGGTCCTTCAAACGCTAGTGATCCAGCATGGCTACTAAGTGATCAGATTTTATTAGTATTCCCCGACATGTGTGTAGTTTAAGCAGTAAAATGATATGTTTATCTTTTATAAATATTAAATGCGTCTTCGAGTCAAGTTAAATATTTCATTTTCTTTATTTCTACTGAAAATACAAATTATGTAGAAAATTCTCATACAAATTGGCGATCTCAACAGGATACGTTGGGTGTTGTGTTGGTTTCATCGCTGTTTCATGCATGCCTTGTTGTTGTTGATGTTTGTTAAATGCAATGCACAGTGCTCCTGCTCCTCGTACAGTATTTATTGGCGGTCAGTGGCCCGAAGCTTCTCCTCGACGGCTTCACGGGAGGCTTCAGACAGATCAGTGGCTTGTATGTACTTTTGCACGCCAACCAGCGACTTCTTCAGAGCATCGAACGAGCTGGAGTACAACATCTTCTTCTTGACCTGCCAAAATCAATAAGTAGGTTAAACAATTGTTCATCACAAACCACGAAAGTGTGCACAAACCTTGGCAGTATCGGGACACCACGACATAAGGAACAGCTTTTGCTTCTTTGAACTCTCAGAGGTGCCTTGACATTGGTGCATGTATTCAAAATCGAACAAGCCATATCTGTTGATGATATAATTAAAATAATATTAATAAGAATAACAATTTGTTGAGCACTCCACACTTACCGGCACTCGCCAGGTCCGCATTTCTGAATGTCCTCTAGAAACTGATCGTATTCGGCGTTGCGATCGGCCACAGTCTCCACATCGATCTGCTTCTCATCGCGAATGAAGAAAATGACATAGCGATGTTTTTTGTCCTTCTTTATTTCCTCGTATGTAGTCTTGCAGACATCGGACACAGTTACTCCAGAAGCCTGTTCAATTAGATAGAAGTTATATTGATTAACGTCAAATTAAATACATGCCACATAAAAAGTTTGCTTTATTTTGAATTTTGCAAAGGCGCGCAAAATTGTCGCCGGTAAATGTACATCACTAACGTCAAAATGCTGAGCGCGGTGGCGCATATGTACATAAATACATACATACGTATGTATGTATTTGTGTGCGGCTAACTGCCGACATAACTGCCCACTCTCGGCCTTTCAGCTGACACAGTATAGCCGTCCCTTTTCCGCCTGGCAAAAATTACATTTCTTTCATTGCCGGCAATAACAAGCAAAGGTAAATAATTTTCTATTTCGGCCCATTATTTTTGCATGTTATTTGTTTGTAACCGGCCTACAAACTATATTCGCATTTATGTATATACATATGTATGTACCTAGAGGGTAGCGGGAGGAAAGGGAGCTGTGGGCGTGGCACCATTTACAGCTCAACCGGCGCGCTCAGAGTTCAAGGGTAAGTTCACAAGTGCCGGCAAGTTTAAGGGTGAGTGCAAGCCGAAGAAGCGGAAGAAAAACGAATGGGCCGCTTTGATTATGCACTTTTCTCTATTGCCTGGCAGACGCACAATCGCGTGTGGGCTAAACGGAAGAAAATGCACGATTTCCCCCCCCCAATAATATTCGGAAAATGCCGACAAAATCATACATGCAGACGTCTGTCACACATACAAACGCACACCAGCAAATCCAAGCATACACACGCAGCCAGGCGGCGGCGGAAAGCAGCAAGGAAACGATCACACTCCACACCTTAAATATGTAGTATGTCTGCCGATGCATATATGTATGGATAAATACATATTTCTGGATGGTAATATATTTTTACATACACACATTTGCGTCTGCCAGAACATAAGCCTTGCCCCGCAGATACATACATCTGCACATATTTATAGCCATCGAAAAAAAAAGCGGTATACCCACACACACTCATGGGTGTAAAAATATATACATCAAATATATGTACATATACATATGTGTGTGCATTTCTCTTTCCAACTTTTCAATTTTTAATCGCCATGCTCGAAGAAGGCCGCAGTCCATTTTTCTCCAGCTGCCACTTCGATCATTCTTCTGGGCTGAGTTTTTGCAATTTAACAGTTATGAGTGAGCGGGGTCCGCAATGAGTATGAAAACACTTCAATAAATGAGTAATATCCGTTCATACCAATGACTAATTTGGTTTATACGTACACGCACACATTCATACCCATCTATATGCCCGAATATGGCCAACGTACATATACGCAAAAAAAAAAAGTTGAATTATATGTATGATTGGAATACATACACTTATCTAAATGTGTATATATACAGATTTCAAAGGAGATGCTTATGATTCATCGAATCCAAGACACTTATTTGCACTCTTAATGGTCCCCTGCGAGTTGGCCACCATTTCGCTTCAAGTAGCTGTTTTACTTAGAATATCTAACAAGAAGTTGCAAGCGTACGTACCATTTTGCCTGTAGTTTTTTTACTTTCACAATCTTCGAATTATTGCCAAGTATATATTACAAATACTGTTTAACCTTCCGCCTTCTTTCACGAACAACCGGACGAATCAATTTGGTCGATTATTTCGCATAGGTTAGGAGTTGCCAAGCCACTGCAAAATAATATCGTGCTTCGTGACACTTCATGAGTGATTGTCTTCATTTTGGAACGGTGGCAGTGGAACACACGAAGGCTGATTCAATGTATTTTTTCAATTTTGTTTTGTAATATTAATTTCAAGGGACCAGTAAATTAAATATTATGTTAGTATTTATATTTTTAACCATTACGAATTGTGATTTGTTCACATAAATTAGTTCATCGAAGGAAGCATTTAAATTTTAAATGTTCTCACTACAAATTGAGATTCTATGAAACAGCTGTCATTTAGGAAACGAAATGGAACAAATAATCGAAAAATTTGTTAGTTATAATACTTACTTTATTATTATACCATAAGAAATATATTTTCAAAAAGTATGTTCATATAGGTGCGATTTATTCTTGCTATCTTATATCGTTGTGATATTCTAAAAGTAAAACATATTTAATTCTTCAAGTTTATTTTTGTTATTATTATATTAAATACAACGATTGCGATGAAATTTTTTAACAGTTCATATATTAAAAGCGTTATTATTATAGATTAACGATAAATATATTTGACTAATAAGCAGACACTAAATCTTTAATAAAATTAACACAATCCTCCTTCGTCTTCAGCGTCATTGTTTTCCTGAAAAAAGGTTTTTTAGTTTGTTGAAAGTAAGTTTTTGCTTTTGCACTTTTTTTTTTAATTTTTGCTTACATTTCCAACACTGTCGCTGGGTTTTTTCTCCACTTGTATACCTTGAGGTAACGGAATGTTCTTGGATAAAATTGCATATTCAACATCCATATGTCTGATAAATGGAGATGCCAGCATCCGGGCAGCCAACTCTGGATCCTCGTCATCAAAGGCTTGCAATAGGGTTTGCAAAGTTGATACCTCTTCGGGCTCGCAACAATTGCCCCATTCCCTGAATGTTTTTTCAGCTTCCACGGAATCGCCTCGGGCTAATTGAACCATCACCAAAGCCACGACTAAACGCCCAATTTGACCATATGATTCGGTCTGTTGGTTTAATGCAATCTCCTTTTTGAGGGCGTTTGTGGCTTGATCGTACCTAAAAGTAATATAATAGTCTATAAAGGTTCCGAGACTCCAAATAGAAAGCTTACATCTTGAGTTTCACCAATATTCTTGAGACTTTCGATGCATATTCAGCGGCTTGGCGGACGGAATCCTCAATCTACGCAAGACAATAACGATATATTAGGAAATATGGGAAATAAAACCCAAGTACAAACCATTATAACTTCAAGTGCATGTTGGTAGAACCGCAGTGCCAAATCGGGATGCTTTTGCTCTACCAATTTGGCCGCTTTATCCAACGCGGACGCAGCTGCTTCCGGTGAACCGTGTTGCTGATAGAGATTTGCCGCCTTATTGGCGTACTCCTCGGCTTCGTGTAATTTATCTGTCTCTTTAGTTAGCAAAATGATCTGAAAATGTATTGTTTTAATAATTTAATCTAAGACATATTGCAGAATATAATATGCATACCTGCTCGTAGCACTTTGCAGCATGGAACCATGACTTGTTGTTTTTGTAAGCGTCAATGGCCTTTAAAAGGCAATCTTTGCTTTTGTCAAAACTCTTTGCTATTCGATATGCAGTGGCTAAAATATAAAAAATATTATTAACAACTTTTGCAACATTAAAAACCATTTTCCTTTTTCTACATTGTATGTAAGTAATGTAATGTAAATAATTTGATACGTAAACTTAGTTGGCCCACTGTGTTATGTACACATATACATTGTATGTATGTACATACGTATACACATTGTCACCAAAGTACGTACTTAAAATGTTATTTAAAATATGGTTCACCTTTAAGTTGGATATCTTAGAGGTCTGCTTTCTTATAATATCTAATTAAATATGTTTTAGACAGATAAAAAATCTTACCAGCTTTGGAATACTCATCCGCAGCACTATCGTAATCAGGTACCCATTTCAACAAAGAAAGCTTCAAACTGCAAAGATCGATTTGACTTGAGATTTGTGTTAAAACTAATAAAGTTTCACGTACCTCTTTTCGGCCTGACGCACTAATTCCTCGGCTTCGGCAATCTTTTTGGCAGCAGCCATTTTTCTCAACGTTTATGTTTTGCAGGAAAAATCAATTGTTTACCTTTTTAAAAAAGTGTGACCAAGTGCGACCAGAGAAATAACAATGTTTTTAAAATCTCGGTGGATTGAAAACTTTGCACAGGTGAAGACTGCGCATGTCGGAATATGGGCAAAGATGAGGGATAAAATACACTGAAAAATGTGTCTCAATGTTAATGTAAGTAAATGAAATAGATTTTTATTGGCCTAATTTTGAGCTTAATTACATATGAACTTTATTATAAAATTATTTTGATTATTAGTTTGTTTTAATATAATTAATTTAAAATGTTTGTAACAGTTGCTTTTTTTCAGTGCATTACATACCTGTTCTGTTTTGATTTGCAAAGTAAATAAAAAGTGCATTAGGTAATAAATTGGAAATTTGCCAAGTTCTATTTTTTAATACTTTCAATTATACATTGATAACGGTTTCAATCTTAATGTTCCAATTATTTTTCATTTAATTATCGCATTTAACCATATTTGACTTTGTAATATTTTGCAGATTTAAAAATGTCACACAAATCTTGTGTGGAACTAAGTGAAATCCGAAAATTGGATAAAATAGTGCAGCAATGTGAGCTGTACATGTCCAACAATAATATCGACGATACAGTAAAGAAGCCGCCTTTAAAGGAATTCAAACGGAATTGCCTTCCAAAATCCAATAAATTTGTCGAAAGGGAGCTCTTCTCTCTCATGTGCAACCTGAATAAAATTGAAAAGAAGCAAGTCTTCGTTTCAGATATCTTGATAAACGCCAGCATGTTTGACGACAAGAAGGAAAGTTTGTCGAGATTTCCAAAGAATGTGGGCGACCATAACACTCTGGTCTATCACAAGTTCATGCGAAATAGGCCCAATAATGATGACGAATCCCTTCAGCTGAAAACCAAAGCGTACATTAAGGAAAAACCAGGCGATATTAGTGCGGGAGAATGCTTCTTCTCACCCCTACTAATCAAGATCAACAATAAAAGGGATGGTTTGAAGAAGGCCAAAGTCAGCAAGGGAGAAAGTCAATTCGATCAGGGCAACATAGCCGGAGAGGCCAAGACAGGTCAAGCTAAAAAGTACTCCAAAGCCACAAAAAAATGCGTCAAGTGTGATAAGAAAAAACTGTATATTAAAAACTATCAGAGCTCGGTTCGCCGCGATTGCGATTTGCTTTGCTCCTACGATCCTGTACGGAAAAACAATAACGATATTTTTCTGGGCCACAAAACCAATAGCAACAACTCTTTCGAGTGCATGTTTAAGAACATCAAGTACAATCAAAATGGTAAAACGGCTGAGAACGCAATGGGTGCTGATCACTACGATGATATGTTGGATAAGGAGGCTCTGCTTGGATCAAAAAGCGAGCCCAAAATGCAGGATCCTGCCGATATGGTACGTTTACAAACTATTCCTTCTGAGCTCATTTACTTTTATGTTTGATTTTCCCACAGATAATGTCTTTGGGAGGGAATATACTTCATGACCAGAAGTTACAAAACAACTACTACCACAAGTGGACACTTCTGCACTATTCGCCCTTCAAAGCTGTGTGGGATTGGGTGATCTTGATCCTTGTCATGTACACGGCAATATTCACACCGTACGTGGCGGCGTTTCTGCTGGGAGAACAGGATTACCAGAGGAGAAATAACAAGTACATAAACTCTGATCCCATTGTGATAATTGACTTGATAGGTGAGTTTAGGAGACTTGTAAAACTAAAACAGCTAAAAGTTTGTCTTTGCAGTGGATGTCACGTTTATTGTTGATATTTTAATCAATTTTCGAACCACATTTGTGAATGGACAGGACGAAGTAGTAAGTCACTACATAGTGTTTGCAAAATATCTACAATAAGTACTACGTATATTTTCCATAGGTATCTCATCCAGGTCGCATAGCAGTTCATTATTTAAGCGGTTGGTTTCTGATTGATCTCGTGGCAGCTGTTCCATTTGATTTGCTTTTAGTCGGAAGTGATACCGACGAGGTAACTCCTTCATAAATATTATCTACAAGTCAATCAAATTTGACAATTTTTTACAGACAACTACCTTAATCGGACTCTTAAAAACGGCCCGACTACTAAGGTTGGTTCGTGTAGCTCGAAAGATCGATCGTTATTCTGAATACGGAGCTGCAGTACTTATATTGTTAATGGCAACCTTTATATTAATTGCTCACTGGTTGGCCTGCATTTGGTAAAATTCAAAGGTTTTAGTTATTCCTTCTGAGGATTCACATATATTGTTAAACTCTGTATCAGGTATGCCATTGGGAATGCAGAGAAATCAATCGCCTCGAAAAACATCGGCTGGCTGCACTCACTGGCCTATGATATCCAAGAGCCCTATTTCGAGAACAAAACTGGTGGACCCTCAATAAAGGTATTTCTGTACAGGAAAATGGGTATGAAGAAATCACTAAAATCTTTCATTTCAGTCGCGCTATATAACAGCCTTATATTTCACATTTACTTCTCTCACCTCTGTGGGTTTCGGAAATGTGGCTCCAAACACGGATGCTGAAAAGGCATTTACGATTTGTGTAATGCTCGTGGGATGTATGCACTTTTTACATTTTATGCACTTGAGATACTGAAAACTATGATATTTTTAATTTCTCATTTAAGCTCTTATGTATGCAAGCATTTTTGGAAATGTATCTGCGATAATACAAAGACTTTACTCGGGAACCGCAAGATATCATACACAAATGTTACGCGTTCGGGAGTTTATAAGATTTCACCAGGTAGCGATCGAGTGTTCCCCTATATAACCAATATTTATGCTTATTTTTCACTTAGATTCCGAATCCTCTCAGACAAAGATTAGAGGAGTATTTCCAACACGCTTGGACCTACACGAATGGGATTGACATGAGCTCCTTGCTGAAGGGATTTCCGGAGTGCCTTCAGGCAGATATATGCCTGCACTTGAACCGAAAACTGCTGACAACTTGTGCTGCGTTTTCAGAAGCCAGTCCTGGGTGCCTAAGGTAGGCAAGCTTATTAAATCATTTTTACCATTTTTGCTAACCAGATTTCAAATTCGTAGGGCTTTCTCGCTAAAATTTAAAACCACACATGCGCCTCCTGGAGATATCTTAGTGCACAGAGGAGATGTTCTTACCTCTTTGTTTTTTATAGCAAGAGGCTCAATTGAAATTCAGAGAGGCGGCAATATGATTGTCGTATTGGGTGAGTTTCTATTAATTCAAAATTATATATGTATGTTTATTATAAGAATACTTTGCAGGCAAGAATGATATTTTCGGGGAAAATCCGTGTATATATCCAACGCTTGGCAAGGCCAATGGAGCCGTGAGAGCATTAACGTATTGCGATATCCACAAATTGCACAGAGACGATTTGCTAGACGTTCTGGATGCTTACCCCGAATTCCTCGAGAGCTTTGTCAATAATTTGGTCATTACATACAATATGAGAGATGTAAGTGAATTCAAAGCAAATTCTTAAGTTGTACAATTAAAATTAACCATATTTTAAAGGACGAACATTGCGGCGTTGATTTAAAACATCGCTACTTAAGAGCGAGGACGTCAGATAACAACAGGAGCTCTGCTGATATTCCTTCCATAAGAATGTAAGCTATTTCAAAATGAGTTCAATAAGATCGCTAAAAGAATCACTTTCAGAGTTGGGCTGCGTTATAAAAAACACAATGTAAACACCTCGATGCATAAAGGTAAAAACGATAATTCTCGCGATGTTAATATTTTCATTGAAAACGAAATCGCCAACTATCATTTGGATTTATTTGAAAATAATAACTAATCTTAAAAAATATGAATAATAAATAACAACTGGCACAATTTTAAATAAAAGTATTTGAATCTCGTTTTCGAAGAATATTTTATTCAATAGAGCATAATAAACATTTAAAGTATGTGCTTTTTGTGCTTTTAATATAAAATCTGAGCAGCATAATCGGTAAGTAAATAGCATATAAGGTGCTTTTAGTCTAACAGAACATTTTCTTGAACTGCTTGAAAATGAATGAAATAATTTCTAAAAGGTTCAAAATGGATGCACCAAAGAAAAGTCCTATAACACTTCCAATGGCCACTATAATTCAAATAAAAATATTTAGTTTAGAATAGTATAAAAAAGGATAAATCCTCACCTATTAAATCGAGTTTAGTCTGAGTTACTGTTCTGTAATACCTGGCCGTTGGCGGCGAAGCTATTTCTATTTCAACAAAATTAGAGCTTTCGGATATATTGTACGTTTTTTCACGAGACCTTTAAAATGATTTATTAATTATTAATTCATTAAATGAGGATGCTTTCCTTACCCCACAAAGGTTATTTGCTGTTCCATGCAGGATGGCAAGCAAGCCATATTAAATCCAACATAGTCCTTTACCTTTCCGGCGAGATTTCCTAAAATCAATCACCATCACATGTAGAGTATTGTAAAACAAATTATGAAAGACTACCTGCATCCAAACATGCTATTTGATCAACACCGCAATAGTTCTTTGAACCTAAAAATAAAATCAATTATATTTCCACCAAGTGGTTTTTATCAAGTGACTAGCATACTTCGATCAAAATGACTGAATAATGTGCAATTGCATATTTCCATTTCAATTTTGCTTCGAGTGTTGGACATACATATGCTAAAACTGGATAAAGAGTTATCTCATAGCTTTAGCAAATGAATCTGTGAGGAATAACCTGTACGACATTCCCGGTGTTGTGGTTTCACTTGGAAATTTACACATCCTTTGGGAAACTGGCTCATAAATCACGTCTTCGTTATTGTAAATCTCCTCAGCATTGAAGCTATGCACCTTTAGGGTTGATCTTTATAATATTAGTTTTTCAATGATGTTTGATAGTAGACTTTATAAACCATACCGTGGGCTCACCGGTTATAGTATAGGATACGGCATTAAAATAAGGCAAATCTTCGGGACTATTAATATACAACTAGAAGGGGAAATACCAATTATTAATCTATTAAATTATTATTTCGATGCATACATCATAACGGTAGACCAGACCACTTCGTAATATCAATCGCAGATTGCGATATTTGTCCAACGAAGAGTAGCGCAAAGGCATTTCATTGATATTTTTACTTAGACAGAAAGTTTAATTATTAGCTTAAAATGCACTCAAAACTATTTTCTACTTACTAGTCAAGTAAATTGTTAGCCAAAAAGCAATAACCAACTTCTAGCTCATGAAATTTGAATATCTGTTCGCAGTCTGGGAGCAGTTTTTCAGAGAAGTAAATTTCCTCAAAGAATTCTGTGCATACCATGGCGAATAACTGTATAATAAATCATTTGACTAAAAAATTAAGCAGAACGGTCAACAAAAATTACCTCTCTTCTCATAGCCAATATATCAACTCCGCAGGTGGAATTATAATTCTTACAATATTCCCCCTTCAAGTACAAGTTGTTCGGGTTTATAAAGAGATAATCATATAAGGTTCTTATATACGTGTAAGAGGGTTTTTCGCCAGGAAAGCGTTTCTTCACAGCATTTGTAAAATCGTCGGTTATTCGATTCTTAGACAAACATATTCCAATCGAGGGAAAAGTATTGGTCCAACGGCTGTAAGCAGTTGTCACTCCAATGCTCGTGGAATCCGTTTCAAATCGATTCTTCATTAGAATAAATATTGAAACTGTACTCCATCCGGATATGAAGAGCACAAATATCCAATATATTCTGTGATAAAGTTAGATTCTTACTTACTTATGTGAAAGAAATTTAAATTGAATTTGTTTTACCTTTTCTTTTTAAACAAAAATTTAACGAGTCCCGAAAGAACCCTGACTGCATTCAACGACATTTTCCTCACTTTTGCTTTAATCAATAATGCAATACATGAATACATGAATATTTAAACACGCAATTATATAATTATATATATAGGCACGCAACAATTTCGGTTTTATTAGTCATCCTTTAGTTGGACACCCATGCTTTGATGGGTACCTCCAATGTCCATACTACTTTCATAAAACAAATGAATAAATTTATTTTCAAAAACTTGCACTTACCCCTTATGTGTGTGTGCAATTATATGTATGTTTGCAAAGATGCAACAATTATAACAGAGAAGATGAGCCTGTCCAAGCGTTGAGTTTTATGCTCCATAGAACACACGCTATCGCTATTGCTTGGCTGCAGCATCTGAAAGCTATTCTGTAGTTCAAATCATTCACATGGAAATAGCATACAAATTAATTATTAAAAACTGCACTCAAGTTTACAAAGTCTACGTTTATCTGCAATAGATAGATAGATCATAGATGGAGATAAAAGTACAATCTGTATATAAAACTACGATTTTTTAATTGATTTTATTACTTAATCAATATTTTCCTATAACTGTGAATGATTTCTCAAGTTTATAACTCCTTTCACGTTGGAAACACATAGATGTACCTCTTGCAAACCGAGTAGCAAATAATTTAGATGAAAAACTAATGCAAGTAGTCGTCAGTAGTTGTCTGCAGTAAAAAGTATTTGTACATTATGCTGGGGAAAGTGAGAAACGGAATTATTGTCATTTACGTGGCTATAGGTATGAAAAATAAGATCACATTGATCCTTTCAGTTAACCCATAATACTATGATCCCCAGGACTTTTTTATATATTGGCCAATATAAACGGATCTTCAACCTACATGAGACCCAAGCGACAGGTAGATACTTAAAATTACCAAATGGACAAAGAAAACGAAAGTGTTGTTGTTGGAACTCTCCTTAATTTTCAGATGTGGTCTATGGATCACCACCCAGCCATTGTTTTATATAGGCAACACCCGAATGCGATGCGAAAATTCTATTGGTACAATTCAAGGACACCAATAATGGTGGGAAAAATGCGACTTAAAAACTATATGCGTAGTATGCAAATGTTGCCACGATATGCAATGCTCTCGCCTGTTCAGTATCACGATACTTTTGGGAATTCGAAAAGGTACGTACATATATTTTCTATATTTCGGTACGTTGTTACCTATAATTCGGATCTTTCAGAAGCGTCTTCAGAGATTTAAACAATATGCATGGATTTAAAACCACATCAACAACGCCTGCAACAACCATGGATTACGTTGCAGCTCAACCGAATCCTTCAATGCTGTTTAGTACAGGTCCGATTCACCGCCCTGTGGAATATATAGCCCCCGTAATTGTGAATCCATTCGTACCCCTAACGGCTAAAACACCTAGTGCTGAGCGTCTTATAGGAGTTACCAATAGGTGGAATCATTCACGCTACTCCAGCGAAAGTTGGAACAACAAGTGCCCAGAACGAATAATGAACACAGCCGCCGGAACTACCGAAGACTGCTTTAGAAGCTCTCCTCCGGACTTTGCTAAAGATCAATATACTGCTCATAGCATGCCAGTCAGTGAATTGCCAGTCACAACAACTAATTTACCGTTTTTTAATTATGTTGCGCATACCTTTTTTACGCTTGACGATGTCATTCTGCCCCGTTCGAAGCCAGGAAAACCTTCCGTGAAAGACACCAACGAATTTCGACCAAAACCAGCAGTTTTCACAACCGATATTACAAAAGAGCTCGTTACTGAGCGCTTCCAGCGTACAACGCACGCAATACCAACAACAATTACCACGACAGAAACTGCATGGCTACCAGTCAAACCCACATTTATGAACACGGAGTACATAAGCAGTTCTAGTTTCTTTAGTCCAACAATTCCGACAACAACAACTACACCAGCGCCTTCAACAACAACAACAATCGTTAAAACTGAAGCGAAAGTTTTTGAAGCCCCTACAATTTGGACAACAGCTCAACCTATAAGAAATAATTATTCAGCTCCAAATGTTTCAACGGAGTCATATAAGCAAAGATTAAAATCATTAAAGGCTACGAAAAACTTTTCTTCAAATATTGAAACTAAACTCAAATTGCTAAAACTTCACTTGAAAAACCTTGTCTCCACAAAGGAAACGTCAAAGTTCATTCAAAACGTAACGACGTCAGCTGTTATCGATAGTAACAGTACAATAAGCGATAACACAACAACCCCGACCCCGACACCCGCGACGAGTAGAAGAAATGCCAATCGAAAATTAAGAAAAGTCAGGATTTTATCATCAACTAAAAAAACTCCAGTTCAGATATTACGAAACTCTACAAATTCCAATAAATCCAAAATGGAGCATAAGAAACCAAAAAGAATGTTCGAAAGACGAAAACTCTTCAATTCTACTGTTGCCCCAGAAATATTAAAAAACGCATCAGCTGATGATATCGATTTGGTCAACAAGTTTAAACGGCGAACCACAGTAAGCAGTCGAAAACAGCTAAATGTTGCAGAAAGCCCAAGCGTTCGAAACTCAACGAAAATACTTAGCCACACAATTGCAAAATCCCGCGCCGATGGGATACAAGAAGAAAAGTCAGCATCCGCTTTGGTAACGGAATCTGCAATTATGACAATATCCAGCGGAAATATAAAGCTGAGGCAGCCAAACATAAAAGTAAAGTCGAAACAGCACAGCACAAGAAAAAACATTAATTTGGAGAATGATAATTTTATTCCGTCCCTTCCAATAGAGGTATATTTTAAGAAAGTCAATCAGCAATAAATGTGCATAGTCTGAAAGTCACGCGAAAGAACATATTAAATTATTTATAATTGCAGAGACATTATTAAGCACCCCTTAAATATGCGTTTTATTTAATTTATTATTATTTAACGGGGAACACATCTGCTATTTTACTTGTCAATCTACTTTTTATGTTCCAGTTCCAACATTCCCAAATTGATGGACAGAACGATGTGTCGAAAATGCCGACAGCTAAGATGCACTCCTGGTTTTATATATTTGACCGGAAACAAAACGTGGGTTTGATTCGATAGCAGGGTTCTTTCATTTTACATCTTCGGTTGGAACAGACACTGAACGTGCAAGTAGGTTAGTAATTTGCCATTTTTTGCGGTCTAAAAATTTGCAAATTCACTTGGAATGTGTACAAAATGTTAAAAATCCGTTTGATGGCATATGTAAAGTATTTGAGTGGTTAAATATAATGCTCGGGTATAATTAAACTCGGGCCGTATTCACACGCTCAATATGTGTGAAAGAAAGTATTTACATACATACAAATCTGCAGTACACAAAACTTTTCAGTGCCCCGTCTAGATGACTTTGCCAATTTAAATGTTTGAACATTAAAGTGTTTGGGTGTGCATTGGCATACGACATTTTAAATACATACGTATGTATGTATGTATAGGCATATATGTGCAAATAAATTCATATGTATGCATTTTCGGCTTGCATACACTCGTATGTTTTTACATACAGATGTGCGAATTTGTGTATGTATGTACACGCCTCCGTATATAAAGTGAACCTGCATTTTTCAGACTGAATATTTCAACAAAAAGTTATCAAAATAATTAACTTAAACTTCTTGTGTTCGTGGCAGATATGGCAGATCTAGACGATCAATTCGATGTCGCAGATTCCGGAGCATCGACGACTTATCCGATGCAATGCTCGGCATTGCGCAAAAACGGATTTGTCATGCTGAAGTCGCGACCATGCAAGATTGTCGAGATGTCCACTTCGAAAACTGGAAAGCACGGACACGCCAAGGTTCACATGGTCGGCATCGATATTTTCTCAAACAAGAAGTGAGTATCTGTGGTGGCAACACAAAGGAAGCATCGAAGAACGGCGTCGGTGGGCAATCATGAATTTTATCAATTTTCCGAAAGCAGTTTAAATAATCTAATCTTCCTCTAAACTTATCAACAAAGTTATTAAAGAAAAGCAGAAATCGATACGTTGACGCTATTTCCTTTTAAATTTTAATTATGCAAGAATTAAATGTCAGCGCGAGATAAAATTAGAGTGCCTGCTACCTTCGCTCATCCTTATAAATCGTGCTTACTAAAAACCTCTTAACTCTTGTGTCAACCTTGCAGATATGAAGATATTTGCCCATCTACTCATAACATGGACGTGCCCCATGTTAAAAGGGAAGACCTTCAGTTGATAGCTATAAGTGATGATGGCTTCCTTACCATGATGAACGAGGGTGGCGATTTGCGCGAAGACTTGAAGGTTCCAGACGGTGAATTGGGCGACCAATTACGTGCTGATTTTGATAATGGCAAGGACTTACTGGTAAGTGGCCCTGTTTTCCGCCTTTATTTATGCATATATTTTATGTTTGTTTATTTATCTTCTTTCAGTGCACCGTTCTTAAGGCGTGCGGAGAGGAGTGTGTTATCGCGATTAAGACCAATACTGCTCTGGACAAATAAGCAAATAATGTGTCGCTGTAAATTTCTGTTGCATTTACATCTGAAACAAATTTATTCAAAGATGCTGTTATAGGCTAGTTGGCTCTACATCTTAAATCTGGTTCAACGATTGTAATAAATATAACAGAAAACCCGAAGCATCCATGTTTGAATAACTAAGTAACAAGATACACGTTTGCCAATAAAATTTTTTACCTAAACGTCAACATCAATCGCAAAATTCCATCTACTTTATGTACGTACATATGTATACATATGTTGGCGGGGTTATGGGCACTTTGTTCCGGTGCGTACATATGTATATACATACATATGTACCGAACATACACAAGCTATACATCAGCTATAAAACTGGGCGGATACTTAGTGGGGTGACGCTACTGCTTTTGGAAACTCTGTTTGCTAAGCATATAGACTTCTTTAATAACAAATGGAATTAATGTAATGCTTGAAAATTATGAGAGCAGAGATTAATTTGAGAAAGGTCAAAAGTCCCAATTCCAATACTGTTTTATCCAAGATATCGAAATTCAAAACAAAACCAAGAAATAATTTTTTTTTTATTGAGTGTATATATATATTACTTTCACGCCATTCGAAAACGGTTCGATCGGAACATATTATGCCCTTATTAAATATATTTAATAAAACAACAAAACGAAACGATAGTTTATACCGGTATAATTGATGGCCGATAAATATATACATACGGTCACACAGTTTGACTCACAAGAAAGACTCTTTTTAAAAAAGAAATGAAATAAATAATTTATCCGAAATCCTTGATAAATTATACCAATTGCTAATAAAATAATACATATAATTGTAATAAATTTCAATAAATTAAAAACATTTCCTAATTGTGTTCCATTTCCACGTTCCAGTTTGAATACCACTTACTTCGATGGCTCTACCCGATAGGTAGTTTTCATACAGTCTTGCCGGAAATCGATAAGCTTCTTCTTTCTTTTTCTGTGTGTCTTTTTGCGGTACAGTACAGAGCTAAAATGTTTTCAAGAAAATCGGCGAATATTAATGTAATCTTTATATTACAGCGACTGTTTCAGCCGAGATACCACAATGCCTCCCAAATTCGACCCTACGGAAGTTAAATTGGGTATGTTTTTTTCACCCTATTTGAATAGTTTACATTTGAATAAACATACATAAAATAAATGAATACCAATGTCCGCATATAATAATTAATTTGTCTATTACAGTATACCTGCGTTGCGTGGGTGGAGAAGTCGGCGCCACATCGTCCCTGGCTCCCAAGATCGGTCCCCTCGGTCTGGTAAGCAAAAATTTGTGTTTGTTTACCTGTCACTTGTGTTAATTGTGCATATTTTCCCACAGTCTCCCAAGAAAATTGGTGATGACATCGCCAAGGCCACCTCCGACTGGAAGGGTCTGAAGATCACCGTCTGCCTGACCATCCAAAACAGACAGGCCGCCATTTCCGTGGTTCCATCCGCTGCATCCTTGATCATCAAGGCTCTGAAGGAACCCCCACGTGATCGCAAGAAGCAGAAGAACAGTAAGTATTTTCGGCTTAAAAGTGCAGTGTGGATTCTATAACCAAATCAAGCTTAAAACTGCATTTCACCTGACTAACTTCTTTCTTTTTGTTTTGCCATATTTCAGTCAAGCACAGTGGAAACATCGCCTTCGACGATATCCTGGCCATCGCGCGAGTGATGAGGCCCAGGTCCATGGCCCGTGAACTGAAGGGAACCTGCAAGGAAGTCCTGGGTACCGCTCAGAGCGTCGGCTGCACCGTTGACGGAAAGCACCCTCATGATGTTATTGACGAACTTAACGAGGGCACCATTGAAGTTCCCGCAGAATAAACAGTTTTTTAATCCAGAATTAATAAATTGTACGCGTTACAGTCTGTAATAATTGACCCAATCGGATGGTATTTTACTGCAGTGTTCCTGTCTGTTTAAATTGTTGGCGATGCGCTCTAAAATGTGTATTGAAAATGTGGAAATTTATAATCGAAGTGTTGAGATTTTGTGTCAAGCAAATCAAGTGATTTTCGGATACCTTGAAAATTGGAGAAGATAACAAAAGATGTCTGTAATCAGCTTATCAAACTAGAGAAAATTGATCAGCTGATAAAGACTACACTCAGTCCGAATAACGTTTACGAGGTGGGGGAATTCTACTATTGAGAACTTTTTTCGTTTCAAAAACAAATTTTGTGAATGGGCAAAAGTTTTTGTAAAGGACAAGGATCGTTCAAGCAAAAAACGGGCTTAACAGAGATACATTGTATTTACTAATCCACGAAATAGGGCGGTGTCGACCACGGTCTTAGACCGGGTACAGAAATAAAGTTTAAAATGTTAGGATACTTGCACTAAGGCTACTATTAACATGAGCAGATCGACCAACACTTTCATTTGTTTAAAAATCTTGGTTAGTCTCTGACAACCGGAAGAGTTCTTCCTAGTTTAATGGTATCAACAATTTAACAAAAACTGGAAACCCAATACCCGGTTCCCGGTAGTGCATTTATATATAATTTCCAAAAGCTTTCACATTTCACTCTATATCTCGGCTCGCCAATAAGTTATTTAAGCATATATTCCCACTAAAACACGTTCTTACAGTGAAACAGTTATTTTAATCCGAAATCGTAAACGAATTTATTTTATACTCTTGAAAAAGATCTTCAGCATGCCAACAACAAATTGTGGAGCTTCTGGAATCAACAGCTTACAGCTTCAACTTGGTACGCCTCCAGTGACGGCGCTTAGCGTTGTAGCTGAAAATAACCAAAGCAGACAATTAATTAAAATTACATACAAGCATATCGAGAAAAAAACATAAATAAGTAAGTAGTCACTAAGTGTTGCCAAGCACAAATGGCATCACTAAACAATTGATTTATTTTAAGCGAAACGTATTTTTGCAAAGTTTGTTTTGACAAAATAAGCAGAGTATATTCACGACATAGCAAACACATCTCAGTTTCTGTTAAAGCACGAGACTTGTTTTGTAAAACAGTCATTGGCAAAAAATTTAACAAAAATACTACACACTACTTGAAATTTCATTTGGAATAAATTTAAAAATTATGTACTTACCGGATTGTGTTTCCTGTACGTAGGCGAACCCATTGCGGAACGGACCGGTTCTGCTTAAGCTTCTTAGCCAGCTTCTGCTTTATTCTGAACGATTTATGGGCAGCCTAACAAAGAAAGAAATTGTAAGTGTTTTAGTATTGTGATATTTCAATAATATTCCAAGATTTCAAAGAATTATTTTGATTTCTTACCATTTCGTGCGATCTATTCGACAAACCACACCGGAAAGAAAGAAGTATTAGTGGTGAACCACGGTCGATATGTATATTCTCATATATGTTAAGTTTGGAATGTTGGAAATGAACATGAAACAAAATATCAGGTTGCTTATGATGTTTAATTATATAAAATATTTTTTATTAATAGGCGTAACCGTATAAAATATATATTATTTATATTTTGGTAATTTAATTACAGTATTATTATATATTTAAATAATTTGTACCATGTGAATTTATGATTTAAAAAAAGTTGTCGATAAATTTAGCCTGATTATACTTATCGTTTTGCTATCATGCATAACTATTATGACAATTTACTAAAGTAAAATATATTTCTAAAAAAAGACATTTAAAGGGTAAGATGTATATATATATTTAAAATTATTGAATAAGTTGTATAAAAATAATTTTAGGGTTTTATATTTTACAATTATTGATTAGTTGTATAAAAAAAAAACGAATATTATTTTATTACAACTATTTAATAACTTTAAATATATGTATATCTTACCCTTTACATTTATTTATATATTTTTTATATTTTTCAGTTATTTTCAAAACGAATATAAAATAAGCAATGTAATGAGGCACCACTCACCATCCACCATCCTATAACATCTGATTGAACATCAGTTTCTCGTCAAAACACAAATAAAGATTGTTGAAATTAATTCTGCGTCTAAAATAAATTATTACTAACTATTTCGACTGAGAACTATGCCGTTTCTCAGTCGAAATAGTTAGTAATAATTTATTTGTACACAAATAAAAAAAAATTATGTTTTGCGACTGTATGTTATTAATTTTTTTCTACGTTAAACCTTTTTATTACAAACATATTTTTATTGGTATTATATAAAAAATTTCAATCATTTACGGTATCAATACAATAAAATAAGTATTTCGTTTTATTTCTTCTGTACAAAAATTAATGTATTTATTTGCGTCAATCCGATAACGAGACTATCGGAAATGGAACATTGCGCATCGTCGTGTGCAACAGCCCCTTACATTTGTGTTCTAAAACCATTATTTCATTTCCTCTACACATTTGCATCGTTCCATTTTCCATAAGTGTCAGTGTCATCATTTATCAATTATCATTTGATTATTATATTTTACAATATAATATGTGTTTAAGAAAAATCAAATCAAACTCCTCCGCAGCATAATGAGACAGTAGTAGACGTAGACCGCAGCTTGTCAACGAATTTGTGCATTACGTGCATTAACGCAATGTCAATCCACACATAATATTTGCTTTGTAAACTGTTTTTAAGTTGAAATACATATACACGAATAGTGTTAAATATAAACACGTACAGAACAAACATCTGCACATACATACGTATATTAATCGCATCGAATAACACAAAAAGCTGATTTAACAATGCGCGAATTCAAAGTTGTTGTGCTTGGGTCTGGGGGAGTTGGTAAATCGGCTCTCACGGTGCAATTCGTTTCGGGATGCTTTATTGAAAAGTATGATCCCACAATCGAGGACTTCTACCGCAAGGAAATAGAGGTACGTAAACGCTAATGTTCGCTTGGATATCAGGGGGCAGACATAATCAATTTACAAACGGAACGCAGACACACGCACATACTTATGTATATACTGAGCGTAATCACGCACATACATATAAACGTCTGTGCTTACAGGCATATACAGACATATGTATATACATATGTACGTAGATACATATAATGGGCGATTAATTGTATATGCACATATGTACATATAGTTTGTTCTTGTAGGTGCGAAATGTGCCCGAGTATTTGTATCTATGTATGTGCACATACATACTTAGGACGTTGTAAACCCACACAGAGTATGTAATTCATAAATAATCGCGCATACGAACATATTTACATGCGTCTGTGCAACCAAATGTGCACAGTTGTGCATAGGCGTGTGGGTGTTGGTGTAAGGATTAATGGCCAAGCCAGTTTTAAGATGATTCATTTGTGTCAGCTGGCCGTGCTAAGTTAATTGGAAACCGTAATATAACATTTCCCCTTGTATCTGGCCGAGCCAGCTTCATTTCTACCCTTTTTATTTGCGAGACCCACGAATGCAAGCGCCTAAACTCGTTCCAAAGATATGAATGACACATTTACATGCATACTACAGTTCATCGGACAGCAGTCTCGAGACGGAGTTCTATGTACATATGTATGTATGCATATGTATGTATAGTCAGATGTAATGTCTGTAGTTGCGAAATGCATTCAATGTTCATCAAGAGCTGACTATAACATCTAATGATGTTAAAGACAAAGGAAGAGCTGTTTCTTCCGCATACGCACATATCCACAATACGGTAAATACAACCCCGAATAACGGAAAGCACTTGTGCAACCCCTAAGATTGCAGCTTTATTTTAACGAAAAGTACAACTATTGAAATACACCCACCCTTGGACTGCGAATAATTGATTGATTGATGACGTATTAGTTTGGTATTAACATAACTTTCAACCATTTTTCCTTAATATCTCTCAGGTGGACAGCTCGCCATGTGTTTTGGAAATTTTGGATACAGCGGGCACAGAGCAATTCGCATCCATGAGAGATCTCTATATCAAAAATGGTCATGGTTTTATTGTAATGTATTCACTTACGAACCATCAAACATTTCAGGTATGAACGCATTTTGCCACACCGGCAGTTACTTTTGGAATAAACAATTTTTACACTTGGTAAAATCTATAATTTGTATATATATTTCACAGGATATTTCTAGTATGAAAAATGTGATCACTCGTGTTAAAGGAAGTCAGCCGGCACCAATCCTACTAGTCGCGAACAAATTCGATTTAGATTGCCAAAGAGAGGTATCCACCGCAGAAGGTAAGCATACTCAACTCAACAACAAGCATCTGGTATTCGTAAGCCTTAACTAACGTTTAACGTTTTCAATTAAAAGGTAATGCCTTGGCACAACTGTGGGACTGTCCATTTATTGAAGCATCTGCAAAGGATCGGATAAACGTTAACGAAGTATTCGCCACCATCGTTCGAGAGATGAATTTGACGCAAGAGAATCGGCAAAAAAAAAATTACTGTTGTTGTACGCTTTTATAGAAATTTTGTAAAATTGTAAGATTATTATAGTTAAAAAATAAAATTACTAATATTTAATAGATAACGAACAAGTCATGGAGGTGTTGTCACTGTCTAAAATATCTGGTTACTTAATATTGAGTTATTACCTATTCTTTTGAACGATATGGAATCGTGATTCATTAAAGAGAGCCGAGGGAATAGATCATCTCTGGATTTAAAAATACAAAAATTCAAAACTGAAATATGAATTATGAGGTCTTAACCTAATCAAATGGGCAACAGTTGCCTAGGTATGATGGGGAATTATCTTTATCAAGAATATAAAATCAAGGGGATGCATTCAATCTTAGGCCCATTTAGATAGGTCTTTATTAATTATATTTTCCAGGGAAATCAGTAATGATTGAAATTGAGTAATATAAAATTTAATGATAATTGTACATTAAATTAATGTATCGCTATTTATCTTCCTTGAGCTTGAACAACAGAAATGTACTGAAAAACTAGTACAATGCTTTCCTTTGTTCAGTCAGCGCTGTTTCTCCTTTATGATTAGCTTGTTTTCCAAACAGATTTAACAGTTTAAATCTGTTTTTTCTTTTGGTCGTAACTTGTAAAAATCACAAGATGCGATGAGTCATTGCTTGTGGTGACCACACCTTTAGTCCACAGCAAATCTCTCGCCCAAATTAATTAAGAGCCGAAAGTGGGCTATATAATTAGTTCGCTGCTTAAGGGGGGATATACATGTAAGCGGTCAAAATTTGGCCATTTTTCGTGAATTTTTTTTTATAAGAAATAGTCAAGCAATCGTCGTGAAACTTTGGATATAGTTAAAAGTAGAATCAGAGATGATAAAAAAAATTAGTAATAAACAATATTTTACAAAATTGCGGACTTATGGAACATATGCCGTAGCGCCTCGAGCTTTGAGTTGGCGTGCTATGGACACGATAGAGCTCGTAATTCCTGTCCGAAATCCGTAAACTAAATTTTTTTGTATTCATTACACCTTTATCTTCTATTTGAACCTAAAAAAACAAAAAGAAATCAAGACAAAAAAAATAAATTTTGATTTGAAGGAAAGATGTCATTTTCAGGTGATCAGTTTTCACTTCCCACCCTCTTAAAAAATAGTAATACTCAGTTTTATAACAACCATGTAGGTTCAAATAGAAGATAATTTCATGCTGATCATAATAATTTTTGATTCACTCCGATATGTTACACAGTTTTTTGTGAATCGTGTCCAGAGCATAGGTAGAAATGCAAAAATTAGAAGCTGAGAAAAAGACGTTTAAAGTTTTTGATGAGCCCACGTTAACACTTGTGAACCTTGCGTGTATACTTGATTTGAGGCACTTAAAGTTGGAATTCGATAATGAAACTTACACACTATATTCTTTAAATAATAAACTATTTTTTAAACCAAAAAAAAAAAATTTACCAAAAAAATGTTGGTTTACATGTATATCCCCCCTTAAAGGCTTTGCCCGAAGAATAATCCCACAACACAAAATGCAATAAGATGTTTTAGAAAGAAATACTATAAAATTTGAAAAATATTTAATTTAGAATAATACAAAATATAAAACTTTTAGGTCTAATACAGATTGTATACATTTCAATTAATTAATTTTATACCATTCCAAATCGTCAGGTTTATGGGAAGACGGCGGATTCACAATGGTCTGTGCGTCGTTGAACAAATTACTGCAAATATTATCCTCAATCTGTGAAATATAACAAAAAATCGAATCAGTTTTGGAATTCGTATGCGTTGAGACGAAAACGAAAATGAAATTCTCACCTGAAGGGAAGACACTAAGTTATCTGGGCAGTCGAGCACGCTAAGCCCAGATTCTGCAAAGATATATAGAAGGAAGAGATGTGTTAGCAAATGTTTAGGACTTGGTCAGCCTCCGTTATCTCAAGATCAGTACTGAGTAGAGTGAAAGCAGAGAGATGCCAAGGGAATTACGTGATCACTGCCCCGCCCACTGTGTGTGCTTGTTCAAGTGTTATCTAGGCGATATCTCTCTATAGATAAACCAGAGGGTCTCGCTTGTCTAGCGCTGCTTACGCTAGTTTTTGGTGTTTGTGTATTTGGAACGAGGAGACTTACGCATTCTGGGATCATTCCATGAAGTCGTTCGATCAATGTGATTTATAAAGTAAATATCTCCGGACTCGGTAACTGCCTGCTCCCAACCATCCGGCAGTGGACCTGGACCCATATTGTTAGCAATGGTCGATGTGGTAGTTTGTTTTGTTGTTTGCAAAACATCTATCGAACAAAAATAATCATAATTACAAAACCAAAGTAAATAAAGACAAATTAAAAAGTAGGTCTATAAAACGACAGTTGCTGGCAGTTTAAAAGCGGATTGTAACGGAGAGAGAACATCATGCAACACACTTAAAACTTCAATTTCAATATTTAGACTTGAATTCCCCATTGCCAAAAGTGAGATATCTCACGAGACTTCTGAATAACATCCCTAAAAAATGTAATATTAGTCCGCAGAACCTTGATTTTCAGAGGCTTTTCCATGCGTTATATTAATTGTGTTATAACCTCTTACAACCTTTTTTGTATCCCTACCTATAGCCCAGAGCACAAGATTAGTTCAAGATGGGTGTATTCAAATGGGTTAAGAGTTTAAGGAAGCACCGCACGAACTTGTACATATATATCTATTAAGGATATGAGAAATATCATAAGGTACCTACCATTTTGCTTTATTCGCTCGGCCATTAAGCTTTGCTGCTGTTGGCGAAATTGAATTCTGGGATCCTCCCACTGCGTCGATTTTGTAGTATGACTGAAAGTAAAAAGAAGTCGTTAGAGTTGTAGTTGACCTTAAATAAGCTTATGAATTATAAGTAATATATATAAAATCTAAGTTTTTTTTTTTAGTTATATATAACTAATCTACCTAAACAATGCCACTTGTTTATTCTTAAAATTCCAAACTGTATCTAGACTAGACAAAGTCTTTGTCTTGGCTTCCAAGTCTTTTGCGTGTCAGTTTATTTTTATTTTCCCATGCAAGAATTTGTATCTAGATACAATTATTTCAAGTACTTACGCATAATAACTAAAAAATTACTAATTACTAATAAAAAATAATGTATATATCTAGAGGATTGTATGTTTAATGGTGACTTATGTGAAAAGATACTCACTTCAAGTAGTAGATCTGGCCATCGTTGGTCTTGGCCTGCTCCCATCCTGGTGGCAAGGCGCCCAGTTGCCGCTGCAACTGAATAGGGCTTACCACATCGTAGGAGCGCTGCTTCTTGTGCACCGTCTGCGTGGACATGGGCATGTCCTGCGACATGCACGAATTCATGGCATCGAGCTCAATGGAGCTGGGAGCCGTTGCGCCAGAGCTGGTGAACTCGGCGGCACTATTCTCGGGGAAAGTGGGCCCAGCTGGCTGCTGGCTTGCTCCTGGATTGGCCTCGCTCCTGGCGCGCACATTGTAGTTCTGCTGCAGCGAGGCGGGGCTGCTGCGGGCGCGGAAGTGATGTATCGCCAGGCGGCTCTGTTGTGGGGATGGCTGTTGGATCTGTGAGATGGCGGATATGGGCGGCTGCCCGTCAACGGGCTGTGCCGCCTTGATGCTGCTAATATTGCTGATGTTCGACTGCGAGCCAGCATCGTAGGTGGAGTCAGCGCTGTTTGCGCGCGAGTGCGAAGGGGCCGGGGGCGTAAAGAAGGAGTTGGGTAGCTTCCGCATGCGGAAGGGGAGCTGGAGGGGGCGCTTGGCATCTCCGGGGTTCAGCACACTGTCGAACAGCGCCTGCAGATTATCGTCCGTGTCCTGGTTGACGCGCACCACCAGATTGTTGGGTTTGATGGGCGACAGCATGTCCTCGTCATCGATCTCCTTCTCGATCAGGTTGTTTGTATTGCTTGTCGACATCGTCTCGTCGCTTCGTTAACATAAAAGAAGGCACTTAGTGTATACAAATGTTACTACATAGAATTATCTTATCGGGCACGTAGGCGTATATATATGTTCGGCCATATACATATCACTCCATCTTGTTGGGGCGAAACTATTACATTAAGGTGTTAAAATTAAACTTCGTTGCAATAAATAATAGTAATAATAATAATTCAACAGAACTGCCAACATAAAACAAACACTCGCGAGGACCACCATCCACCACGCTTTGTCAACACTTGTTCATTCGATAGGTTATCGGTTATCGGTTTCGTGGCTACTTCTGTAAAATGTAGTACTCAGGCAGGAAAAGTTTTATTTTTTCTCAGTAAAACAAATTTGAATAATTCCTTGCTTTTTAACTAAAAATTGAATTAATATTTTATTTTTAGTTTTCTATTTTATTTATTTATTTTACTTAAAGCCAATGATTAAGTTTGATTTTTTTTTATAATGCATTAAATAAATTTTTTTAGTGGTTTATTTCAACGTTTTATCTGCAGTCACACTGGCTGAAACAGTAACAGGATATTTCAAAATAAAACAATAGATTTAAGACAACAATTTAACATATATTTAAAAAATGTTGTGCCCCGTTACCAAACTAGCTTCGTATCGATATTTATTTCAAAACAAAATCATCGATATTAATTTGCAGTCGAAAAACCGATGCGTCGTTCGCGAAATCGATGTGATTCCAGCTCTAGCGATTGGCACGACACAATTCAGAAGCATTTCGCAAATAATTAAAGTCCAAATGAATCAAATGTAAAATGATCAGCGCGATATTAAACATATTCTGGATTCCCATTGGGGGATTCCTCTCATTTTTGATATTTATTTCCGCCATCAACAAATCCATCGGCGTCCGCAAGGCGTATGTGAACCTGCTCCTAAGGATATTCGAGGTAAATAATGTTTTCTTGCGGTCAATGACTAAATCCAGTTCCATTCGCTCCGTTTTCCAACTTTAGCTCCATTTCACAAGAGGCATAGTGTCTAGTAGTAAGCTATTCCAAAGTCCATAAATATAGTCAGCTTTGGAATAGACAAGCACACGGCGTCTCGTTCTCGTACGCATGCACAGGAATACAAACATATGAACAAAAGTGTTGTTTTCCAGCACCTTTCTAATATTTAAACAGTTTTTGAATAATCAGCGAAATCGGAAATGGTTTGTAATTGGTCCCCCATGCGCATATAACACTTTACAGGCTCGTAAAGCGCCAGTCATTACCTCGCCTGATTATGGTTATGATAGCTCGTATCTGTAGATAATCCCGCCAACAACAAACTACATAATAACTAATCAAGAACTATGTTTTCGATTCCAGTACGGTCGAGTTAGTATAGAGACAGCATCCAAAGAAAATCAACAATATTCCGTAAATAATTGCAAGACTGACGACAAACAGGGAGTGCAGCTGGTGGACGACGCCGATTCCAAGGAAGTTATCACGAACGGAGCTACTTTAATAACCAGAGATGCAGTGCTGCTGCCTCAACCTCAGGAACCCCTCCCCGAGAAGCCAGTCTCATCCAAGAAGGTAAGCAGAAAGGCAACATTTATTGTCTTGTATAAACAATCAGTCACTGGAACAATGTGTCTTGCAGGATGAAATCAACTTTGATTTTGAGAAATGTCTGGACTATGTCAAGTCGGGCGTAGAAGCCATTATTGAGGACGATGTGACGTCCCGCTTCGAGGCAGAGGAGCTGAAGAGCTGGAATATGCTCACGCGGACCAACAGACACCACGAGTTCATTTCCTGGAAAATAACTCTCATCTGGATGGTTGGCTTCTTCATTCGTTACGTATTTCTAATGCCGCTTCGAGTATTAGTTTGCTTCGTTGGTGTAAGTATTATCCTTTGACTTTAAGGGGGCTTTCCTCAACAACACCTGACTTGTCCCGACTTCCCTCTTGCCTGCAAATAATTGCCGCTAAGGAATACTCATCAATATTTTATTCGCATTCCAAAATTGACAATTATTGCCATGCAAGGGAATCGGAGACGATACACTTCTTTGAATGAAAAGAAAATGACCAAACGGACGAAAACTGACTGAACGATATATGTATACATATTCACAAGGACCGGGAATGAAGGGGGTTTCAGCTGTTAGATAGCTTCTTTAAAATTAACAGGTATATTCTTTGACTTATCAGGCAGAACCTATAGGACACGGATTCGTCGCGTTTTATCTCTGTGTTTGCTTGTACTAACTATTACTCTGAGTAAATACAACACAAAGTGTCGGCCTTGTAAAAACAATTCTGTTGATTAGTTATTTATCATCTTTATTAACCAATGTCTAAGCATTAACTTGTTTTTTGTGTTTAGCAAACTTTTTCCTAATATGAGCCACAAATAGATTTTTGTTTTAGATACATTTTTTAATTTAAGGGAGAGATATAAGAAGAAATTTCATTTCCTTTAATGTTTTGGTTCAATTCTAGCTTTACTTTTAACTCAGATTAGTCTTTATGTTATGTTGTCCTTCTTGAATAATATTATTATTTCGCTAATAAATATAATTTGATTCCTAGGTTTTATTTGCAGTTTTTTCAAACTCCATTGTGGCTTTGTTACCTTTTCGAGTTGTACGGCTTTCTTTAGCAAGCTTATCGTTTAAAATCACCTTCCGCCTTATTTCAAGTTCCCTGTCATCTCTTATAAAGTTCCACAATAAGCAATATAAGCCCACAATTTCTGGGTTCTGTGTAGCGAACCATACCTCTCCCTTGGACGTGGCGATATTATCGACCGATTGTACCTATTCTTTGGTGAGAAAGAAGAAATTTTTACCTAAATCTCGTCATTTAAAACTTGGTTTCATTTGAAAATTTCAAAAGTTCATGCATGCAACATTTCGGAAACGCATCTATTTGTGTGTCGTACTTATATAACTAAAAGCAACTAATACTCGAGCTTTAGTCTCAGATTGTCTGTCATATGCTTCCTTCCAGAAGCAATATAAAGCGTTGGTAACTGCAGAAATATATGTATTATTCAACGTATTTTATTAGTTCTCATTCGACCGACCGACCGTTTGATGTTATCAAAAGGTTTCTAATGCATATGCCATAGCCGATAGCCATTATCTTTGTATACATGGAGTTTAGACCCGACGTATAATAACATACCTATAAGCATCGCTCCGATAACTTTCGGTCAACCTTGCTAACATAACTTGATAAGTCTGCGAACTGTTCAACAGTTAAGGGAATCGAATTGAATCGCGTTCGAAAGCATGCATGAATTTAATACAAGGTGCAGTTTTAAGTGTGGTAAAATCAATCTATGTTGCAATTGGCTTTTGTCATTGTCCCCCGGCTAAATGTGTTTGTCCGTAATGTCTAAGATTTTGGGCCAATTTGTTAATTTCTTCGTCGCCAAGAAAACCCCGGAATCAGGTAAGATAAGCCATGTGAATGAAATTAATTTATTAGTTTATTTGCTTTTCTTATGACGCTCGCCCCTTGTACTATTTTCAGTATTACTTCTGTCGATTAGTTTCAGCTGTTTCTGGTGGTTTGGGTCGGTGGGTGGGCTCGTCAAGGGTAATATTTCGATTGAAGTGTTGACCTTTAGATTGTACACCGTTGATAAACGATAAACACTTACTTTGAAGAGGGCTTGATTCTAGGCTTAAGATATTTGCATTTTCACGTCACTCTATTTACAGAATATTCAATGATTGCACAAACTTACGTAGGTGTAGGTACATTTAAAAATATCTGTAAAATGTGAGTTAAAATTTGAAAAACAAGTCAAAGTAACGATATTACGTTCACTCCACAAGGATTCAAATCCCTCTACACGTTTTTGGACCAGCTTTCTATATGAACTTAATTGAAGAATACCCTCAAATATGTACCCATTTCCGTTTTTTGTGCAATCTTAGGTAGTGTGGTTAACTATTTGCACGGCGGCCGTGGGCTATCTGAAGGATGGGCCCTGCAAGCGCAAACTTGTCAATCAGGTACTTGGCATTTGTTTCGGCGTCTTGTCCAGTGCCATATCGGCGGTTATAACTTACCATAATGAGGAAAATCGCCCGTCATCTGGTATTTGTGTCGCGAATCATACCAGCCCAATCGATGTGCTGGTCTTGATGTGCGATTCTACTTATTCGCTGGTAAGGCAATTTTAGAACCTAAAAAACAACACTAAACACTTGTATGGAAATACTTACTCACTCTTTGTTTTTAATATCCGATATTATTTTCGTAGTCTCACTTAGTAAAAATTAAAGTGTCAGGGGTGCCATAGAAATATTCGTAGATTTAAAATCATATGAAATGGTGGTTTAGGATTAAAATGTAAAATAATTAAATACACCATCTCACATGAAGATTAAATTCGCTGTGTAAATTCTGTGCCATCCCTGTGGATGTAAATTGATTGGTAAAAACAAATGAGCTAAGCTTTGCAGTATCCCTGATACTGATCTTATTTAGGATGTGGATTATAAATTGACCACCAAGTTTACTTTCCAGCTTTCAATAAATATTAGATTCGAGAGCACACTTTTGGGAGTGTAATTGTAATAAAATAATTGGTTAGGTTCTGCAGAAACTAAGCAATCTTGAGAGCCCCAAAACAAAGCAGCTGCTCGAATCGAAAATTGGCTTTTTTCCCCCCTAAGTGCACGTGTATGTAGGTACTAACCCGAATTTAAGCTTGCTTTTTGGTGATGGTTTCATGTCGTTGGCGTTTGATTTGTAGCTTTTCGTGTTATGTGCTTGCTGTTGTTGTTGTTGGTCTTTGATCTCTTTAAACGAGCTTGCGTCGATTTTATAGATTGGCCAACGCCATGGCGGTTTCCTGGGCGTCCTGCAAAGAGCTCTGGCCCGAGCATCACCTCACATCTGGTTCGAGCGTGGCGAGGCCAAGGATCGGCACTTGGTTGCCGAGCGGCTCAAGCAGCACGTTTCGGACCCAAACAATCCACCGATCCTCATCTTCCCGGAGGGGACATGCATCAACAACACATCTGTTATGCAGTTCAAAAAGGGCAGCTTTGAAGTTGGCGGTGTCATCTATCCGGTGGCCATAAAGTGGGTACCCAAAAGGGCTTCAAAAAGAAGCAGCAATATTAACGCGCTAAATCCCTGCTTTGCAGATACGATCCCAGATTCGGTGACGCCTTCTGGAACAGTGCCAAGTACTCGATGATGCAGTACCTCTACATGATGATGACCTCGTGGGCCATCGTGTGCGATGTGTGGTATTTACCT